TATAGACCCCATCGATAATAGCATCCTTAGGATAAGAAGCCGACTTGTGTGCAGGAAGCCGTGCTTCGACACCATGTCTTCCTGCAGCCATGAGCTTTATCAACACACCAAACACAGCTCCTCGTACCTGGCCTCAAGGTGATACAGTTACAGTATGGCCTAGCCCAAAACCCGATGCTAGCTTGTAAGCTTCCGAGGTGCTTCCCAACACCCGCAACCCCTCAACCCTGAAACCTCAACCCCTTCAACACTTCACTCAACCCTAAAACCCCCAAGCCCCCGAACCCAAATCCCCAAAGCCCAACCTTCTGCGGCCCCCAAAACCCTTTCGGTTGTAGAACCTTTGCAGAGCCTTAAACTTTAATGACTTAGTGGTACTTAATGGTCTTTTTTCTCTCAGAAACAAGTGCTCCTGGTTGTCTTTCACTCGCTTCCCAAGTAGTGGGTCATGGTAGATCCGTTTATTCGGTCGTTGAAATCTGAGCACGAAATCCTCGACCCACAAGTAGACCTTGGAGCCGTAAAGACTGAACCAGTAGCCCGAAAAATCACCTTGAACCCTGAATCTTAGGGCTTAGGGTTTAGGGTTTTAGGGTTTAGGGTTTAGGGCTCCCTAGTAGTCGAGTAGGTATCCTTTAACCTTTTTTGGGTAGTATAGCCCCTATATAATCCCTCTATAACCAAAAACCCAGCTGAAGCTTCCCTTAACCTAAAGTCCACCTTGAATCCTGCGGTTACACGTAGACCCTTTAACAGGGGACCCTAATGTGGTAACCTAAATAGTAGGATCCTAATTATAAGGACCCCAAAACAGACCCTCTAGCCTAATATAGTACCCTAAATAGTGGGATCCTAATTATAAGCACACCAAAATAGACCCTTTAGCCATAAGCTTTCGCACTGCTGCTCGCGACTTTAAGCTGACAGAAGCTCGGCCACCCAAAGGAATTGGTGTCAGTGCATCAAACGCGGCGAGAAGAAATGCTTCCGGCTTTTCTTTGGTCGGAGTCTTCCTGTGAAGTGTTTGGGGGAGCTTGTGGGAAACGCTGGTGAGATTTGGTGAGTGTGTAGTAAAGGGGTCGGAAACAGTACCAGTACTTTAGTCCGACTATTCCTTAGGGTTCCTGTTTCATTCCCAAATAGCCCAAAACACTGTTCTAACTATTCAGACCCTTGCATTATGTGAGTTGTCCTCGCAATAAAACCCTTTGCTTCACGAAGCTCCCATCATGCCAGTTTTAGCGGGACTCAGTTGAAGTAACGTTTGGGCATAGCATACAGCCGTGTATATAGAGGTCTCGAAGTAAACCCACCAGACCATACCGGGAACGCCACACACTGACCAGTATACCTATGCAGATGCGTATGCCTGTGCATACTCATACCTACATAACCAAGCAAGAACCTGTTCACATACATGCATACGCACAACATCTACATGCCTGTGTCCGAGCCTGAATGCCCTTGTAACTCGCGATAGAAGTACCTCGCCCAAAGCCTTTTAAAGCCTCAACCCCAGCCAAGCTCTAATCCACAAGCCCGTAAAACTAAACCCACTTGGGGCTGTTCAGGTCACTATCACGGAGATACATCGCCCAGAGTCAAGAGGTTCGTGGAGTGTTGGGCGTTTCCATGTCGGAGGACTTCTTACAAAGGGAGGGCACCTGGGCGACAGCGGTCCATGTAGGATGCATATTCGGGGGGTCTTGGTTTTCCTCTGTGGGCGCTCTGCTTATGGCTTTCGTTATTCTGAAGGTGTGGCTTCAGAGTGTATTGTTCAGGGTTTTCGGATTTCGGGTTTTATGTGTTGGGCACATGGCTTGGTGATTTTAGGCTGTTAAGCTGGTGTCAGGGTCGTAAGGGCTGCGATAGTTCTGGGGCCCTCTCCAGTCAGACGGCGAAGTGACACGAAGGCCTAATGTGGAGATATTCGATGTGTGGCGGAAGCGGGCCCATGGAAAATTCAGGACACAGTTTCCACACGTGAATGCAAAAATCCTTGAAGAAACTGAGCGGTAGACCTTAAACGCACGAAACTGATGCCGTGCCAGGTGAGATGCCTTGTCCGGTGAGTCCTCTGCAAGCACGTCTAAAGCACCGAACTCGGATTCCCAGATCGCAAAGGCTAGATCCCATTTGGGGTGGTGTTTTGGTTCTTTGGTTTGTCACATCCAACCATGACTTAGGGATTGCCGTCAACACTACTGATCAAGGCTTCAATTGCGGACGACATTTCATTTTCATCGTCGAGGGTATGGGCCTTGTATGTGAAACCGCCCCATCGATATATCATGCATTGCATACCCCGTGGAGAGGAAGGCGAATTGTATTTCCGGCTCAGGTTAAGGTGTGCTGAGTATTTACCTTTTGGAATTGTTGAACAGAAGGCAGTAGACCTATACCGTAAATCCTGATAAGGAGGTACTGGACCTGGAGAGTGAGCGATTGTCTTCTGTTGTAGTGGTTTGGGAGATTTGGCAAAGGGCCTTTGCTCATAGCTGTGGAAGGATACGGTCTATGCAGGGCTAAGGGCGTGCTAGACCACTGAACCCCAAAAGCTCCCGAAGCCGGAAACCCTAATCCCTAAACTTTAAGCCGCAAACTTTAAAACCCTAACTAAATCCATAACCCGAAAACCCTAAGCCCCTAAACCATGAGCCAGAAACCCCAAACGACTTTGTTGCTGCTGGATTGGATTGCGGTGCTTGGAAGGCTGAATCTATCTGGCTCTTGGTTGTAGTAACTAGACTAGGTTTTGTGGTATTGTATACATCACTTACATGGGTATTATACCGGAGTTGTATTCCCTGTTGTTGCTTCAGTAGTGCAGCACAAAAAAGCAAAGGAGCTAAGAATAGCTGCAGCTTGGGGCCTAGTTTGGAGTGTCACTCGGGTTTGTCAGGGTTAGAGCTTGGGGTGTAGAGTAACCCTAAACCCTAAACCCTGAACCGGTTTTACAGCATAGGGCTGAGGGGAACGTGAAACCGCTTTATCGCTGCAGCGACCCAGAAGATGCTCCGCCTGAAGCCCGGAACTTGTCTGACAGCCAACCCTAACCCTAAGTTGGGCTCTTGTTAAAGGATTTTTTTATTAAAGCTACCATAATAAGGAATGAGAGTTATTTCTTATAGACGCTGTAAAATCCCTATTAGGGTAACTCAAATTAGCTCCGTAACAGAACGAACAAGAACCCAGTAACCCTCAACCTGCGCAAGGCACCGTACACGCAAGTGGTGGTCAGGCTGGGCTGGACTTGAAGAGGAAGTGCGGTTGGTTAATATAGGGGCCTTAACAATTAGAATAGGGTTTTGGGGCCCATAATACTATAAATATGATAAGGAACCCCCAAAATAGTATTGGTAATTATTTGGGCCCTTACCTTATGTTAGGATCAGATGGATGAACAGAGCTTGCGTGCCGAACTTTTATCCCTTTGGTATTACAGTTTAGATCTGAGTAAGCGGACCTGGATTGTGCGTTTAGGGTTAAGTCCTTTCCGAAGAGTTTGAACCACCATAAACCCTAAAACCCAAGCCCTAAACCCTAAATCCCAAACCCTAAAGCCCCGCTGTTCAGTAAACCCAAAATCCCAAACCCTAAAGCCCCATTGTTCGGTGCTTTGTTGCAATGCCAATTGGCGTCCAAGCATCCCGGGCCCTCCAGCCGCAACATGGCGAAGTGCGAAGACTTAAGTACTTGGAGGTTCATGGACAGTTACATTATAAGTAGGGTAACTATACTTATAACCCATATTATGGGACTTAAAACCCCACTTATAGCTACCCATGAACCTCCAAGTAGAGTATACCCTGATGCGTGCTTGCGCGGTCTCGTTTGTAAGTCTAGCCTAACTGGACGGGCTTGCGACATGCGGCAGCTGCCGCCAGTTGGCTTGCAAGCCGCCCTTACTCCCAAACCTTCTAACTATGTCTTTAAGCACACTGCATGCAGCGTGAGTGTGCAGGGCAGGCAACTCGAATCTCTACAGGCTTTGGGCTTCGTCGTTTTGGGTGGGCTGTGCACAAGAGTCGAGACGTACTTGAAGGACGTCGGTGGCAAGCGGCAGTTGCCGGACCTTCGAGGTACCGTGACGCTGGTGTGTGCAGGGAGCGGTCCGGGCCCTTCAAACAAAAGTCCTTGGAATCGCACGTGCTACTGGAGATGCAACTGCAGTTGCCGCCGGGCTGGGTCATGAACATGCTAAGGTTTGCAGCCCGGACCGACGAAGATTCATCGACAAGATGCGGACAACGTCACGACAACATGCAACCGGAAAGCTGACGCAGACAAGGCGAACAAGAACTCGCCAGAAATTCGACACTGCAAACCCATGCTGGGCCTGAGCCCCTGACCTGAACTAAGTCTGAAAGCAAAATCCCCAAAGCCCTAGAGCCCTTAAAAGCCCTAAGCCCCAAAACCGCAGCATCAAAGCCCACAGAAAGCCGCACAGAACCCTCAAAAGAAGCCTTGTAGGACATTCTATTATAGCCGTTATAGACCCTAGAACTATAAGACTCACACCACCCAGTTCCGAAACGTAAACCCCAAGCCCCGAACCCCAGAAAGCTTCACCTTATTCCCCGATAGCCCACGTATGGTGATACTACACATATAACGTAGAAGCCTGATTAAGAAACCTTGGGCCTCGATTATCGTTCCTTGTATGTATGAATTCTACTATTTTGGGGTTATGGGGCCAGGGTTTCTTAATCAGGTTCCTACATTACGCCAACACCTTACTCTAGTGATGCAGGCCCCTGTACTGAAGCCCTGACACCTAAAAGCCGCTATACCACCCGACACACCCTGCAAGAGACCTTCTAAACATGCAAAACCATGTAAAGCCCCATAGAAAACTAAAAAGGCGCGCCTATGCCAACCTATAAAATCCCCGAAGAAACTAAGGACCCAAAATAAGGATACCCCTAATTTCGGAAACTCCTTCCTGACGCCGCCCAGAGCCTACCGGGCATGCCGAGAAGTTGCTTCCTTCTGGGGTGATGGGAAAGCCGTGGGGCCCTGAGGGTGCAGGGACTGCAGGGAGTTAGAGTTTAGGGGTTTAGGGTTTAGGACCTGAAGGACTGTGGGAGTTAAGGCTTAGGGGTTTAGGGTTTTGGAGTCAGGGCTGGGGGGTTTTGCGAGTTAGGGCTAAGGGGTTTAAATCGACACAAAATCTGACTCCTCAGCGTGAACTCCTGCCCGTGCAATCACTCCCTTCGCCGCGTCCTGCTCTGAAGAAAGCTGGAGCAGCTGCAGGGCCCAACCGTAATATCCAAAGGGTACCCTAAATAGTAGGATCCTTATTATAAGGACCCCAAAATTAGGTAGTTCCCCATCTGCAGATCTGCGCCCACCTTGGCAAAGATTGCGACGAATGGGAGGCAAAACAATTCAATGCCAGCGGAGTAATACGAAGCCCGAAGCATGACGTGTACCACAGTGAGGTGCGACCAGCCACAATGTGGGGAGTTGGGGCTCAGGGGTTTGGGGTTTAGAGAGTTAGTGCTTAGGGGGTTGAGGTTTAGGAGGCTTAGGGTTTAGGGAGTTGGTGCTCAGGGGCTTGGGGTTTAGGGAGTTAGGGCTTAGGGGTTTAGGGACGTCGGCCTTAGGGGTTTAGGGTTTTGAGGTGTTCTGGAGTTATAGGGCTTGGGGTTTAGGGCTTTGGGGGTAGGGTTGCAGTAGGTTCAACAAGGGTGCGATGAGGGCTGGATAGGGTGAAAGAAGGTTTCCCTATCTCTCTATCTATCTCTATATATGCATGCGGGAATGCGTTTTTGATCCGTTTGGGGATCTGTTTGGGGATCCGTTTTGGCCCCAGCCCCGGCAGGACCCCAAAACGGCTTTGCAAACGGATCCGAAACGGATAGAAACGGATCCAAAACGGATCAAAAAACGCATCGCTCTCGAGGGAAACGTGGGTTCGGGGATCCGCCGCAGGACCCGTCTGGCGGTCCGTTTGGGGGTCCGTCGGATCCAAACGCATCCCAAAACGGATCGAAAACGGATCCCAAACGGATTCAAAACGGATCCCCGGACGGATCTGAAACGCATATTTAGGAAAAGTTGAACTTCCAGAGTTAGCAGGCAGCAGATTGTCATAAATCTCTCTCTCTCTCTCTCTCTCTCTCTCCCTGTCACTCTCTCTATGTATATATGCTGGGTCCAGTAGCGGAGGACAGAAAGTTGGAGCATCTGTGCCTCCAAAGTACAGTATAGGGCGTATAAGAAATCTCAGCGTTGATCCAACTTTTAGTTATCCAACTTCTGGGGTTGACCGTGTGAAGGTTTTGTGAGCCTTCAATGGTGGCTCAGGCTTTGGCGGTTTGGGACTTCAGGATTTAGGCTTGAAGGGTTCAGAGTTGTTGTGTTTAGGTGTTGGGGTGGTGGCTTTCGGGTGTTGCTCTTCAAAGGTGTGGATTCAGGGTTCTGAATTCAGGTTTTGATATGAAAGGGTTCGGGATTTTTGGATAATGTTGACGTCAGGCAGGAGAGAATGAGTTTCCGAGATCGAGTGTCAAAATTGAGGGGGTGTTGATAATTGACCTCCCCGGATCGAGTTTTATACTAAGGTGGGGTTTATTGAAATGGAAGTTTCCGAAAATAGGGGACCCTAATATAGTACCCTAAATAGTAGGATCCTTATTATAAGGACCCCACAATAAGGTACCCCTAATTTTCGGAAACCCCCAAATGAGGTTATGTAACATGATAGCGTCGTAGGGTCAAGGATTCGGGGCTGGCGGTTGCTAGGTCTTGCGGTTTCTTTTGTCGGGGACTTTATGTTTGGTTGATGATGACGATGATGATGTTGTAGTTGTAGTACTAGTACTAGTACTAGTACTAGCACGTATGAGCTTGTTGGCGAGCCTGGCTATTGACGGAGAAAGGTTTGGAGTTCGAGTAGAAGGAGCCTTCGGTTTCGTAAATTGGTTACTGAGCAGGTTCACAAACGTGTTGGAATAGCTACTTCCAGTATTCCAGTATTTCCCCCGATAGTCGGTATCATACTTATGATAATTGGAACAAACACAGCCTAGCATATCCCAAAACCCTACTCTAATCATGCAGGTGTATGGCATCAAGACCTTGAGGCTTTGTTGCTCATCATCTTGGGGTTCAGGACTTACGCAGTGCTTCGGCGCGAAGCGCTTGGAAGTTGTCGGAGTGATACGGGCCCTTATGTAATATTAAAGGCCGGGGAAAAGCAAACAAGCCTAAACCCTAAAACCCTCCACGCTTAACCCCAAAGCCCTAACCCGTAAATGCCAAAACCCTAAGAAAACGCCAAACCCTTAGACTCAGTAGTTGGGGACCACTGCTTCTTGGGCTGAGGCAAAAGCTGCCCCTCATTCGCTGCTTCGCTGAAATCCTTCGAGGGTTTAGGGTTGTGGCTTTGGACTTCCGAAATGGGAGTTTCACCGAAAATTGGGGTACCTTATTTTGGGGGGCCTTATAATAAGGATCCTAGGGTCCCCTATTTTCGGGAGGATCTAGAAAGTAGATGGGCCCTATACTACTAAGGGTACTTTACAGGAACCCCCATTAAGGGATCTACTTTTTGGATCCTCCCCTAAGCCCCCTATAGATCCCTTAAAGGGACCCTTAGAGGAACTCTTAAGGGAACCCCCATTAAGAGTTAAGGGATCTACTTTTTGGATCCTCCCGGGGATCTGGGTTATCCTGGTATTCCACGAAGAGCCCGGGGTGCCCCCAAGGGCTTCCGAGAAACCTGCTGAAAACCATAAAGGGAACTCCAGAAAGTTGGAATATGGATTAATGGTAGGATCCCCTGTAATTTACCTTAAAGGGGTTACGATAATGATATTCCAACTTTCTGGCTTCTACTGTACCTATAGCCTACTACAGGGGTCTTGATGGCTGGAATGGGGTTCCTTTAGCGGGGTATATAAGGGCTACTATGAGATTGGGATGTATGATGGGGGGGTCCAAATATATTCCTATACTTCTTTATGTTATTTATTTTGTTTTTTGACCGGGGGTGGGGTCCTGATTGCTATTTATGGTATAATATTCCCTCCAAAACCTTATTTTAATTGTTGAGGCCCCTACATTCTAGCCCGTAGTATCCATTGTGGTTCAGGGTTTGAGGTTTAGGGTTCCGTGTTGCTGTTGCCTCATACATAGTATTATAGCAATTATTGTCGGACCCTAAATGACTTCGTGGTTCTCAGTAGGGAACGGCTACTTACTATGAGGGACCTGAGCAGATCGTCATAGGGATCCATTCCCCCATCCCCTGCTACCGCCGATGATGTAAATCCTGCATCATCTCAATGACCCTAGACTATGGGAAGTAGGGTATATGCCTTATTCTGGGTAGTGCAGGATTTATATCATCAACACTAAGAACCAGGTAAGCTTGGCTTTTTGACGTTCAACCCAGCCGCTTAGCTTTAGACCACAGTCCCCAAAAGCCCTGCAAGCCCGAGTCGATTGCACCTACTATAAGGGCTTTAATAAATACCTATGCTACTGTTGAGGATATACTGTTGATGATAGAAATCCTGCATTACCTTAAGGACCCCAAATTCTGGGATTTATGGTATATTCTTTATTATGGGTATTGCAGGATTTATATCATCAACCGTATCTTGGGGGTTCCTTATGTTATGATAACTATAGTAGAGTGGCCCCAAAACACTATTCTAATCATTAAGGCCCCATGTCAAATATTACCTCTACAAGCCCGCTTGGCCCTAACAACACCTGTAAAGCCAAAAGTGCCTCTGAAATGCAAGGACTGGCAGCTTGGGACAGCGAGGCAACCTGCTCACGGATGCACCCAGACGAGCTCTCGAGGGAGTGCCTGATTGCCCTCTTAGTTATCCACACAGAGACGGTGTTAGAGCAGGCAGTCACTGCGGAAATGCCAGGCGAAAGACTTCATTTACACAAGGCCGCAGGCGTTGCTGGATTAGCCGCCGGAACGACCGTCGGTTTCGCCGCCGTGGCTTATGCTGGCCTGCCGCCGGTTGCATTGGCAATCGCCGGGGGAATGGGTTCATTTACAACAGTGTTGTGGGCTTGTTCAAGGGACTTTGCGGAAGAGGGTCGGATCTCCGCCGAGCAGTTGTAGGGAAACCTCATGATCGAGAACGAGGAGCAATGGACGGGGGCCATTCAGAGTCGATCAGCAAGGTCCATGCCCCACGTCCATTTGGGGGTTTCCGAAAAATAGGGGTATCTTAAGTTTGGGGTCCTTATAATGAGGATCCTACTTTTTAGGGTACTATCTTAAGGTCCCCTTTCTTCGGAAGCTCCCGTTTCACGCTCGGCAAGGGAGAGCATAAAGCCTACGAGCCCCAGCAAAACCCTGCGGCGCACATCCGTAATCCTAAGGCTGGCAATTAAAACTCTCTAAACCCTAAACCCCAAAGACGAGACTCCCAAAGCTAAAATAGGGTTCCAGAAAGGACCCAAACATAAACTTTTGAGTGAGATATCCCTACCTCGCTGCTTTGTTGATAAAGGGGCTTATATGTGATACCGAACCTTCTGGTTTTTGTTTAGGTAGCTTTTTAGGCCCCTATAAAAACCGTAAACCCTAAAGCTGAGTTTAGAGGAGCCTGAATCTCGACAAGGTGAGCTGCGCCTTTGGCGCCCCGCGGTGGATCTGGATCGAGGCGCCACTTCCTGTGAGAGTTTAGGGTTTGGGGTTCCTTGTGGAGACCTGAAGATGTAGTAGCACTGACTATCCTTCAAGGATCTCGAATGGAAATATGTAGTAGAACACCGAGACTCAGTTCTGATTTTTGAGGCCTTTCTGCATGCTATACCTGTCTCCTCACACCTTGCTGTGGTAGGAGCTCCACCAGCAGCAACATTACTCTCGTACCTCACCTGTACAACGCTAGGAGAAGATACCCCGCAGCTCTTGCACACCCGCTTCTCAGACTTCGTTGAAACGGATCGAAACTCCGAAGAAAAAGTACCACCAAGCCGCTTACTCCCCGATCCGACGTTCGCTGTATCCCTGCTTCGTAACGCGTCCGCAGCGCCAAAGGCCGAGCAAAGACGTCTCCTTCTTTTTCCTTTGCAAGAATACTATGGGGGCCTAAAAGATTAATCCCTTCCCCCGTTTAATAAACAACCCCCCCCCCCCACCCAAGATGTATTTAGGGCCTTGAATTTTCATATTAGGGTGATTTCGGAAGGTGTTGGGCTTGATTTTCCGACAGTCGAGTCTACAATTTTGAATCCCCAGGAAAGGGTGCGCGTATAACGAAAAGCATGGGATCGGGAACGGGAGGCCCAGGCCAGGGCACGGAAGGGCCAGTATTTGCAGTGTCGAATCCTTTCAGCCTGTGCATGCCAATACGCGCCCACCCCGCTGCCTTGCCTGGGAGCTCAAAATTCTATAGACGGCAAAACAATGAAATTCCCACATCCGGACTCCCTCGGACGCCGCATTCCTGCTCCAAATGTCCGCATTCCAATTCCAGAAATGTGCCCTGGCCTGGTGGTTCCAATCGCATCATGCCGATCCTACTTGACCCCTTATTCAACATGCCTTGGAATCTGGTCATGTTTGAACTTCTTGCTCGAAACTGGAAATCTTTTCGGCCGGGGAAGTCTGTACATTTAGGGGTGATTGATTAAATGGATGAGGGGATGAATTACCCATACTATTCTGGTGCTTAGGTATTGTAATCATAGTATACTGCGCCCCAAAACCACATCCTAATTCGTAAGGCCCCTACATTAGACAGCCCAGCACCTGTTAGAATCGGGAAGGTCGCTAAACTGACTACTAGGTAGGGCTTTGGGACATTTTGTATTTGCTCTTATTGGGCTTAAGAGGATCTTACCTACCAGTGTTTTTCAAAGGCTTTAAAGCATCTCCTAGACTACATAGGACCCTCAGCAGGGACTTTCGCTCTGCAAGGCCTTGAGAGGACATGGCCCACACCTCGCCGGCGAGACACATCAGATCGGTGCGAACTCCCAGAAAGTTGTGTTTGGGCGGGTCTGGGGACGTGGTTTCGAGGGAAGCCGACGTAGCAAGCTGATGCAGCAGACCATGCAGCGATAGACCCCGACTGGACAGCCCTGAAGCCGGAGCCTGCGGCTAAAAAAAACCCTAGGATACCCAGTAGTACCCTTATTCCCTTTTTGTAGTCCTAGGTTCCTTATAAAGTTACCCAATACCAAAAAGAGAGGCCTTTTTATTCTTAGGTTACTGGGTAGCCTAGACCCACAAAGCAACAAGGCCTAAGCCCTAAGCCTTGAATTGCACGCACGTAAAACTGAATTCTCAGACGCAGTTGTAAACCCACTTGTGCAAACCCCGAGCAGAGCAGGTAAATCCAGCAAGTGCACCACAAATAGCAGCCCTCATACGGACCCATGACGACCCCTACAGCGATTGACCCTATGTTCAGAAGCTGCTACGAAGATTGTCGAAAATCCTCAGATTTCACCCTTGAGCCCGATCGCGTAGCGATCCGACAAAGGTTTGAAATCCTAGACCCGAAACCCTCGCGATCGAAGCCCCCAAACTATCGAATCCCAAGAACACACGACTCCGAAGCTAGGAGCCTGAATAGTAAATCATGCAGTTCCTTAGGTTTCCTTCATTTGGAAGTACAGCGAAGTACTGATCGACCTCCCCAAAACCCATTTGTAGTTGTCAAGGCCCCTATGTTACCTCCCCAACAAGGCCCTCTAATGTCCCAAAAGCGCAGCTATCAGTGAATGAGGCTTCCAGCTGTGGAGCCAAGTTGGCAGGCAGCCGGGAGAGGGCAAAAACTATTTCCGAATAAACTGTAGCAATCTTCAATTATCGCCCCTCTCACTGTACTCGTCTACTATACACTTACAGTATGCTATACCCCCACCGTAATCTGAGTATCATATGATGCAGGTACTTGGAGGTTCGTGGGCAGTTATAAGTGGGGTTATATTAAGGCCCCTAATATGGGTTATGCGTATGTTACCCTACTGATAACTACCCATGAACCTCCAAGTAGGCCTTGTGTGCCATGCTTGACGATTTGGGCTTGCTGCTCAAGGCCTGACTGCCTGACAGAACGGAGGGTCTGAACCCGAAGGTGTAGTGCAACAGGCAAGTGCAGAGGTTTAGGGTTTGGGTAATGTAGGGGCCGTAATAGTTACCTATACTATTTTGGACGATTCCGTATTGAAAATTACGGTATAATATACCCTCAAATCCTAGTCTGATTACCCAGATCCCCGGGAGGATCCAAAAAGTCCCTTAATGGGGGTTCCTATAAAGTACCCTTAGTAGTATAGGGCCCCAAAAAGGGATCTACTTTCTAGATCCTCCCGGGGGTTGGGTATTCAGGCCCCTTCTAGATCCCCACAAGATGGGCCCTCGCAGGTTGCGAAGCAGCCGACTCCTCTGCCTAACTCGGCCAGGCAGGCTTTGCCGGTTCAGGGTTTGAGGATAATAGTGTTTTAGGGGTTTGGTGTCATTATTTTACTCCTTTTCGGGTTTAGGGATAACAGTCTTTTATAGGTTTTGTGCCGTGATTTTACTCTTTTGGGGGTTTAGGTGTGGTGTTTTGCGTTCAGGGAGTCAGGGTTCAAGCCGTCACGTTGCCCAACCCAAGACTAAATTCGATGGGGCAAGGGTTCTGAGGCCCATGGCCTTGACTGTAAACTCCTGCTTGGAGGATCATGGGACTTAGTAAGTAGGGTTATAAGTACCGTAATTGGGGCTAAAAGTAGCTATAAGTATAGTTACCCTAATCATAACCCTAGTTACTAAGTCCCGTGATCCTTTAAGTAGACCCTAAACCCTAAACTAAACCCTATAGATCCTAGATCCCATTAAGGAACCCTATAGATCCCTTTAAAAGGACCCGGTGTCCCTCCAATAAGTCCCGTGATCCTTTAAGTGCAGTTCATGAACCCCGGATCGATACCTACTAGTCGAGTAGGTAGCCTTTAACCTTTTTTGGGGTAGTGTAGTCCCTATATAATCCCTAGGTAACCAAACAGGCTTGACCTGTAGTGCCCCATGATACCCGACAAGTAGGGCTATATCATCGGCTAAGGTAGGAACCTGATTAAGAAACCTTGGGCCTATAACCCCCAAGCACTAAGATTCATATAATGGGTCCCTAATCAAGGCCCAAGGTTTCTATACTATATCAGGTTCCTACATTATTATAGTACCCTTCACAGATCCCTTATAGTAACCCTTATAGACCCCTTTTGAAGGAACCCTTAGGCCCAAGGTTTCTTAATCAGGTTCCTACATTAAGGGGGGGTGTATACTTGCCAGGTAGCCAAAGAACTCAGGGAGCTTCTGGTATAGTTTGGGAACGGTTACGGCCCCCACTCAGTAATAGTTGAACATCATTCATAATACAAATATAGTTATATTAGGTTTTTAATATTAGCCCTATTATAGACTCTTACTGTATGGGGGCCGTACCTAAGGTATAGTGGCTTGCGTTGTAGCGGTTTTGAGGTGTAGGGGTTGGTGAGTGGTTAGGGTTGACATAGGCGGTTTAGGGCTCAGGGGTTAACTAGGTAGGGCTTTGGGACATTTTACACTTGCTGTTATTGGGTTTAAGGCTTCAAAGGCGCCTCCTAGTCAAGGATTCGGTTTTGGGACTGAGGCGTTTGGGCTCTAGGCTTTGCGGTTCAGGCTTTGGCTTTGGGGCCCACCCCCGGGAGTAGGCTTCAAGCTCCAGGCAAAGCAGTTTCTGTTTTCCTAGGTAGTGTTAGGGAGACCCCTTGAAGAGTGGGTCCCTCTTAGCCCTGGTTCTGTGTCGCCTATTGAAGGCTCGAGATCCCCAAGGGTCCCCCTGATCCTGACTCGAAGGCACAAAAGCATCGATGCCTGGAAGCTGAGAGAGTCCAAATGGTCCTGGCCGCACAAGCAGATTGCAGAGGGGGGAGGGGTGACAAGGGGGAGGGGGGGTAGGGGCCGTAATCATAATCTTCATTCAATAGTCATCATCACCAATCATCAGTGTCAGTACCATCTCTTCAGCATCATCATCACTCCGATCATCAGCATCATTGATTTTTTATAGTTGTAACTCGTGATCATACTCACGACTGAAAGTACTGGCATTGTCGGCGGTCTTCCAAAACAGCTTGTAGGGATCACTTGAGACTTCACACATAGGGTTTTGCGGTATGCCATTCCTGGTACTGTAAGAAACTGTGGCGATGATGAACATCGACTCTTCAGGCTCCCTTACTTGAAAGTTTCCGAAAATTAGGGGTACCTTATTTTGGGGTCCTGGTTATAAGGATCCTACTATTTAGGGTACCTATTTTCGGAAACTCGCACTTAGGGAATTTGGAATCTTGCAGCGCCTACACTCAAAGGGGAAAAGGAGGGACCCCTACCCTATAATGGGCTATATAATGGGTATATAATAGCTATGTTAAGGGTCCTTAATAAGGGTCCCTCCTTTTACCCTTGGATACACCCTGAGGCCTGTGGCCGTTAAGGCTTGGGGGTTTCTCGGGTTGAGCGAGCGTGCTGAGTTTAGGGGGGGTTGTTTTGGGTGGAGGGTTTAGGGCGCCAGAACCTTTAAAGATGTGGCAGAAGCACCCAAACCCTAACCCCATAAAACCCGATCGGTACGGTTGCCATCATGACGAATTTCCTTTCGGGAGAGACCCCTCAACCCTAAGCCCAAGTTTTGATAGCAACCCGTACAGTAGCATGAATAGGATCCTTTATTGGCGTCTATCGTGACATTTAGAATGACGTTAGTGCAACCCTAAGCTATATATAGTGAAGCCCAGAAATTTGGAACATGGATTTACAACGATTAGTGCTGGGGATCCCCTATACTCTACCTTTGTTCTCTACTCGTTCCCAGAGGCCCCACCTAGTGCCAGCCAAGCCGTGGAAGGGTGCCTTACAGCCACAACTGTAGTCTGTTTTAGGAGTTGAGTTTTTTATATAAAACCTGAGAGAGTACTAGAATGATTGTTGATTATGGTTCCAAGGGGTATAGATAAACCCCAAGAGAACATTAGAAAGATGTGTGTTTTATTATGGTTCTAAGGGGGTAGAAACAAAATCCGAGATAATATTAGAAAGATGGTTGTTTCTTATGGTTCTAAGGGTGGTATAGACAAGCTGCATCCTGCATGTGACTCAACGCTAGTGACTTTGGGTTTGGATCCACTGCAATAGGCTTGGTAGGGGTTTAGGGTTTAGGGCTAAACCCTAAACCCTGTAAGATGCTCGTGCTTGAGATGAACCGCCTAGGGAGATTCATGGGGCAGAAAGGGGATGAAGCCTCTACGACTGCTATCCTCTCATCCACGCTGTGGCCCCCCCGACTTGGGTTAGCTTAGCGTGCGATCCGCGATCTTTTGCCTTGCTTTTGTGGCGCCGCTGTATGTTGGTGGAGGCGATGATGAGCTTGCTCTTGGGATGGTTCTTGTGTTTGTTGCCGTACCGTCCTCACAAGCATTGGTCCACATCTGCAATCTGCGCGCTAAGAAGTTGGGATGCGCAGAGAGCGAGGTACGCAGCAGCCCTACCACCTGCTGTCCAGGTCTGTGCCCCCTGATAGGCGCATGCACCTTCAATCCCCACCAGCAACGTTTACCCCAGGAGGCGCTTATTGATGAGTCTGGTGGCGACGCCTGCGCCACAGCGGGTTTAAAAAATGCATCCTTGTCGGTTCTGGACGTATCCGTGTCAGGGTTGAAAATCCACAAGACCAGACCCTACAAAAGACCCTATACCCCTAGATCCGAGACCTTAAACTCATGCCTGAACCCCAAACCCTAAGCCAAGAACTCCTATACCCACAAATCCCGGGTTAAGGGTTCAGGGTTAAAGGCTAAGAAATTGTGAGGCTGCGGTTGTTGAAGCCATGGCGGAAACAGTGCAGAAAACATCCCAGCCAACGATGACTTATCCGGTCATGAAGCTCACAGATGGCGAGAAAGAAGATGTAGCGCAGCAGCTGTCAAGCTTGTTGACGAAGACCTTGACGAAAAAGCTCAACGTTCCTCTTGTGGAAGGCGGCTCTGCCCCTGCGCTTTACGAGAAAGCTCAGGACTTGGACAGCCACATCGCCGGGATCAGAGCCCGCGCCAGAGTGCAATACCCCCAAATCCCACCTACCCCCTAAACCCTAAGCCCTACGCAAAAACATCCCACGACCCCCCAAATCCCACAATCCTAGGCCCCAAACAAAAAAAGAAGTCCGATGCCCAAATCCCGCTTGAAATCTCGGGTGCCAGGCGAGCGATCTGCGAGGGAGGGCCACAGGAGCCCAGCAAAGCAACAGCGGAGGAGGCTGCCTTCGAAGTCAAACATGTTTAGGGATCCTTACTTGGAGGTTCATGGGTAGTTATAAGTGGGGTTATAAGTTATAAGTCCCCGAATATGGGTTATGAGTATAGTTACCCTACTTATAACCGTACTTATAGCTACCCATGAACCTCCAAGTACGGGTTCCTTTAAGGGATCTGTAGGGTTTCTCTTAGGGCCCCAAAAAGGACATAAGCATAAGCTTTGTTATAGGGACACCCCTCTCCTAATTTTTGCTTATGTGCCTTTCTGGGGGCCCTATATTCTCAGTCAGACTTCAATTTTTGGGCTTGGGGATCCGGTTTGTTTCGTATGAGGGTTTGGGGCTTCGGGTTTAGGGCTTAGGGTTTCGGTTTCGGTTTTAGGGGTTTCCGTTTAGGTTTAGGGTTCAGGAGGTTACCCAGAGACTCCAATACTCAAAGGGGAAAAGGAGGGACCCTTAATGGGGACCCCTGGGTCCTTATAATGGGCTTTATAATGGGTATATAATAGCTGTATTAATTAAGGGTCCCTTATTAAGCGTCCCTCCTTTTACCCTTGGAAATACCTGTGTTTGGAGTACCATACTTGCATACTTTTTTGGTACCTGTTCCTTAAAGGAACCATTGTGAAATCAAAGTCTATACTTTTTCTCCCTGGTTACTTCAAAGTCCAGAAGATCCCCTAAATTGAGGAACATACGAGTAGGATCCCGAGATTGATATAAGGTATATTGCGTAATTAAGGGATATTGGAGTCTGTGGGTATAGGGGCCTGAGCCATATACCCAAGGTTACGGCCGGGAAAGGGGGCCTCATGAACAGCAATCCCCAAAGTCCTCCATCAATGTGAGCCATCTTGTGATGCTTTGCTTTCACCCTACGCCTCCGTGCCCAGTATTCCGGTAAAGTTGATTGAAGCTTGGTCTCATGGGATCGCGTTCACTAGCATTGCATCGTGGACAGTGCTCGAGCTAGTGTTCACAGAGGTGGTACTACAGGGACTTGAATGAATAAGTATCAACAGTATCTCTCAGTGCAGCTTATTAAGAAAGTATCGCATATTCAGGCCAGGGGCATCACATTTCGGATCAAAATCCTTTACATCACCGTCTCGCCAGATACAAGTAGAGTAGGGTTCGGGGTTTGGGGTCATATTGCAATATACTTATGCAGGGACTACACGAGGGATGTTATTGCTGATTATATTGGCCTGTTAGCCCGGGCTATCGTCTAATGGCTGATCCAGTGCAAGTGGTGCTTCGACGAAGGCTTCCACAAGTAATGTAGGGGCCTTAATAATTAGAACAGGTTTTTTTTGGGGGGGGTCCTAATTATAAGTATAGTAGAATCTCCCCCGAAACCCTATTCTAATTCTTGAGCGGCCCCCTGCATTATTATGGAGAGGCAAGTTAGTCGTTCTATGGTTGTTTTTGTAAGGCTGCTTTAAGGGTGTTGCTACTTGGTCCTTTGTAAAAGCTACTGTTGGCATTACCCATGATAAGGAATATACCATAATTCCCATAGTTTAGGATCCTTAAGGTAATGCAGGATTTATATCATCAACCGTAGTTTCTCGGCTCCCCCTGTGATTGCCTGCTCAGAGGATCATGGGACTCAGTAAGTAGAGTTATAAGTAAGATAACTATAGTTGTATCTACTTATAACCCGGTCGTGATAACCCTACTTACCAAGTCCCACGATTCTCGGGACTCTCCCATAGCCTAAGCCTCCAATCCTAAGCTCTCTTCAGCCAAGATGTCGACCATATACCCTAATAATGAACCCCAGAAAGTTCAAAAATGGATTTGGGATGATTAGTGCTGGGATTCCCCCCTATTTTGAGGGGCATGAGGAGAGTGATGTTCCCCAACTTTCCGGCTTCTGCTCTACTAAACCATCCATCCGATCTACCCTAATCCTCCATGGGTAGTTGTCAAGATAGGGGTCCCTTTTTGGATACCTTAAATATTAGGTGCCGTATTATGTTAAGGACCCAAAAAGGGACCCTAATTTTGACAACCACTCCCATGTTAACCCTCAGCTAATCCTCTATGGAATGTAGGAATCAGATTAAGAAACCCTGGGCCTATCCCACTGAGTCGGATTCATATAGGGAACCCTAATAAAGGCCCAAGGTTTCTTAATCAGGTTCCTACATTACATAGCCCCACGCTTCAATGCCAGGAGCGCCGTGGCAGCCTGCAAGATCATTTTCAGAAGCCGGGCCCAAGGATGGAGTTCCCCTAATGTAGAAGTTTCCGAAAGTGAGGGGTACCTTATTTAGGGGTCCTTCTAATGAGGATCCTACTATTTGAAGTACGATATTAGGGTTCCCTCTTTTCGGAGACTCCCATGTAGAGGCTTAAACAACTACATTTACCAGTACAAGCTTGTGGGGGTTCCTGACTATAAGTAAGCGACAATATACCTCAATCAAAGCCCCATTCTACTTATTTGAGGCCCCTGTATTCCCTAAACTCGAAAGCCCAAAAGGTTTAAGGATTTGGGGCTTATGGCTTAGAGGCTTAGAGCGCTTAGGGTTTTTTGGAACCTTTGTTAAGCCTCTTGTTGTTGGCAGATTCGATACCCCTGCCGCCGACCAATGTACAAGTAGGCCCCATTCCCCCCATAAGTCTCGGATGCGCTGCTAGCCATTTCCTGGGCTCCAGTGACCAAGCAAGCAAGCATCGTGGACAAGAGGACGAAGGAAAAAGAGGCGCTGGCAGAGCTTCAGACAGAGCCGAACTCCATGTCAGGAGAGGTGGAAGGCATCAGGGTGCACAAGATCACTGAGAAGCAGGACCTCGTCGCACGTGTCTAATGAGGCACTGTTGGAGCTTGCGAAGCTGTCCAACAAGGGGCTTCCAGACATGTCATCCTGCTAAATTTCCAACTCTCTCTCAATCTGCAAGGCCAGCTTAGCGCCACAAACTACCGTGGTTGAGGTTTAGGCTACAAAACCTTAAACCCCCAAACCCTAAACCCTAAGCCGACAGTGGTTGAGGTTTAACCTCCAGGGCCTTTTTTCGGAGGCTTCAACAGGTGGGATGAAGGTAGGTGGGATATTCCCAAATAAGAGTCCTTATATAAGAGATCCTTAACCCTACCTGCCTTCATCCCACCTTTTGAGGCCTCCGATTTTTGTTCTTGCTTCGGCTTCCGGTCCCTGGGACCCCCTTGAGCTCCAAAGCCTCACCCCACGAGGCTCTACCACTACGTCCAGCAGACCTGCTTCGCCCAGTGGGCTTGGAGCTCGGCCTGCAGAGAGAGAGAGCGAGAGAGAGAGAGAGACAGAGAGACAGAGAGACAGAGAGACACAGAGACACAGAGACAGAGAGACACAGAGACACAGAGACACAGAGAGAGACACAGAGAGAGCGAGAGCGAGTTCGAGAGGCAGGGAGGGAGGGAGGGAGGGAGGGAGAAAGGGAGACTGGGAGATGCAGAGCCATGTAGGAGAGATAGGTATGCACCACTACATATGCCTGTAATTTAAACACATCTACATAAACATTTAGAAATCGAGCAGTGTATGTCGAACCTCTGCCTATGAACGAAAGAATTGCGAAACGAGCGCATGACCGTATCGTTGAAATTAACATTTATAGGCACTTCCATACTTTTACGTGTATACGATGATCAACTGACTAACTCATCTAGCATGCTCGGGGTTGTAATACATACATACATGCATAATCATGCTTACGTGGAACACACCCAAAAAGACCCTGAACTCGAGAATGGGGACAAGGGCGGTCGTCCGTGAGAAGTTGGATGAGGCCCTTCCTTGTGGGGGGCTGTGACATGAAGCATGGGCTCTCTATACTCTGTTCTCTTGCAAAAGCTATAGATTCTACTTGGAGGATCATGGGACTTAGTAAGTAAGCTTATAAGTACCTTAATTGGGGTCATAAGTAGCCGCAAGTATAGTTACCCTACTCACAACCCTAATTCCTAAGTCCCATGATCCTTGAAGTGCAGTTCATCCCTTATAGGAGCCCTTTAAGGAGGCCTTTAGAGTCCCTAAGTCCTATGATCCTTTAAGTAGTCGCTCTGCCAGCTCAGGTTGCGCTGAACTTGGCAGCAGAGTCCCAGGAGCGACATGGCGTTGGGGGGTTCGCATCCGCAGCTTTTCTTAGGGGTACTTAGAAGTCATTCTGAGTGTTTGGTTCCTGGAATCCCCAAGAAACAGCTAAAATTCTAATTTTTGCTGGGGGGGTCTAAGTTCAGTGCAGTTTTGTCTTGTGCAGGCAGAGATTGTACAGTAAGGAGAACAGTTCGGGCGTGTCGTTTTCAGGCTCGAGGAGTTAGTCCTCAATGTTATCCTTAGTCCTTCGGGTTTAAGGAGGGCGCGTCGTGTAGATCTAGGATCTGTGTCTTCGATTTTGGTGGCTTACTGTTACAGTCCGGATTAGATGCCCCAAACCCTAAACCCTAGTTCACAGAGGTCAGGCTTAGGCCCCTCCGGGCCTCGAATTTACCCGGCTGGTGAGATTTCGCCAATGGTCATAGCACTTACGATGGGTTAGGTGGGTTATGATTTAGGGTTTGGGGTTTAGGTGGGTTATGATCTACGAGTTGCTGGTTTACATCTGACTAGCACCAACACCCGGCCGTTTGCTTCTGAAAAAGCAACAGCGTCTTGGTGGCAGTTGGATTAGAAGAGTGGGTCATGGCCACGAGAGTGCTCACGGGGAGCCAGGGATCTACAATTGAAAGTGATGAAGGATCAAGCGAAAGCGAGGCACTTGGTGCAGCGAGGTCCTCCGCTGAAGCAAGCGGGCAAAAAGGACGGTGGCTGATATAAATCCTGCATTACCTTAATGGCTCTAGGCTATGGGAAGTATGGTATATTCCTTATTATGGGTAATGCAGGATTTATATCATCAACAGGAGGAGTAGTGTCGAAAAGCCTCAAGTCCCATCGAGCCCGAGCCTCTCGATTTCTTGAGGTGCTGAAGGAACCCGAGCCCGAAGCCTTGCAAACCGCAGGCGCGAAAATGCCTTGCCTAGGTGACCAGCCAATGAGAGGAGTGAGGCGGCAATATAGGGCCTTTAACAACTACCGATGCTATTGTGGTTGTTCCTTATTCTGGTTTCAGTCTAGTAGACCACAGAACCCTATTCTAATTATTAAGACTCCTGTATTAGTGTCCAAGAGTTCATCTCGGGTTTGGAAGGTTTCATACTTTGACTTCTCCCTCATATGACATTGCCCTAAACCTTACACCCTAAACCCCAAGCCCCAAACCAAAAAACCCTAAACCGTCACAATATGGATGGGGACAGGCAATACCTGTTTTCCGAGACTGGGGGGGTTAAGGGTTAGGCTTCAAGGGTTTAGAGTAGAAGCCAGAAATCTTCATGCCCTTGAGGAATCCCAGCACAAGTCATCCTTAATCCATGCTCCAAGTTTCTGGGGTTCACTATACTTGGAGGATCATGGGACTTAGTAAGTAGGGTTATAAATACCTTAATTGTGGTTTTTAAGTAGTTGTAAGTTATAACTTACTTATAACCCTACCTACTAAGTCCCATGATCCTCAAAATAGGTCAAGATTGCCAGGCGCGGCCGATGCAAAGCGGCTGCTACACAGGAGGCAACTCGCACCTAGCAACGGTCTTTTCAAAGTGGAGTTTCTGACCCCAATCATGAACCTGGCAGTATCAGGCAGGTTGGCTTCTGTGCGAGTCCCACAATCTGAGTACAAGCCTGAACTACACAATCCTCTCCCCCGCATCAACTTCGTCTCCATCCCCTCTTGAGGGTTTCGAGCGCAGCAAATGTTACGAGGATCGGGCTTCGGATTTCGGGAGTAGTTGGATGACGCGACGCAATAAGACTTCGTAGCGAGGGAGGCGGGTCGAGGACGGTTAAGGTTTAGGGTTCCGGGTTTAGGCTCCTTTGCAGACTCGCCAATCTGAACTGAGTGGTTCGGATTTGCAGAGATCTTCTAAGAACCGTGTCACAGGCGTGTATGGGAGGTCCTGTGGGGGCTGAATCATGCCGCGATGAATGTGGTGGTAGTATTCAAGGGAGGACTGCAGCGCTTGCGGTTGAGTCGGTTGAGATAGGGTTGGTAATGGGTGTATTCGATCTCGTAGGCAAAAGACACTGCAGACCATGGCCTCGACTATAAATTGTTGAGACTGCAGAAGTCTGAGTAGTCCAAGGAGGTGAGCGTAGGAGGCGCCATACTCATCTGTACCCTGTGTTGAAGAGATGGGATCTAGATTATCGCTGTTCTTGAGACCTTTAATGTAGTCCGCAATGAGTTAGGGGATTGATATAAATGGGTTGTTGTCAAGATTAGGGTCCCTTTTTAGGTTCCCACTACAATACGGCACCTATGATTTAGGGTACCCAAAAGGGACCCTAATTTTGACAACCACCCATATAAATACAAACTCATCACAACGAGAACAACAACGTATGTATAACTCACGGTCTTGGGATGACCCGCCAGACTGTTTTGGCTACCAATAACAGGCTTCAACCTGCCAGGACGCCTCCGAGGTAACATGCTGAACCCTAAAGCCCTAAACCACGTCAGAATCTTGGCAGCGTTATACATATATATATATATGCCCATCTAGCCTTTCACAATCTTGAATTCCTTAAAAGGTACAGTAGAACAAATCGCCAAACCCGGTTCTAGATGTTTCAAAAACGCCAATCCCGCAGACCATAAAGCTAAGCCGCCAGACCAAACCCAACCTTTGGCGGTTGTCTTCTTGAAGTTTAGGTTCTTGGTTTGTTTGCTCCACCGGAGAAGGCTGACTGTTTTGACAAGCCTCGGATTGGACGTAAAAGTCAGGCCAAAGATTTCCCTCAGTCTACAATGCCATCATAGTTCTGGTCGAACATTCGGAATGAAAAGCACTCCTCTGAGCTGTGAACTAACATCAAAGTATGCTGTCAGTCCCAAAGACAAGCCACCAAAGCAGGCGCACGAAATGGCACTAGTTCAGCTGCAACTACATGTACAAAACCAGCTTTGTAGACCATCGAGTGAACTGTTGCAGTCACGTCAGCACCAGTATCCAGACAGCACCAGACTCGTCGTGCAGGTGGCTGACAGAACTCGCACAGAGTTTTGGACTTAGGACGGATCTATATAGTAGAGTGTAGGGTTTCTATATTAGGAATTACTATTACGATTTGGGGAAGTATCACCCATAAGCATACCCGAGGATCTATGAGACCCAACGTGGCCGACGCAGCTGAATCTCTTCGATATGGGAGTTTCCGAGAATAGGGGACCCTCATTTTAGTACCCTAAATAGTAGGATCTCGATTATAAGGACCTCAAAATAAGGTAGCCCTAGTTTCCCCAAACTCTAAACCTTAAACCCTTTATAGAACCCTTATAGATTCCTTAAAGGAACCCTTATAGATCCCTTAAAGCAACCCTGATAGATCCCTTAAAGGAACCCTTATAGATCCCTTAAAGGAACCCTTTTAGATCCCTCCATATTCGAGGAGGTGGCTCCCTGATGCCGCCGCAGCTCAAGGATCTCCAGGCCGACGCCACCCAGCTCTTTACATGGGAGTTTCCGCAAATGAGGGGTACTTGGAGGATCATGGGACTTAGTAAGTAGGGTTATAAGTACCTTAAGTAGGGTTATAAGTAGATATAACTATAGTTACCTTACTTATAACCCTACTTACGAAGTCCCATGGTCCTCTAAGTGCTTTTATAGGGTTACAATCAGGGTACTATAAAGTAAGGGTTTAGAGGTTCCGCAAATTAGGGGTACCTTTATAGGGTTACTATAAGGGTTTCTTTAAAGGGCTTTCTAAGGGTTTACAGTTTCTAAGCGTACTATAAGGGATTCGTTAAAGGGCTTTCTGTTGGTTTAGAGTTTCCGCAAATTAGGGGTACCTTTATAGGGTTACTATAAGGGCACTATAAAGGTTTCTTTAAAGGGCTTTCTATTGGTTTAGAGTTTCCGCAAATTAGGGGTACCTTTATAGGGTTACTATAAGGGCACTATAAAGGTTTCTTTAAAGGGCTTTCTAAGGGTTTAGAGTTTCCGCAAATCACATGGTTGCTGCTTTACAGGATCGTTTAAGGCCCTGAAGCCCTCACCTCCTTGCTTTACTTGGTTGCTGAGCCATTGATGAAGGTCTTTTGAGGCCCAGGTGGCCTCATCCCGAATCCCCGCACCCTAAACTAGCCTTACTTGGAGGTTCATGGGTAGTTATAAGTGGGGTTATAAGTCCCCTAATATGGGTTATAAGTATAGTTACCCTACTTATAACCCTGGGAACTTACTGGTAACCCCTTACAGAACCCTGAAAGGGACCCTATTCTCAGTATTTACTCCTACCGAGCAGTCGAGTAGGTAACCTTTAACCTTTTTTGTGTAGTATAGTCCCTATATAATCCCTGTATAGCCAAAAGGGTTAACCTTTAGGTCCCCATGAGGGATCTTGAACCCCAGCTAAAGCATGCTTAACCCAAAGTCCACCTTGAATCCTGCGGTTAAGCCTGGACCCTTTAACAGGGGACCGTAATTATAGTACCCTAAATAGGTAGGACTAGGAGCTCTTTCCCACGAAGCGTGCCCGAAGGTGCCTGGCGATGAGGCCAAGACGGACTCTACTGTCCGAGGACGGCCACACCTGGGACCCCAAATAACGAATTCGGGTGCACAAGTATAATTTTCCAATATCTACTATTTCATATTTAGTAGAGTACATAGTCTAATAGTAGGTTAGGGTTTGAGGGGTTCAGGGTTTTAGGGGTTTAGGGCTTAGGGAAAAAGCCTACTTAAAGGTATATGGCATGTTTAAGGAAACCCCCTGTTTTGAGGAGCTATGTAAATAAATCATCCCTGTGAAGGAATTATGTAGAAGGGCCTTCTTAAAGAAGTACGTACAGAAGTCCTAGAACACTTGGTTACATCGAGTCATGAGTGATGTAGAAATCATGATAAGGCTGCCCTTGAATTTATCATGTAGAGAATCAGAATAAGGAAGCCCAAAGAAGGTAGGTTATTTAGGGTTAGGGTAAACGCGTAAGCCTAAACGAGGATGAGGGAAGCCACTGCAGTTGAAGCTCGTCTCGGGGCTTCAAGAACGAGACTGGGGCTTGGGGACAAAATAGCAGGATCAAGTAGGGGTACCGTATTTTGCGTCCTTCCAATAAGGACCCTACTACTTAGGGTACTATATCAGGTTCCCCTATTTTCGGAAACTCCCAAAGAGCACAATCAGCTAGGGGCTGAATATTCTGCGCAAGGCCGGTAGTTCGACCCGCTAGCTTGAGCACGAAGTCGACCCTTCCCCCACCCTCCTGACGCCAGTGAGCCTTGAGGCCTCCACCGCAATGAAGCAGTATTATATCGGGATTTCGCCACTTTGAAGCACCCCGCCATCCCGCAAGAGGCTGTAACATGTAACTGCTAAACAGTGTAGCTCAAAACTTTCGGCCGCCCGGGGGTGTAGTAGGGGCCTTGATCCATTGCTAATAGGGTTTTGTGGGGGGGGGGGTGGGTTTCAAAATTTGGGCGTTGGAGTACCATACGTTAATACTTTTTTCGGGACCTGTCACTGATGGGAGCCATTATGAGATAAAAGTCTATACCGTTTCTCCTTGGTTACTCCAAAGCTCAGGAGTGAATTTGCTTGTATAGGAGCCTCTTAACAGTTGCAACAGGGTTGGGGGGAGGGTAGGGAGTATATCATACAGGAAGCATATGGGGGGCCATTCATGATATAGACTAGGGTCCAGACGCCTATAACCCCCAAAATAGTAGGGTTCATATTGCATCCTTATTATAGTACGGCACCTAATATTTAGGGTACCCAACAAGGGACCCTAAGTTTGACAACTGCCCATGTGGAGCTGGCATTCTGTGAGAGAGTTTTGCGGAGTTTCGGCGTTCATGGCATCGGTGCTCGACTGGGGGCCTGTGCGGCTGGGGAAGATTTATGGCTTTAGAAAGAGGATTCTCTCCATAGTACTTGGAGGATCAAGGGACTTAGTAAGTAGGGTAATAAGTACCTTAGTTGGTGTTATAAGTAGGCATAGCTATAGTTACCTTACTTATAACCCTACTTACTAAGTCCCATGATCCTCCAAGTAATAACATGCCCCAAAACCCTATTCTAGCCATTAAGGCCCCTATATTACATAGTACCCATATTGTAACCCTTGTGGTTTAAGGCTTTAAGGCAAACTTTCGGCGGCCTCCAGGTGAAAGGTTTCAGAAATTCAGGGGCGCTGAGAAAAATCTTTAGGGTTCGCTATCAACCCAAAGCAAATCCTCATCCTAAGAAAGTGGTTGAAGCCTAAAGCGACAATCCGATTCGAAGGACATCCCTGGCCATTGGATGCCTCGGAGCCTTGTACCTCTCTTGGAACTGTGTGCTTTTGAAGGCTTCTGAACACTAAACCCCTAAGTCCTAAACCCAAAAACCCTAAATCCTATGTATAAGATCCTTTTACAGGAACCCCTATAGATCCCTTTAAAGGAACCCTCCCAGGAGAAGAGAGGGGAAGCGGCCTGAAGTGAGGGATCTTCAGGGACTTTCAGGGTCCTAGGAGTCGAGCAGGCTACCTTTAACCTTTTTTGGGTTGTATAGCCCATATATTGGTGTAGGGTTTAGGCTCTAAGGGTTTAGGGTTTAGGGTCTTAGGGTTTGGAAGGGTTTAGGGTATAGAATCCCTATATAACCAAAAAAGGTAACCTTTAGTTCCCCATGATACCCGACAAGTAGGGGGCGCTTAGGAGTTTCAGGCTTCGGGGAGTTTGGGAGTTTAGACTATGGTATAGTTATACTGAGGGACCCCAAGGTTATACCATATGGGGTTTAGGGTTTAGGGCATAGTATAGTTCGGGCCCGAATTCCCGCTGCGCGGGCTACTTAAAGGATCATGGGACTTAGTAACTAGGGTTGTGATTAGGGTAACTATACTGAAAGCTACTTATAACCCCAATTAAGGTACTTATAACCTTACTTACGAAGCCCCATGATCCTCCAAGTATAGTAATAGTATAGTATAGTTATACCACGGGACCCCACGGTTATACCATAGTATAGTTATTATAGCGGAACCTTAGGGGATATAGGTTTAGTCTTCGGGATTCCGGATGCTTCCCTTAGTCGTCGTGTTTGGCCGCGAGTGTTGACCTAGTGGTGTAATTTCGGGTTGTCCTTTGGGGTCTGTTTTCAGTGGGCTTAAAGGACAACTCAGAATCATGTGGAGCTTTGTCTTTGCGAGGTTATCCCAAACCAGAAATTCAATAAGCCTCCGCCCTAAACCCCTTGAGGAATCGTGTCGGGGCAGCTTCGGGCTTGGCGTCAGTGTGAGTGGGAGCTGAGGGTTGAGGACATCATCCAGCTTCCTGCTCGGGATATAGGGTTCAGGGTTTAGGATTCATGTTGCCTCTAGTCGCCATGGGACTATGACACCCCAGATCGCCGTGGTCAGCCGGATCGACCCTAAAACCCCAAACCCGTCCTAAACCCTCTTTTTTCGGGAAAAGGGCACCAAAACCCTACGGTTCCCAAAGGTGAGCGATGTGGCCGTCGATGCTTGGCTTTCCTCCCCTTACAGGCCGGTACAGTCAGAACAAGGACCTCTAACGTCACACTAGAGTATAGTTATACACTAAGGAACCCTCAGGTTATACCATCCGTATAGTTATGATAAAAGGGACTCTGCCCTTATGCCATGGTATAGTTATGATAACGAGGTGCACTGATCTAGAACAGTATAGTTCTCATACGTAACCTTAGCAAACGGTATGGATGGTCCGGGCTTTTGAGCGGCCCTATACGATGCTGCGAAGGGCGTATATTTATGATAGTGGTCATGGCTCTGTTGTGGAGTCTGTAGTATCATGGCAGTTTACTGCGTTTACAGTATTTCGATTGATTCTGGGCAATGGTCCTTGGTCCTGTGCTTTTGGAGCATACTCCCGTCGTGGATGAAGTTAAAGTGGTAGTTAGCCTCAGTATCACTCCTTACTTGGAGGTTCATGGGAAGCTATAGGTAGGGTTACAAGCACGGTAACTATACTTGTAACCCACATTAGGGAATCCCACTTGTAACTACCCACGGACCCCACTTGTAACTACCCACGGACCTCCAAGTAGCCCTCCAACCACGAGCTCCTGAGCCCGCATCCCGCAGGGAAGTAAATCTAGGAGCCTGTGAACCACTTCGCCTCAATCTCCCCCCCCAGCGACGAAAGAAAACAGCCTAGATGGTCGGGCCCTTGCATTGCTTGAAACCCTTGTAAAAAGCCTTGAAGATGTGTTCAGAACTACTAAGCAGAAAAAGGAAACTAAACCCCAGACTGACCATTGAGGCTTCTACTACAGGAGCCTTGATAACGGAGGTGTATTTATTTTGGTATTTTTTTTTTTTTTTTGGGCATTTTTTTTTTTTTTGGGCTTGTGTGCGCGCTTGGCTTGGCTTCTCGGCTTCCCTGGCTTCTTGGCTTCTGGCTTCTTGGCTTTTCGGCTTCTTGGCTTTTTTCTTCGGCATAGAGAGCCTCATAAATCAGTCCTTAAGTCACGCCCTCAACCCTAAGCCGAGCCGAGGCGAATTTAGGTCAGTAAAGCGGGATAGGGGTTAAAAAAAATAAATAAGGATCAAAAAAAGATTAAATAAGGATCAAAAAAAATTAAATAAGGATAAAAAAATTAAACGGGTATCAGCGAAAGGAAGGGGAAAAAGGAACGAAAGACAGAGAGAGAGAGAGAGAGAAGGAAAGAAAGAAAGAACGAAAGAAAGAAAGGAAGAAAGAAAGCAAGGAAGAAAGAAAGAAAGAACGAAAGAAAGAACGAAATAAAGAAATAAAGAAACAACGAAAGAAAGAAAGAACAAAAGAAAGAAAGAAAGAAACAACGAAAGAAAGAAAGAAAGCCATGCAAGAAACAGAGAAATAAGTAAATAAAGAAAGCTATAAGTAAAGAAAGAAAACAAAAATAGAGAACTAAGTAAAGAAAGAAAGCTACAAGGAAAGAAAAAAGAAAACACAAGGAAAGAACCAAAGAGAGTTGACAACTTAGAGAAATACCACGGAATCCGTAGGAAAATCGTGTTTTCACCAGGAAAAACCAAGCAAATCCTTAGGAAACGAAAGAAAATCCCTAGGAAAGCAGTGTTTTCCCTTGGAAAAATTCAAGAATTGCTGTATCTAAAAAGCAAGAAAGAAAGACAGAAAGAAAGAAAAAACGAGAGAGAGAACGAAAGAACGAAAGCAAAAACAAGAGGAAGAACGAAAGCAAGAACTAAAGAAAGAAACTTAAGGAAATACAACGGAATCCGTAGGAAAATCGTGTTTTCCCGAACCAAAAACCAAGCAAATCCTCAGGAAATGAAAACGAATCCGTATGAAAACAGTGTTTCCCCTGGGAAAAATTCAAAAATTGCTGTATCTAAAGAGGACGAAAACAAGGAAAACAGAAAGAAAGAAAGATAGAACGAGAGAGAGAACGAAAGAACGAAAGCAAAAACGAAAGAAAGAACGAAAGCAAGAACGAAAGAAAGAACGAACCAAAGAAAGAACGAAATAAATCAAACCAGAAAGGAAAGCAAGAAAGAAAGGAAGGGAGTATGAGATGAACAAAGAAAGAACAACAGAAAGAAAGAAAAGAAATGAACGAGCGAAAGAAAGAAAGAAGTCCATAATAAAAAAGCAAAGTTGGAAAATACGAAAGAGAAAGAATATGAAAAATCACAGAAACAAAGATACAAGCAACAGGATACTACATAGCCCACTCGAATTTACCATAATATCGTAATGTACCGTAACAGAATATAACATAATGTAAATGTAACCTATAAAATATGCTACATATTATGTTGTAAATATACACACTGTACTGTACTATGTTACAATGTACTACACTATAAACTAAGATGTTGTTTTGTTCTATGTCATCTTCTATTATATGCTATAAGAAGCAAGGTTCTGTTATGTCAGAAAATGTCACACCATTTTTGTGTTGTCGAACCATCTTATGTCGTTCTTCTGGCTTACTATGTTATATATATTAGGTTAGAATGCTAGCGGAAGAAGAGACACGAACAGGCACGGAAGAACAAAACACCCGCCGCCGCGCTTATCGAGACGTGCAAGCTTGATTCAAAGAGTGTTTTCGGCCCATCATGTGAACGTTGTCTCTGCAAATGGGGGGGGCGGCGCCCCCCCCAACCCCCCCGCTGTTTTAAGCCGTGCAGGGTTGCTTTGATTCTCCCTGGCTTCTTGGCTTCTGGCTTCTTGGCTTTTCGGCTTCTTGGCTTTTTTCTTCGGCATAGAGAGCCTCATAAATCAGTCCTTAAGTCACGCCCTCAACCCTAAGCCGAGCCGAGGCGAATTTAGGTCAGTAAAGCGGGATAGGGGTTAAAAAAAATTAAATAAGGATCAAAAAAAATTAAATAAGGATCAAAAAAAATTAAATAAGGATAAAAAAATTAAACGGGTATCCGCGAAAGGAAGGGGAAAAAGGAACGAAAGACAGAGAGAGAGAGAGAAGGAAAGAAAGAAAGAACGAAAGAAAGAAAGGAAGAAAGAAAGCAAGGAAGAAAGAAAGAAAGAAAGAAAGAACGAAAGAAAGAACGAAATAAAGAAATAAAGAAACAACGAAAGAAAGAAAGAACAAAAGAAAGAAAGAAAGAAACAACGAAAGAAAGAAAGAAAGCCATGCAAGAAACAGAGAAATAAGTAAATAAAGAAAGCTATAAGTAAAGAAAGAAAACAAAAATAGAGAACTAAGTAAAGAAAGAAAGCTACAAGGAAAGAAAAAAGAAAACACAAGGAAAGAACCAAAGAGAGTTGACAACTTAGAGAAATACCACGGAATCCGTAGGAAAATCGTGTTTTCCCCAGGAAAAACCAAGCAAATCCTTAGGAAACGAAAGAAAATCCCTAGGAAAGCAGTGTTTTCCCTTGGAAAAATTCAAGAATTGCTGTATCTAAAAAGCAAGAAAGAAAGACAGAAAGAAAGAAAAAACGAGAGAGAGAACGAAAGAACGAAAGCAAAAACAAGAGGAAGAACGAAAGCAAGAACTAAAGAAAGAAACTTAGAGAAAGGTTGCAAAATTCATGTCAATGCACATCAAAAATTGCAACTTTACCTCGCGTTCGAACACTCGACCACGCCAATCCCTGTGAAGGGTTGCAAAATTCATCTCAATGCACATCAAAAAATGCAACTTTGCCTCGCGTTCGAACACTCGACCACGCCAATCCCTGTGAAGGGTTGCAAAATTCATCTCAATGCACATAAAAAATTGCAACTTTACACCGCGTTCGAACACTCGACCACGCCAATCCCTGTGAAGGGTTGCAAAATTCATTTCAATGCACATCAAAAAATGCAACTTTACCTAGCGTTCGTGCATTCGACCATGCCAATCCCTGTGAAGGGTTGCAAAATGCCAATCCTTGTGAAGGGTTGCAAAATGCAGCTCAATGCACCCAAACCCTGTGAAGGGTTGCGCGGCGCCCGCAAAATGTGTAACTTTACCTCGCGTTTGAACGCCCGAGGATGCGGCCCTGCAAGGCAATGCAACACGGCCAAGCAAACCACAAAAAAAAAAAATGCCCAAAAAAAAAAAAAAAATCCCAAACTAATTCCAGACCCCTTGATAACTTCATTCCTTCGGGTTCCATATACACTTACCGTAAAGCATACTCCAAATCCCCCTCCTCATAAGAGCGAGGCGCCTGTTCTATTTAAGCAGCCCTTACTTGCCGATTCGTTTGCAGACCTTCAGGACTCTTCCAGGCGTTGGATGTATGGCAAGCGGTTGAAGTTAAGATAGAGGTCTTGACATGGTTCAGCGCTCAAACAAGTAGTTGGGACGTGTAATATATATGCACATAAACACATGCATGTGTGTACATCCGTATATATATATATATATATATGCATATATATATATATATACATATATATATATATAGATGGTTCCAGCCTCTATTGTAACAGTGAAATCTCACAGCCTTTCCATCGTCAGCCACAGCAAACCCTAAGGCCTGAACCCTTAAACCCCAAGGCCTGAACCCTGGACCCAAAACCCTTGAAGCTCTAAACCCTATATTCTAGGACCCAGAGTAGGCCCTTATTCCCTTTTAAGGGTTTAGGTTCCCTTATAACCACCTTTAAATCAAAAAGGGCACCCTTTTCATTCCTAGGTTACTCTTAGGTCTAGTATTGGATCCCAGAAAATTGGTGGATTTAGGATGACTAGTGCTGGGATCACCTTTAAGGCCATGAGGATATTGATGTTCCAACTTTCTGGCTACTGCTATAAACCGTAAAGGCTCAATCCCAAAGCCCTACTTGGAGGATCATGGGACTTAGTAAGTCGGGTTATAAGTACCTTAATTGGGGTTATAACTAGATATAACTATAGTTACCTTACTTATAACCCTACTTCCTAAGTCCCATGGTCCTCTAAGTAGACCCTAAACCCTAAACTAAACCCTATAGATCCCTTTAGGGAACCCTTTAGACCCCTGAAAATCCCGCCCTAACTCGAGGGCTCACTCATGGAGCACATCTGGGGCTGCGAGGCAAGGCTTCGTCTTGTACTGCAGGGGCCTTGAAATAAGTAGGAGAGGGGCTTGCTTTCAGGTGCCCTTTAAAGGGATCTATAGGGGGATCTGGGGTCTTCTTAGGGCGCCGTACTGGTTACCTATACTATTTTGGGGTGCTTTTTCTAATTATGGGATAAAGGGCCCCAAAACCCTGTTCTAATTAATAATGCCCCGCCCTCTATGCTGCATGCTTGAGTTGATAGAAAAGCCCTTTTGGCCCTAAATCCTAGAAAGCTGTGTTTGAGGGTTCCTTCGTAGGATGTCTTTCCATGAATCCTTACGACGGCATGTTTTTTTTGGTGGGATGAGGTGGGGGCTACGGTAAATTCTGAACCCTCAAGCGTTAGTGCTGACACCAGCAGATCCTTAGCCACCAACTATAGAGTACCGAATTTGTTCTTAAAGGAACGATTATGAGACACAAGTTTGTAGGTGTTTTCTCCCTGCTTACTTAAAGCCCCGAGAAACCATAACTATAATTTGAAAGGTAAAAGCCCCGAAGCCAGAAACCTAAGAACCCAGACTCAGGTCTGACGGCCCTAAGTGGGGGTTTCCGGGGTTCAGGCTCAGAGGTTTTGGGGTTAGGGATTTGGGTTTAGGGGGTTTACATATTTTGCTGTAAACTCAACTTTTCATCTTTTGGGGTTCTTGTAAGGTAGTCGTTTCTGGAAGTTTCAGCTTTTATTCCCTTGGGTTTTGGGCCAGTGAGTTTAAGGGTTCAGGGTTTAGAGCACCCCTTGCATCACAAGAAGTTTAAGAGCGACTAAGAACTGCTAATGCAGGAGCCTGATTTAAGAAACCCTGGGCCTCTAACCTCCAAAATAGTAGGGTTCATATAAGGAACCCGAACAAAGCCCGAAGGTTCCTAATCAGGCTCCTACCTTTTTGTAGTACCCTCATAGATCCCTTATAGTAGCCCTTATAGGCCCTTTTAAAGGGAAGCCTTAGGCCCAAGGTTTCTTAATCAGGTTCCTACATTAGCTTTCACCCTCGAGGAACCTCGAACCAACCGCTGATTGAAAAGGCAGTGAGCTGTCAGATCTTAGCCTACTTGGAGGTTCATGGGTTGCTATAAGTTGGATTAATTATAAGTGGGGTTCCCTTTAACGGCATGTATAGGGTTATAGGGTTTAGGGATCAGGGTTCAGAGTTTAGGGAAGTAGGGTTATAAGTAGGGTTGCTGTACTTATAACCCATATTAGGGACTTATAACCCCACTTGAAACTACGGTTGATGATATAAACCCTGCATGACCCATAATGAGGAATATACCTTAGGGTTCCTAAGGTAATGCAGGATTTATATCATCAACAGTACCCATGAACCTCCAAGTGGCTGCCTAGCTGTGAAGCTCTGGGGTCTTGGGTGCGGAATGTCAGCTGCAGTGATTGCAGAAGTTATGATAAACTCTAAGGGGCCTTGTGAATACGAGTAGCCATTGTTCAGATGCCTGAACTAACTCAACAGGCGGGAAACCGAACCAAAGGCCCCAAGAAAACTCAAAACACTAGCTAGGGCTTTGGGACATTTTGTATTTGTTGTTATATATTGGACTTGAGAGGATCTCACCTACTAACATTTTTCGAAGGCTTTAAAAGCACCTCCTAGTTATGATCAACTCTAAAGCCTAAACTGGTTGATGCTTAGATCTTGCAGTAGCTGGTCTGTGATAAAATGGCTGCTTGGCTTTGGAGCCACTTGGAGGATCATGGGACTTAGTAAGTAGGGTTATAAGTACCTTAAGTAGGGTAATAAGTAGATATAACTATAGTTACCTTACTTATAACCCTACTTACTAAGTCCCACGGTCCTCTAAGCAGGCATTGATAAAATGGCTGCTTGGCTTTGGAGCCAGGCATGCGTCGTGTGCCTCCGCTGTGGCTTCGCCCGTCCAGACAGCGGAGAAACACGCCGAGTTCCTCAGCTGGGGGCCTTCGTCTTCCGAGTACTACTGGGGGGGTTTAGGATTTAGGGTTTTGGTTTAGGGTTTGGGTTTAGGGTTTAGGGTTTAGGGTTTGGGATTTGGGTTTAGGGTTTAGGGTTTGGGGTTTAGGGTTTAGGGTGGGCTTTGAAGTACCATACTTTAATGCTTTTTTTCTTAAAGGAGCCCTTATGAAATAAAAGTGTATGCTTTGTTCTCCCTGGTTATTTAAAAAAGCCCAGACTAAGTGCTGGAGCCCAAGACATGCAACCCGAAGCCTTAAGAATACCAAGCCCTAAAAACCGAAAACACAGGAACCTAGACCCAAAAGATGTTGAACTCGGCCCCGGTTCTACAGGATACAACTTCGGGAAGATTTGGCTGGAGACAAATGCGCTTTCCCTCCGAACCTTCCGGATCTCACCTCTGGGGGGGCAGACACCCGCACAACCCCTACATGGGTAGTTCTCGAAGCTAAAGGGTACCTTTGAGGAGCCCTTTTTACAAGGGTGCCGTGTTATTTTGAGGAATATTCACCCCCTTCTTCCGAGAAGCCCAGACCATTTAGCTTTCAGCAGCCCTTCCACCCAGGTGCCCAGATGCTCTTAGGTGACGAAGTGCTTGAAGTCGGAGACCCAAGATGAGGGTTCATATTCTTTATATGGATGCTTGTCAAGATTAGGGTCCCTTTTTGGGTACCATAAATAATAGGTGCCGTACTATACTAGGGACCCAAAAAAAACCCTAATTTTGACAACCACCCATATAGGGTTTCGGGATTTTAAGGTCTGGAGATTACTCACGGAGGGTTTGGGACTTGGGATGAAGTTTAGGATCAGGACCTTGTGTGTGTGTGTGAGGGGGGGGGCACTCGCAGAGTTCCGAAATGCTAACAATTCCCCGTCGCACTGCACAGCATTGATCACAAGAGTCCCTGTTAATTTGGGCCCGCAGAAAGAAACCTACTGCAGAGTAACCCAATATTAGTAACCACGTTGCGCAGAGTCAGTTATGGCATAGCGGGACCCTACGACGAGGCAGGGTAGCCTGATTGCAAGTTTGCTAACATAGGTCCGATTGCACGATTGTGCAGGTCACATTGGAACTGCCGGGGTGTACGGATTGAAATGCATGGCTTCCCGACCTTTCTGATAAGACTTTCAGCTCACGAGTTTGTCCAGACCGTTCTTGAAGCTGATGCTCAGATACAGTATGGCATGCTTTTGCAAAGGCAAGCAAAGTCCGTGTGGTCAGCAGCCTGCAAGTCGAACCGGGTCATAGGATTTGGGCTTTCTGCTTTCCAAGGTTGGAAGTATGGGCCAGTGACATGGACCCTTAGGCCTTTTTGAGGGGTTCTAGGGACCCTTAAGAGTCTATAAAGGGTATATAGTAGGTATATGAGGATCCCAAGGTTCAGGGCCCATACTACGGTTGATGAAAAAAATCCTGCATTACCTTAAGGACCCTATTCTATGGGAATTATGGTTTATTCCTTATTATGGGTCATGCAGGATTTATATCATCAACCGTAGGGGCCCTTGTTTCAACCGTTGATGCCCCGAAACACCGTGCGCCCGAACGGATCGCATTGGGAGGATCGTTGTATCGGTTCTAAGGACCTGCAACGAAACCCACACCCGGAAAGCCTACCCATCTACTCTACTATCCTCAATATTGAGAGCGCTACTGCACGCGTTCCGCAATCCTTACAGCCTGAACCCTAAAGCATCCTAAAGACCCTGAACCCTCAAGCCTGAACCCTAAATCCCGACAGTCTAAAAACCCTAAAGCATCCTAACGCCGCCAGGGTCACGGGATCCTAAGCCTGAAACTCTACCTATAGTCTTCATTGTAGTTCTTGTTGGGGGTTAGCTTATGGGATCCTTAATATATAATTGGTTAAACCAAAAAAAGGAACTACAATGGAGACTATCGGTAGATCCTAAGATAGCAGCCGTCGGAGGTCACGACTTCCATGCTGCTTCGTCCGGGACGAGCCGAAGCGGTGCAGAGACGACCCCAGACGAATCCAGTAGTGGGGAAAGCTTGGGTTGTTGATAGCCTTTAACCTTTTTCGTTGTCATAGTTGGGCAACATTTTAACTTTCTCTGGGTACTTAAACCCAATAAGGAATAAAAACTGAATTTTTAAATCCTATCCCAACCATGAACTAGTTTTGGGGCACTACTATAACCCCTACATCTGCCCAATATACTCCCATGAAGTTTTTGCATTTTCTGGTGTTGGGATTTAGGGTCTTAGGGTTCAGCATCGACTTCAACATCTTTCCATACTCTACACTCGAAGGCACGTCCCTTCATCTAAAGGTATAGTAGGACTTAAACCCTATACCGTATACCCATATAGAATCCCTATACATCCCGAATCCTTATAGATCCTTTCAAAGGCACCCGTGCAGGCACGTCCCTCCGTGCATTGGTAAACTCGAGATCCTTGATCTGAGCCTCTGGTCTTGGAAGCTGTCGGTGTTAGGACTCCTGTACCTAATGCTTGGAGGTTCATGGGTAGTTATAAGTAGGGTTATAAGTAGGGTAAGTATACGTATAGCCCTCATTTGGGGGCACTAGTTCCCCAGGATACTGAGAAGTAGGTGTAATTGTCACCCCCGGCCGCAGCACATTAGCATGGGCATCCTACCAAGGTGGATTGCCCATCCTCAACAGGTTTTCTCGGTGACATTTCCGGAAGAGGGTGGTGTTTTTCGTAAACTTGAGAGTCCCGTCCGTGCTTGATTGCGGCTTTCGCATGACCATTGTCATGGCTTTCGTTGTTGTTATTGCCATCACTGTCCTGTCCCTACTATTGCCGTTGCCATCGCCGTTGCTGTTGCTATGTTTAACTATATTGTTGCCTTTCTTGCTGTGGCTACTGACATTCTGTCATCGTTATTGGAATGTGCTTCAGAACAAAATTCGAGACTAGCCCTTATCGTTCCTCACCATAGTTCTACGAAAATATACCCCAAACCGTATTCCAACTGTAACTATGAGCCCCCCCCCCAACAAAAAAGTGATACTGGTGGACGATCTGGTGTTCGGTACTTCAGCACAGGAAGACCATCCGAAACTGCGAAACGATGGGAGGCTTCTGAACATTGCATTTTGTTTTGAGGGCTTACATTCGGATCCAGGAAGTCCAGAAACTCCCATATGTCCGAGGCGGTGCATCGCGCGCGTGCTACGAGTGGAGCTGCCCCCTTAGCAAGGTATGTTTTAGGAGCTGCCCCCACCCTGTAATAGTGGTATAATAGGAATGTAACAGGGCCCGAATATAATCCTTATAGTCACTATTGCAGGGTGGGGGCAGCTTCTAAGGTATGTTGCTTTGCTGCTTTTCTTGTCTGGCCTGGGACCCCTATAACTGGACAGACGACACCGTTCACAAGCCTTGGTGATTAATGAAAAAGCTCTAACCACTCCTCTAAGTCCTTGAATCGGAGGTTGCTATGCCGCTGTTTAATAAGTTTAACATCCGGGATCCGATGAAACTACGGGCCACAGAAGAGAACAGAGCCTCGCCAAGTGAGTAGACGAGAGACGCTAGGAGCCCTCGCACAGAAACCGGGAGTTTTCATGATTATAGGATTTAGGGGTATCGGGTTTCGGCGCTAGACCTTACTTGGAGGTGCAAGGGACTGAGCAAGTAGGTCAGAGTTATAAGTACATTAAATGGACTTACCCCAGTTATGGCCCTTAGTAAGTCCCCTGCCCCTCCAAGTACACCCAAAATTTCGAAAATAGGGGACCCTAATATAGTACCCTAATTAGTAGGATCCTTATTATAAGGGCTCCAAAATAAGGTACCCCTAATTTTCCAAATATACGCTGACAGCTGCTAGTAGCAGAACCTAGTAGTAGAGTAGGTAACCTTACCTAGGTACCCCTAATTTCCGGAAACTCCCAAATCTACCTAGCGCATTTGTCAGTGTTCCATAATCAGCCTAGTAGAAGAGTAGGTAACCTTATAGTGCCTATATAATCCCTATAGAACCGAAAAGGTTAACCCCTAGTTCCCAATGATACCCGACAAGTAGCAGAACTCCGCTGGGGCGTCCAAGGTTTGGGCGTCTTGGTGTTTAAGCATTGAGCGAGGTTACGAGTCCGTTCGTTAGTGTGGCTACAACTACCACTACTACTACTACTACTACTACTACTACTACTACTACCACCACCTGCCGATGCTACTGCCGTTGCTTGCTTCTGTTTTTGCAGTGTGCCCGACCGGCCGCGACCATGTATGAGGACTACTCTCTATGGCGAACACCGTATGAGCAATTTGAGAGCAGCTCTGGTTCGGGTGGCTTCAGGGTGGGGCGGGTCTGTGGCAAAGCGAGCCCTTTAAGACGTGATGAATGCCCTGTCTGTTTCAGGCAGTGTCAGCGTCCTTCAGATCTTTGGCGAAGTGCTAGTTGCTTGGGGAGCCATTAGTACGGCAACTAATATTTAGGGTACCCAAAAACAACTACCCACATGTTGTAGTATGTTACGGCAATCAGAACTGGAAGAGGGCTTTGGAACTGTGCTGACAGTATATTAAACCCCAAAAAGTTGGAAACCGGATTGAGGACAACTAGTGCTGGAGTTCCCAAAACATTAGTCTTAAGGATTGAGGCTATTGGGTTTCCAACTTTTGGGCTTCTACTGTAATTTAAAACAAGACTAGAATAAGAAGAAGTGTAGCAGCAATACTGGCAGCCGGGCAGTTGAAACTTTTTGTTGGCACTACACGCTCGTAAGAGCCTTTCCCACTTAGTAGATGCCTCCTAGATTGTTTCCCGGCGCTTGGTAATTGTGCCTCGGGAGCTCTACATCACAAGGTCGTCGAGACCTAGGATAGTCGAATTCCCGTAGGTAGGCTCGCTCTCGTGGATCCTGTTGGGCAAAGCTCCAGCAGTTCTAAAGGTTATGGGGCGGTGGAGCTCTTGAGCCCCCAGCTCGGTGTAGAAGGATTGGTACCCTCGCAGTTTTGGGACAATCCCTGGAAACTCCAAAAATGTTGAAGTGTCCTTTGGTTTCCAAGGTGGTTGCGGTACAGAAATTCCACAAGTTACAGCAGGGCTTACCATGAGTCCTCAAGGTTCTCCAAGGTTTCCACAAGTGCAAAAAAATTGGTGAGGCGTAGTGGACGGCGCAGATTCTCGCCGAAACTCATTTGCTAGCGTGATGGTTGTCGCTACGTTGTTTGACGAGTGACATGCGACGAACGGTCGGGCATCTTGCAGATTCTTGCAGGTTGCCCCTGCAACAGGCATGTCGCACTGGTTGGACACTCGTCTCACAGGAAAAATTGCATAGACCTTACGTCCAGGCGATGAAGCATTCGCACATTCGATTCGTCAAACACATGTGATTTGTCGAGCTGGAAGACTGGATTGAAATTTCCAGCGCTGGAGATGTGCAACTGCCTTGTCGTTGCGTTTCGGGACTTTTTGAAGGTTGAGAGGTATCACGTGGACTTGCACGTTTGCACCGCCTACTGTCAACTTCCATTCTTGCGAAGCGGTTTCAATTTCAGCTCAGGAGTTGCGTATGCTGCGTTGGCATGGTCAAGGAGGCTGGGCGCAAGGGCTGCGTGCTACAGAGACACTTAACGGGGACGCTAAACCCTAAAACCTGAAAGAATTGCGGTGAACTGCAGCTTCCGTCCTTTCAAAGCAGGCCGCCTCCATACGACCTACCAGGTCATCGAGTCGAGTTGCCATGACCTTACTCCATGGCGTCGTTTTGGTGAGGGGTACGGAGGCTTGAAGCGTCGCTCTAACCTGAAAGTAGAGAAGTTGTTCCTCATGCTGCATGTGAACCAAATTTGTTCCCTTTTGAAATACCAGAGCTAAGCAGCACACCTTCGAAACCAGGTCGGCATTGCCCTTGGGTGTCCGCTGTAAGTGCGGCTATAGACGTCGTACCCAAGCTGGAAGTAAAGCTGTTTGGCCAAGGGGTTTTGTTTGTTCAAGGTTGCATAAAGATGGGTTTTGCCGGTTCTGGCCTCTACTTCCGCAAAGTAGCGCGTTACCTTAATCACCACAACATCCAAGCACCTTGAACTCGTCAGAACTCCCGAGTGCACAACCCCAAACCCCGATGCCCCTCCCTCCTCCTTACTTCCATTTTGCCCGTATTCTTTTGGGGTCCCTGTATTGAAGCCGAAGAGTCGGAAAAAAAGGTTACCCATATTGCAGCGGAGCTTCTCAGGAACCTAGTAAGGCCTGGAGAAAAAACCGTGCAGGAACTCTGTGACCTCAACCCGAAACCCAGCATTCTCGAAGGGGCATCCTAGTGCTTTACGACTTTCTCCCCCAAAGATCCTGTTCTCATGAGAGATGCCCGTGAGTAAGAACCCTACTTTTTACCACCCATGAACCTCCAAGTGAGGGTTTTGGTGTATATCACACTATATTTATTAGGTGCCCTAGATGGCAGGATATAATGACCCCCGAAATAAGGTCTAAATCCCGAACCCCGGGCTTGGACCTGAACCGCCTTTCTTCCTTGAGGCATCCGTTTCGTTTGGTCTCGCGGACACGACGCTGGCCGCTGCGGCCACTGTCATGACGAGGCTGAAAGCCAGCGGCGAAAAGTTTGAATTCTCAATCATAGGAGCCCGTTTTGGGCTGGAGAGGGTTTCACAGGCTTCTAGGAGGTTTCTGACAGTGAAAGGTGATCGAAGATGGGTCCATATAGCCGGTATTATTTATGTTCAAGTAACTGGGCCCACTTGGGTTCCACAACATGGTCCCTTCCTTCTGAAAACTTACTTTTGGTTAGTAGGGAATGGGGGAATGGGGTACAATTATAACTACTATGACTACCCTTCTTCCGTTCCCTACTGACCAAAGGTAAGAAAATTCCATGCAGATAGAAACTATTCAAGCCTAACACCCTTTTTCGGCTTCGGGGTTCGGGGCATGCAAAAGGGTTTTGATTACCTAGTAGTAGAGTAGGTAACCTTTAACCTTGTTTGCGTAGTATAGGCCCTATACAACCCCTATATAACCAAAAAGGTTATATAACCTTTAGTTCCCCATGATACCCGACAAGTAGGAAAAGGGTTTTGTTTTTTGGTTTTGCAAAGTACCGGTCTAGTATGTTTAGACTGTAACATGCCCGAAATTCCTGGTCATATCTCTCGAGCCCCTCTATTGGGTGTGAGTAAGAGTCGGCGGCTGCATTTGACCTAGGGGCCGGATTTTTGGGTGTAGAATATGGGGGGCCTTAAGAATTATAATAGGGTTTGGGGGCTTATTATACTATAACTATGACAAGGAACCCCCAAAGTAGTAGTAGTAGTAGTAGTAGTAGTAGTAGTAGTAGTAGTAGTAGTAGTAGTAGTAGTAGTAGTAGTAGTAGTAGTAGTAGTAGTAGTAGTTTGGACCAAAGTAAACTGGGACTGTCGTCGCAGCACATGACTAATTAAGCTTGGAGGGGACTCGTAATACATTAACTGGTCGCTGTCATGGAGCTCCTTTCTTTCCATCGGCATCCCGACCAGCAAAATGTGGTCTTCGTGGTTTTAAGGGGTGTCTTAAAAGAAGCGCTCCACATTGGAGAACGAATCTACCTGCAATCATCAGGGTGTTTGAGACTTAAGCCTGTGCCAAGCCCTCAACCTACTTGGAGGTTCATGGGTAGTTATAAGTGGGGTTATCAGTCCCTTAATATGGGTTATAAGTATAGTTACCCGACTTATAACCCTGCTTATAACTACCCATGAACCTCCAAGTACGGGCTGCACAGTACAGCCCTAACTCTCCTAATGTAGGAACCTGATTTAGCAACCCTGGCCCTTTCACCCCCAATATCTTAGGATTCATATAGGGAACCCCAATAAAGACCCAAAATTTCTCAGTGAAGGTTCCTTAATCAGGTTCCTATATTAACCCCCTTAACCCTCATGCTCTCTCGCTCTCTTTGCCAGAACTGACGATCTGGACCCGCGGGAGCGAAGGCGGGACGGCTCGGTCTAAGCTACGCAGCTCCAGAAGTGCCCAAGTCTGCCTTTCCTTAAACCCTAAACCCTGAACCCACAATAATAAACTCTAACCCTAAACCCTAAACCCTAACTTTGTTGTACATTGGGTCATTGCTTGGTCGGTGAAAGAACTTCAGAGTTTAGATTCTTCGGGCTGAAGCCCAAAACACTCAAAGACCTCGATGATGGTGGCGTCGGCATGGCTTGAATCTTTAGGAGTTCCTGCCGAACCCGGCGAGCTCGTTTGGTGTTCCTGGTATCGGGTGACCCGTGCCTAGGAGCAGAGCAGGTAACCTTTAACCTTTGTCGGGAAGTACAGTCCCCATCTCATCCCTTTCTAACCAAAAAGGTTAACCTTTAGTTCCCCATGACACCCGACAAGTAGGGTGCATACATTTGTAATTGCTCGCCGAGTCGGATTTGTGGGTTGTCGGGTTTTGGATTTAGGATTTTGGGGGTGTCAAGGGTCAGCCTTGCTTGGAGGATCATGGGACTTATTAAGTAAGATTATAAGTACCTTAATTTAATTGGGGCTATAAGTAGCAATTATAATAAGGATCCTACTATTTAGGGTACTATATTAGGGTCCCCTATACTCGGAAACCCCCATGTAAGACAGGGGCTGGAATACTAAGATAGCAAAGCTATTCCGCTACTGAGGCTTAGAGGCTAAGGTTCTTTCTTTGAGCGTTGGAATGGACAGCAAGAGTTCTGGGTTACGACCATGAGGGGTTTAAGGGTTTAGGGTTTAAGGGTTTAGGGGTTTAGGGTTTAGGGTCTGAGGGCTAAGTGTGTAGGGTTTAGGGCTTAGGGGTGCGTCTTGCCCAGATCGCGGCCATTCGCCCACGACTTGACTTGGATCACGTCCAGCTTGGCAGACACAGGAAGCGGAGAGTTCAAATTCGGGCGCTTGCTTCATGAACCCCCAATCCTTTCCCTAAAACCGTAAAACCCTAAAACCTTTCATCCGGCTGAGCTCTTGAAGTGCTGCATGTCCGGAATCCGAAATCTCCACCCTTGAGCCAAAAATTCCTTGATCCGACAGCTTCCTGCGAATCCCCACAGTCTCGAGGGATCGGGCGAGGGTTTGGGGGTTAAGGGGATTAGGGTTTAGGGGTTGAGGGTTTAGGGGTTTAGGGTTTAAGGGGAGGGGTTTAGGGGTTTACGGTTGCCGGTTCCGAGTTTGGCCATGCGAGTTTGGGGTCTTCCGATCAATTGTGGCTCTCTGTCTGGACTCTGTTCGAACGTCCGTTCAGTTCAAATGCCTCCGTGAAGGACAGAGAATACCCATCCTTCGAAGTCCAGTTCTGCCGGCAAAACCTTCAAACGTGACCCGGGCTTTCAAATTTATCCTAGCTCCTTGTGCCCGAAGATACAACTTACTCTGCTTTACTACTCATACCAGCGGGGGGCCGGCATCCGGAGAACACGGCACCCAAACCTCCCATAGACGCTGAAGCCGGAGCGCTCAATGAGGGTGCACTCCAATAAGATGATAAGATTCCCTTGAGCCCGACCCCAAATTCTCTTCACCGGGTGGGAGGACTCGACCTGTTCTACAACAAGGCTGCGACCTCAGGAGATTTGAGGGTTGTTTAGGTGGTTGTTACTGTCGGGGCCTTAATTGTTACAAGGTAGGGCTTTGGGACATTTTATGTTTGCTGTTATTGGGCTTAAGAAGATCTTACCTACTAACATGTTTCGATGGTTTTAAAAGCACCTCCTAGTCCCGCACCTGAAGGATCCGTTTGGGCCCAGAGAGTCCAACATCATTCGGGTGTGGAGCTTTATATAGGGCCTCAAGAATTAGAATAGGTTTTTTTTTTTTGGGGGGGGGGGGGGTAATATGCTATAACCACCATAAGGAACTCTCCCAAAACCCTATTCTAATTATTTAAGGCCCAAATTTGGGTTTAGAAAATTCCTTAGATGATAGAGGGATCCTTAACTCCGAGGGACCGTGTGCGGGTAGAGTTCGTCCTCGGTAGAGTTCGTCCTCCAACATCCGACGTGTTTGATGTACGTTGGGTTCTAGTAGTTTCATCCTACTTTGGAAGATTCATGTTGACTTGCTTGAGTTATCGGGAAGTGAGTAACTTAGGGTAACAAAGCCGAAAAGACCTAGGCCAAGAATAGCTGTAAACGTCACTGCGCCATGATGGAACTTGTAGGCGTTCTAGCCCATGCCCGGCTTGAACTCTCGCCCCCACCCCTCACCCAAAATCCAAAGCCTAAGCCCCGAGCTGAACTAAACCCCACCTCAAAGCCGCAAGCTACGGTTGATGATATAAATCCTGCATTACCCAGAATAAGGAATATACCATAATCCCCATAGTTTAGGGTTCTTAAGGTAATGCAGGATTTATATCATCTACAGGTAGCTACCTCCGAGTCAGGTGAGGGATCTGTCTGTGGACGTTACTGTCGAAGAGATTGACGATGTACGGATGCTCCGGCTGCGCAAGGAGGTCTCGCAGACGGAAGAGAGCTCCGAGTAATGGCCGTAATTGTCAATAGTATTTCCGCATGGTTCCCATATACGTATACTCATACCCAAGTGTTATGATGTACTGTAGGAACCTGGTTAAGAAACCCTGGCCCTATAACCCCCCAATATATTAGGATTCATATAAAGAACGCTAATATCGGCCCAAGGTTCCTTAATCAGGTTCCTATGTTACCCCCAAACCTTCCTGATATGCGTCTACAGCCTTTATTCGCGTAGGCGTCTTCGTCTATCAAGGCATCGTGTTCCGTTTTGTTTCACATCGATACTTAGGTGGGTAGTTGTAAAAATTAGGGTCCCGTTTTGGGTACCCTAAATATTAGGTGCCGTACTATATTAGGGACCCAAGAAGGGACCATAATTTTGACAACCACCCATGTGGACTCCATCTGAAACCTTGCCAGCGAGGCCCATACCCCAATTTCCAGGTACAGGCCTCAGCGCATTGTTTACTAGGATGCCCAGTAGTACCCTTATTCCCTTCCTTATAGTCCCAGAACCCTTTGAAAGTTACCCAATACCAAAAAGGGAGCCCTTTTTGTTCCTAGGCTACTGTCCTAGGTTACTGGGCATCCCAGTTTAGGATCCGTCCACAGTTCGAGGAATACGTACTCCTTGGTTAACGGTGCTTTCGCTTCTCTGGGCTCAGACTCGTGGCCAAGTGCCTACTTGGAGGTTCATGGGTAGTTATAAGGGTTCCTTTAAGGGTCCCTTTAAAAGGATCTATAAGGATTCCAAAGAGGGTATAGGGTTTAGGGTCTACTTGGAGGGGCAACTATACTTATAACCCACATAAGGGGCCTTATAACCGCACTTATAACTACCCCTGAACCTCCAAGTAGACATTGCTGCAACGAGGCGTTTAGTAGTGGCACCAATCCCGACAATAGAGATCACATTCGGAGATCCCATCCGATTAGAAAATGCGAAATGACACAACAGGTGGATGTTGATATCCAGCCAGCTTTGTAGCGCCTGCCCGTTAGTGCAAGATAGTGGCCTGAAGCCACAAGTGTGGAAACAAATCACACCGGGAAGACCCGATAGTAGCTGCATATATGGCTACACATTTATACCAGTGGGCCTCGTCGTTCGAACTCGGCTTCCTGGCAGAACTTTGTACAGTAGTATAAGCAGCTGTAACGGTCAAAGTTGGGTTCATCGACCTTGTCTTGCTCACACTCCCCTTGGATGTTCATTCCTGCCGCGTTCGTGCAAGATACCTCTGTTGGAGCAAACCTATGTCTATCTCCAGCTAACTAGGTCGAACTAGGTATCGGTTTGGGATGATTGGTAATTTCCCTCGTTGCTTAATATGAAGCCATAGTTTTGTTATATCTCATTTTGCAGATTATTGAAATCAACACTAGCTAATTACCTCCCTGTCTTCGACGTGAGACAAACTTGCTCAGAATTCCGAAGGCCGTAATGAGTTTGAGCAGATGTGCGTGAAGGATTAAGGCGTTGGTTCCTCCAACCCTGAACCCGCAAAGCCCCTAAACCCGAGATTCCTAAGACCCGAAACCCTAATCGTCTGAAGCCTACATAAACCCTGGAAGCATCGTTTATGTGCCCTTCCCGGTGTAGCAGGTCTCTCCGTTGATCCTCTGGCTGGAGCTGGCTTACGTCTTGAGCAGCCGGCCCAGTGGGAGATGTGAAACCCAAGGGGTAGCTTGCTTCAACTCAGGGGTGCATGTGTAGTATTTAGAATTTAGCGTCACGGCTTTAGACGGATCAAACCCCGAACCCCTCAACCCTAAATCCTTCCCTAGTTGCTGAAAGGCCCCCTCTCCCTAAGAACACACAGTCCTTGAGTCAGACGCAAGGCTTACTTAGTAGCTGAGTGGATGCACTTTACACTTTTTGGGATAATAGTACCCATTATAAAACTGAAAGTGGACACTTTTGGGGGCTAATGAACTCAGCAACTATGGAAAGAGCCTTTGGGCGCAGATGCCGGAGCTAACGGCTTGCTTTCCAGCCCCCAACCAGAGAAAGGCAAAAGACCTCAGTAGTAGAGTGGGCAGGGGACTTCGTAAGGGCTCTTGAAGGGCTCTTAAAGGGATCTAGAGGGTTCCGTAAAGGGATCTATGGGGTTTAGGGTTTAGGGTCTACTGTCAAGAAGGAGCTGACCTTTGTCCTTTTTTTCAGGGGGGTTGGGGGGGTTTACTCCCATTATACTCCGAAAGGTTAACCATTAGTTCCGATAGGAAACTGGACAAGTAAGGGATGCTTTAGGGTCCAGCAAAACATCGAAGTTAAAGATGAAGGCCTCGTGCTTTTCGCCGTCACCAAGTCCGAGAAATTGAATCCGAACGCCTACACCCTAGACAACAGCACCGAAGAGCCTGTTCAGAATGATAAGCTAAAAGCAGAGTGGAGTTAAAGTTCAATAGGAAACGACGGTAAACATGACCATAGCAATCACAACAAGAATGTTAATCATTACAGCGTTAGCATGCTTGGAGGTTTATAAGTAGGGCTAGGGTAACTATACTTATAACTTATAACCCATATTCGGGGACTTATAACACCACTTATAACCACCCCTGAACCGAGTCATTATAAGAAACCGCGCAATGCTCCAGTGCCGCGAGGTCCGGAGTTCGATCTCATCACGTGGAATGGTGCTTTGGCCAAGGTTGTTGGCTCAGAATTCCCTCATCTTACCTTTGGTTAGTAAGGACTAAAGGTTAACCTTTCGGAGTATAACGGTATTATAAACTAAAAAACGACAAAGGTCAGCTAATCATCTTACCTTTGGTTAGTAGGGAATGGAAGAATGGTAGCAACAGTCGTTATAGTTGTACCCCATTCCTCCATTCCCTACTAACCCGAGGTAAGTCATGGACCATCCTGCCACCTAGATTCTGCGACGGTGTAGTTTGCCGCCAGCTGCGATTCGAACCAAGGACCATCTTCCAGAACATTGCTTAGTAGCTGAGTAGCAACAGTTGCCCTTTTGGGGCCTATAGAATACTATAACTCAAAGGGTTTAGCTTTTTGGGCTAGGGTACTCAGTCTCTGAGACTACTGGTGCGAAGAAGTCCTTGTGCCCTGGATGTAGTGTGTCCTACGATGAACGAAGCATGCATGTCCGACATCTGGGCTGGAATAGGCATTACTAATATCATAATTATTATTGTTATCGTTACTATTACTATTATGAATATGACACGACTATGATTATGATTGGCTTCCTGCCAGCCATGAGCCATCTGAAGCACTGGAGCCTCTGCCAATCTCGATCCCAGACCTTGTGACTACGAGTAGCTATTGTTCAGATGCCTGAACTAACTCCTAAACCCAAAACCCAACAGGTGCGAAACCGAACCAAAGGCCCCTGGAAAACTCAAAACAGCAGAGAATCCAATTTACTGTGAGGGGGCCTGGGGAGTTAATGATCATCTCGCTCAAGCAGTAAACTGCCCTACGCCCTACTTGGAGGTTCATGGGTAGTTATAAGTAGGGTTATAAGTCCCCTAATATGGGTTATAAGTATAGTTGCCCTACTTATTGCCCTACTTATAACTACCCATGAACCTCCAAGTATGGACTCACAGCACTCTAAAATCCTACAACCTAAAATTCCCCTTGTAGTTACAGTTACTCCTTTCAAGAAGCGCTGTACACCGCACAGATCCCGTCAAAGGAGCCCCCAAACCTTATAGTTCCCCTTCTGTACATGAACCCTTAAACCCAACAGCTCTCCTTGAAGGAACCGCTTGAACCTATGATTCCGCGAAAGACATCCAGAAGAGACCCAAAGAACCCTAATCATCCCTTCCAGATCTTCGGTGCTATTAAGCTCCCGGCAGCAGCACGACACCCGGGAACGGTTTTGGAAGTTTAGACATGGGGTTGCCATATAGGTATTTTATATTGTAGGATGTTTGAGAGTGTTTTGCGTAGTGTGTGTTCACGGTGGCTTTTGTAGTTTGCTACAGGGCTTGATATGGGCTTCTGCAAGGGTTTGTACGAGGAATGAGTAAGGCGTTTTGTCGGTTTTTAGGACGGCAACTTTGCATGGACCACTGGAGGGTTTGGGGTTATACAAGGGGGTGTATGGGTTTAGGGCTGAGGGTTGTTTGTATATGGTTTGGGCTTCGCGGTCTTGCGGTTTTACAGGTTCGCGTTTACGAGGGCTTTGAGAGTCTACAAAGACTGAAGGTTTTAGGGTGATAGGGTTAAGAAAGTTACGCGTGCGAAGCCTGCCAGAACAAGTGTCTCAAGCCCACTAATCTTTAACTTGTCTGCGTTACTATAATCCCTTTATAACCCTGAAAGTTGACCTTTAGTCCCCCCATGAAACTGTTTACAGCCAGCCCGAGTCCGAACTTTGCACAGAGATTGAGCCAAAGCAGCGTTTGAACACCCGATGACAACGACAACTGTGTCAGTGTCACTAAGCTAGTACATGGCGGTGTCCGGCCTACTCAGGGACAAGATCAGAGCCAGAGTCGCCGGCGACGCTCCCGCCGTTCTCGCAGTGACCGACTTCTCTGTCGAGGTATCGACAGAGGCCACTGTGACAAGGGCCATCCAAGAGTCAAGGAACCCTTCATGCCCGTCTACGATTCGGAGATCAAATGCGTCATGCACTACGAGGTCAGTGTGAAGTATTAGAGAAGGCTAGTTGGAAAGTGCAGAACAGGTATCTTCTAGCGACCTGTCTTACGAGGGTCTCTAGAATCTAGAGTCTTTGAGGGTTGCTCGTGCCTCCTACTTGGAGGATCATCGGACTTAGTAAGTAGGGTTATAACTACTTTAATTGGGGTTAAAAGTAGATATAACTATAGTTACCTTACTTATAACCCTACTTACTAAGTCGCATGATCCTCGAAGTAGGTTTCATCAAGGCCGAGATGTGGTCTGTATACACCCTGGGGTGTACCCAGACAGCCCAAGACCCTTGTTTGAGCTAGGTACCTCAGTTTGCATGCGCATCCCTCTTTAGGTTGCTTTGTGGTATCTAACCTTTCTTATGTAGAAATTTAGGGGTCTGTGGGTAGACGAGTAAATCTTTAGTCGGCGAGTGCAACATCCAGGTCGTAATCGCCAGAAACACTACTCCTTAGGGTGGACTTATCTTATGGTATACAACTCTTACAGCTTCCGCAGATCCCTATCAAGCTTGCGTGACTAAGATAGGGGCCTCAATGATGACCTTTACTATTTTAGGGTTCCTTATTATACTTATAGTAAGTGTTCCCCAAAATCCGATTCTAATTATGAAGGCCCTAAAGTACCATCCATGCCTGCAGCCAAGGTGCTGATGCGCATGAACATCAACAGGCCCCAGAGGGCAGCAAGTAATCCCTAAGCACTTGTACTTGCATGTTCATGGGTAGTTATAAGTGGGGTTGCAAGTCCCTAATATTAGTTATAAGTATAGTTACCCTCTTATGACCCTACTTATAACTACCCATGAATTGCACCCTTGCGCAGCTTCATTGCTTTCGGATCCTCCTGTCTTGTTTTGCATTCCACTCGAAGTTTTCATATGGGTGGTTGTCAAAATTATGGTCCCTTTTTGGGTCCCTATTATAATACGGCACCTAATATTTAAGGTACCCAGAAAGGGACCATGATTTTGACAATCACCCATATGTTTTCATCGGCAGAAACTGACCGGCTTTATCCCGAGCTACTCTCGAACCTATCGTTCTGCGGTTTCTTAACAAAAGCCTCAGCGAAGCATCGGTGGTGATCCTGCAACAAGGGAGTTCTGGCACATCAACCTCACCTCAGGGTTGCAGGCTTATCGTTCTCCTACAGCGACTATGTGCATCGCTGGCACGCATGCCACGAAGCCGTACCGATCCCGATCTGCCCTTTCCTCAGAGCCATGCTGCAGCCCCGTCTCGGGCGCAAGACCCGCAAAAGCCCAGGAAATCTGGCATGCTGTTGAACCCTGCTGATACATGCCCCCCGAAGTTCTGATGACCTGATGTGTAAGAGATGCAAATCAGCACCTCTTACACCCACTCAGCACACCTGAAATCACTACATCTTTCCGAGTGTTCGAAGTGTCCCGAAGCTTAATAAACGGCCGACAACTCCTGAAACCTCTCTAACTGAAGCCTAAGAAACAAGAAACCTCAGTCAAAGAGACTAAACCCCGACAACATCGTGAAGACTCCCTGAAGACCCCCCGACAAAGCAGGTTGCGATACATGGCCGGTGCTGGAAAGCTGCAGGACGGCCTGAATGCGCCTTGTTTGGAGGGTTTTTCAGGCTTCATTCAGGCTCCCGGCCAGCGCACGCCCCGAACCTGAAGCTGCCACATTCAGCTGTGGACACTTTCTGGTCCTGTTTGTGTGATCAGGTCACTGAGTCGTATCTTGTTTCAGGTTCTGCTTGTGTGCAGCCGGTGCCCGCAGCAAAGGCTTGGGGGAACAATACTTATAGGTACTTAGAACCCCGATTAAGGTACTTATAACCTTTGCTAACTAAGTCCCATGATCCTCCAAGTATAGTACTAGTATAGTTATACTAAGGGACCCCAAGGTTGTACCATAGTATAGTTATGATAACGAGCCCTTAGGGGAGTGGTCCGGGGTGCTGAAGGATTTTCACACGACGTTTCAACCCATAGGTTTCTGGGCTCCGTGCTCGCTCGGCATGCATTCCTTCTGCCCGCGGCACCTAATACTACGGTTGATGATATAAATCCTGCATGACCCATTATAAGGAATTTACCATAGTTCCCATAGTTTCGGGTCCTTAAGGTAATGCAGGATTTATATCATCAACCGTAGGTAGGCCTTTGGGACATTTTATATGTTTCCCTTATTGGGCTTAGTAGGACCCTATTTACGAATATTTTCAGAGGCTTTAAAGGGCCAACCTAGAATATAGGGGCCTCAAGCAATGACCTATACTATTTTGGTGTGTTCCTTATTGTAAGTATAGCAAAAAATGGGACCCAAAACCCTGGTCTAATTACTGAGGCCCCTATAGTACAAACCCGACGGTCGATAACACAAAACCTGAAGCAAGTTGCTTTCCCTAGACACCCTTCCAGCAACCATAAAACACTGTCTGTGAAGAGACAATGCTAGAACTTGAGGTGCTTTTCCAAGCCCCTCTCGACGATGCCCGTTTGAGAAACGCTTTGAATTGTTAAAAGCCGCAAAAACCAAGATGCCCAAGACGTTCAACTGTGGGTTCCTACTAGGGAAGAGGTGGTACATCCGCCGTCTGTCATTTAAGCCCTACAGCCCTGAGGCCCTCAATGTACGGGGGGGGGGTCTTGGTTGAATTCAGCGGCCTGGCTTGAAGCAGACACCAATCGAACATTCCACTGCAGAGATTTCTCAACAAACCCTGCCAGGTTGACTCGAGAGCTCTTCCATCCAGCACATGGCGAGTGTAGGGAGGGTGAGCATGATTCGTAGATCTCATGTCAATACGAATTTGTGTCGTTTGTTTCGTCGGACTCCTCCTGCAGTCCGTGAATGGGGTCGGGATAACAGTAACATTATCCCGCTCTGGTTCCCGCATATTTATACTATAAGATCCGCTGAAGCCGAATCCCCATTCTGATTACGAAGGCCCCCATTTCGACCCCAAACCCTCGCACTGGACAGGACTCGGACCGCGCTGAGGTGCGCCCAATAAAAAAATCCGTATAGAAAGTAAGAGAAAGGACTCAAACAAGAAGCCCATGATCATGCGCTAATGCCGCTAATGTTCAGAAACCCACACAGGTATTGTTTGAATGTTTGAGTTCGGGTGCATTGCGAGATAACTTGGTGATTCGAGATGTACAGTCCTTTACTCTTTGAACCTGACCTGACGACTCCCATCGTTGGTCCTTGTTGACGGAAGTTACTTCTGAATCAGGGGGTCTATGTTGGAGTTTCAGACATTGGTTGGACCTTCTTAGGATCCTTACTAGGAGACCTCTCCAAAAAACAAAATGTATGGTATCAGGCGACGACACCGCTGATGTGGCCTTTGGCGCTTCACCGCGTGCTGGTGGCACCCAAGGAATCCTCCCAGGCACCTTTTGCGATTGGGCTGAGGTTTTTCAATTCCAGAAGGGACTCTAGTGTAGATCCTAACTAGTAGGATCCTTCAAATTAGGGCAACTAAATGCTGCACTCAGTATGTTGAGAACGCCCGTTGTTCAACGGGTCATAATGGCGCATATAGCGTAGAGCAGCACCCGCGAAAACTCCGAAAGACACGGGTTTAGGCTTGGTTTCCGCAGCGCGGGTACAAGTGCACTTCCCTTGTAATCAGTGTTGTTTACGATGTCTCGTCGAAATACGGTTGATGATATATACATCCTGCATTACCCAAAATAAGGAATATACCATTATTCCCATACTCTAGGGTCCTTAAGGCAATGCAGGACTATATAATCAACCGTATTTTGCTCGCGACCATGAGTTTTTTGTCAGACCAGCAACGGGAAGGCCACAAAAAGAGCCAATCGCGAACCCGAAAGCCTAAGCCACAGATAGACAGAGGTATGTATATGTATATATATATATATAGTATATACATATATAGAGAGAGTGTGTGTATATATATATATACACACATATGTATACAAAAGCATATACCTTTAATTTACATATACATACAGGAGACCTTGGCGATTGCGATGCGAGGTGCAGGCTGGTCCGTCCTTTCAGGGTTTGGTCAAAGGGGACATGGAGGGACCCTTAATGGGGACCCCTGGGTCCCTATAGTGGGCTTTTTAATGGGTATATAATAGCTATATTAAGGGTATATACCTAGGGGTCCTTATTAAGGGTCCCTCCTTTTACCCTTGGATCACAGTCTAACACTTCCAAGGTGTCAGGGTTTGGGCAGTCTTCACAGACAGAAGACGAGACTAAAATACGGGCTGGGAGTTCGTTTGATTCTGAACCCCCCCGCAGCTTCTGCGGGGAGAGCCTCCAGATTCTTAGAACTTGCGCCCCAAGTCACTGGAAGTTTCCGAAAATTCGGGGTACCTTATTTTGGGGTTCTTATAATAAGGGTCCTACAATTTAGTGTGCTAGATTAGGATCCCATATTGCCGGAAACTCACAACTCCCTCCGCCCTTTCATGGTGAGCTTCCGGAGCTTCAACAACCGATTCTTGGGGCTTTTTCAGAATTTGAGATTTGTGGGTTTGGAGGTTAAACTTCTAGGGCTGTAGGGCTTCGGATGCATGTTCAGACTAGTCTTGGCCGAGCCCTTAGAGTCTGGCCTGGATGACTAGAGGGGCAAGCAAAGCAACTGGCCCTAAATGCTCAGGTTTACTGGGGCTTCGGACTTTTGGCGTTTAGGGCTTCTGGGGTTTCTTGCATGGCTTTCGGGTTGAGGATTTAACCCTAAATCCGACAACTCGATATCCCAAAACCCTAAACCTCAAAACCCTAAACCCTACAACCCCAAGCATTTCGGTGGGGTTCCCCCATTCTCCGGAGGTTTGTTGGAGGACAGCGTCAGCGCTTTGAGGCAAAAGGGGAAAGCCCTCCAGGCCGGCTCTTGGGGAGATTCGGCTTTAGGGGGTTCAGGGGTTTTGGGGGTTGAGGGGTTGAGGGGTTTTGGGTTCAGGGTTCTGGGAGTTCAGGGTGTACAGGGTTTAGGGTTTACAGAGTTTACGGTTTCGGGGGTTCAGGGGTTCAGGGGTTTTGGGTTTACGGGGTTTAGGGGGTTTAGGGGGTTTAGGGTTCTCGGAGAGAGGGTTTAGGGTTGAGGGTTCTGGGAGTTCAGGGTTTACTGTAGGGTTTAGGGTGGGTTGTGGGTTTAGGATCGTGAGGGTTTAGGGCTTTGGGAGTTTAGGGTCTCTTTACTGCTCTTGAAAAACGTTTTATGGTGCGTTAGAATAAAAAACAAAGGGATTGATAAGAATATTAGCTTTGTTGTGGTTCTAGGGGTGGCTAGGGTTTAGGAGTGGCCCTTGAACGGCTTGGGGGGGGTCCATGAACGGACGGCAGCAAGTTTTGAGTCTGCGATCTGATAAGACGAAGAATTTTTGGGTTTAGGGAACAGGGGGAACAGGCTTCGGGGTTTAGGGAGTAAGGTTTTTCGGGGTTTCGGGAATGGGGTTTGGGCTGGTGATCAACCCAAAGCCTGAACTTCAACATCCAATACACGACTTTGGGCCTGTTTCAAAGAATGGTTCCTGTGGAGCTCTTGAGAGCGCCGGTCCTTTAGAAGAGATCCGTAGAGTATACCGACTCGGAGGTTAGCAATGGCTTCGAACTTGCTTCAATCTGCTCGACTGCTGCGTGGCTAGGCGTAGTTATCATGTGCAGGGGTTCCTTATTATATTTTTTTGTATTAATGGGCCCCCAAACCCGATTCTAATTATTCAGGCCCCCATATTACCATCTGTTTGCTATGAACCCGAAGCCCCAGAAACCTGCATGTACCAGGGTTTTGGATTCCGTTTGGTGAGCCGGCGAAGAGCCCAGTTCTAAGATCCCTTTAAAGGAACCCCTCAACAGTTACTTAAGAGCCCAGTTCTGGATCCCTTTAAAGGCCCCCCCCTGGTTACTTAAGAGCCCAGTTCTGGATCCCTCTAAAGGAACCCCCAAACCAATCCCTTTAAAGGAACCCCTAAGGATCCCTTCCTGGATCCCTTTATAAAGGAACCCCCAAGCCAAAGAGGAAGAGCACTTCGCGGCCGTCGAGGAGGAGATCGAAAAGGCAGCGGACGTGTCTCGTTCTCTCGTAACTCCACAGGTAAAAGGAGGGACCCTTAATAAGGACCCCTAGGTATAGACCCTTAATATAGCTATGATAGAACCATTATATAGCCCATTATAGGGTAGGGGTCCCCATTAAGGGTCACTCCTTTTCCCTTTGAGTAACGTAGGGGCCTCAACAACTAGCTTGAATAGGGCTTGGAGGCATATTAGACCATACATTTTATGGTATAATATGCTTCCAAGCCCTATTCAATATAATAAGGAGCCCCCAATACCCTCTCCTAGTTCTTAGGGCCCTTGCGTCATGCTCCTTGCGTGTAGTATTACTGGCTGACTAGGCCCACCTGAGGAGCTGAGTAGGTAGCCTGTAAAGGGGTCCATAGGGTATTATACGGGGTTCCTTTAAGGGATCTATCAGGGTACTATAAGGGTATTATTCTCGAGGTACTACTTTAAGCTTATGGAGCTTACATCATCCTTCCAAAATTCAAAGGATTAGCCTTTTTGGGGGGCTACGGTACCCAGCCCCTAAGTGTGTGCTCCTTGCCTGCTTTATTCTTGGTGTCACGTTGCTTGATATTGCCGCAGGTAGTGCATCATGAATACCGGCCTGACTAGTTTGAAAGCCTACTCCTGAGATTTCCGGAAGATACATCGAATATCGTATCATGTACCCACACCCTATTCGAATTATTCAGGTCCCGCGTATTGACCTTCAGCCCCAATCCCGAAGCCAATTCTTTGCTGTGTGTTGAAATGCTTCGCTCCGGCGTGCTTGATCCTTTCACGGAGCTCAGCACGGGGCCTGATGGATTTCAGCCCTCACGATATAGTATCCCTTATAGCAACTACAGCCTCCTTAAACTCTATTTTTGATTTTTTTCATATAAAACCCAAAAGAATATTTAAAATAATAGTTCAATTATGGTTCTAAGGGGGTGTATAGGTAACCGTTGCCCTTACTCTCTGTGCATTATCCTTTGTTGTAACCCTTAATTGCAAGGGTCCTGGCAGAGCTTGTGGAAACAGCAAAAGTCTGCTACGGAAGATGGAAGTTCTCCCGATGTTGGGATTCCGGGCCCGAAACCCTACAGCTCTGCGTGATGATAACTGTAAGTACGAAGCTTGAAACGCCATGAACCGGCAATTGCGCAAAGCTCTGCTCTTCTGTTCTTGTCGCTTCATCATGTGCTTGCACAAACATACGTACATACATTAGTAAGGGGCCCCCACCCTGTAATAGTGGTAGAATAGGAATATAATAGGGCCCTAATATGATCCCTCGCATCTGCTGCAGTATCCTTGTCCTAAACCCCAGCACACCCTAATATACGGGCCTTAATAAGTACCAATACTATTTGGGGGGACTCCGTATTATTTGGTATAATGTACCCGAAAACTCTACTCCAATTATTAAGGCCCTGCAGTAGCCTTATAGTGACCCTTATAGACCCCCTTTAAAAGGAATCCTGTTTGAATTACAAAGGCCCCTACATTGCTCCCTCAACTCCTTGTTTTTACTTCGGGGGCACTCCTTCGACTGAAGCTCTTTGAAAGAGCAGCTCTCAACCCGAAGCTGCGCCCTCCGCTCCTTTTTCTTAGCCCTAAACCCTAAACCATTTTTAAAACCAAACTAGACCCTAAACCCTAACCTATGTTTTCCCAAGCTCTTTCCATGCATCCTTTTTGACCTGGGTAGCACTATAAATATCATCATTCTCGTTGTTGTTGTTGATATTATAGTGTCATTATTGTTGCTACACACCCTGGAGCGAGTTCCAGCAACTCAACACCTGTACGCAACAACATGAGCACACAGCTGACTTCGACGGTTCAAAGACTGCTACCACCCTCAATAGTTTAACAATGGTTGCAATCATCATCATCTAAGCCCACACTCCCCTAAACCCCAAAGCCGCACTCCAGCCGGACCTTGGGGTCAGGAGTTTGACGAGGGTAAGCAGGCCGGGTCCTTGGGATCATGTCATTTTTGGAAGGGTTGCAGGGTTTTTGGGGCTCAGGGCTTCGGCTTGAGAGTTTCTGGTTCAGGGGTAGGGTTTTGGGTTGAGGGTGTCTGGTTCAGGGTTTCGGGTTGAGGGTTTAGGGAGTGTTTCATCCGGGGTTGTTTCGGAAGGGTTCCGTTTCCAGGGCATATGCCTAGTTCCTGGCATGCTCCCTGTCAATCCAAGGGTAAAAGGAGGGACCCCTAAGAAGGACCTCTGGGTATATACCCTTAATATAGCCATTATATACCCATTATATAGCCCGTTATAGGGTAGGGGTCCCCATTAAGGGTCCCCCCTTTTCCCCTTTGAGTCAACGCCAGCACCTGCTTGTTGTACCACGTTGCCCGCTTAAGCGGGTCTTGTGGGGTTTGGGCTTGTATTTTTTGGATCCGGCCTAGTTCAAGCCTCAACTTCGACAACAGAGATCCGGAGGATGTGGGCAAGGTCTCTGTGGCCACCATCATGACCATCCTCTCCAAGACCAGGCAACTGAGAGTCCGATTGCTGCCGGGAGATGGTTAAGTGTTACAGGGTTTGGGGGGTTCGGATTTCCAGGATTGTGGTTTGGGGATAGGGCCAGGGGTGTTGGGTGTTGGGAAGTTGAGGCTGAGGTTGAATTCTGTAGATGATGATGACTGAGGACGAGGACGACATGACCAGCATGCAACTGATGATCATGAGTGTGATGATGCCCTGGTACCGACGGTAGCTCAAGTTTCCGGATCTAGCTTCACATTGAAGCTCTGGGTCGCAGTGCCCTTGACCCATGTAGAGGCGTATCTTTTCGTATCATTGAATCATAGGTATATCTTCGTACATGCTACTATATCATGTTCTGCTGTTATGCTTCTAAGCAAACGTGGCTGAGAGAATTTTCGTCCTCAGCACTGCGCTCCTGCTCGAAGGAGCTTCTTCGGTGCTGCCAGCTCGCGTGCTTTGATGCAGGCAGGGGCAGGGTTTAATGAGGTTTACTATAGAGACATCAACATTTGGTAAGACTGTTCCCGAGAGTTTCTTTCATTTTGTAACTAGATGAATATACCCCAAAGCCCTTTTGTAATGATTCAGGCCCTGGGATAGTTGGAGTTTGGCGTATACGCAAAGGGAATTATTACATGGGTCTGCAGGATCAGCCATTGGCGTGGCTGCATGAACAGAGGCGGTCGAAGTGGTCGAGGGACCACAGGCGGATGAATACTCACGCGCCACTACCCGTGCGGAGGAGGTGCTGCTACTACGATCGCAGTGTGTAGGCCCTGAACTGTCTGGGGGATCTTCAAGGGTCCAAATCAAGGGTGCCTTGTTCAAGGACTCTGCCACGTACCCCCCCCCCTGGAATTCAGCCTTCAGTGGACAGTTTAATTATCACTACAGTTCAGCCTTGGCCTAGATCCGCTCAGAAGCGCACGACGCTAAGCACCGGTTCTTGAAAATCACGTCGATATGACTTGCAAGCCCTGCTTGAGACACTGGAGAGGTTCCGATTACGGGTTATTGCAATAGTCACTACAAGTAAGGTTTACACATAGTACTACAAATAGAACGGTTCCGAAACTACTGTAACTGCAGCATGAAAGGGTGACTGAAGGGCACTTAAGTAAAGCTACTCACGGGCCCTTCGTGTGGGCTTGAGGCGCGACGGATCCTTCGGCGGAAGCAGGCAGGCGTCCAGGATATGAGTTGCACCTTACTACTGTATTTGGGTTCGAGACTCTCTTTGGCTTTTCTTGCGACCCCAAGCGACGGTTCGTTGCCCAAGTTCGAACATTGCCTGCCATGCGTTGTACAGAGCTTACTGTGAAAGTCGCTGATAGTAAGCCCTGGCTTAACCTACCCGTAATCGTTTTGAGTTCACTAGAGCCTTATCAAAGCCGCTAGCGAAACCCTAGGTAACGGGACGTCGATGAGTACGCATGGGTGGTTGTCAAAAATATGGTCTCTTTTGGGTCCCCTAAATAACAGGTGCCGTCCTATAATAGGGGCCCAAAAAGGGACCCTAATTTTGACAGCCACCCACATAATGAAGCACTTCGGCACTTCCTCTCAGAGCCCCGAGAAAAAATGCAGCGAGAACATACCCCAGAATGGTACATCCAGACTCCCAGGGACTGCAGCGACTCTACACCCAAAGACCCTACTTAGAGGACCATGCGACTTAGTAGGTAGGGTTATAAGTAAGGTAACCATAGTTATATCTACTGAAAACCCCAAAAAAGGTACTGAAAACCCTACTTACTAAGTCCCACGATCCTCCAAGTAGACCCTAAACCGTAAACTAAACCCTATAGATCCCTTTAAGGGGCCCTTTAAGAACCCTTAATAAATCCCACGATCCTCCAAGTACAGCTCAGGATCCAGAAGCCCAGGAACTGGGCATGAGTACTTGGAGGATCATGGGGCTTAGTAAGGGTTCTTAAAGGGCCCTTAAAGGGATCTATAGGGTTCCTTAAAGGGATATATAGGGTTCCTCAAAGGGATCTATAGGGTTTAGTTTACGGTTTAGGGTCTACTTGGAGGATCATGAGACTTAGTAAGTAGGGTTATAAGTACCTTAATTGGGTTATAAGTAGATATAACTATGGTTACCTTACTTATAACCCTACCTACTAAGTCGCATGGTTCTCTAAGTAGCCCGCTCTAAAGGATGGGGACCTCGATAGGTACCAGTACTATGCCTTAGGGTTTCTTTATATGGGTTACGGGTGGTTGTCAAAGTTATGGTTCCTGTATGGGTCCCTATTATACTACGGCGCCTAATGTGTAGGGTACCCGAAATGGGGCCAGAACTTTGACAACTACCCATATATAAACCCTCTTCTAAATCATACCCCAACACCAACTTGTAATGATTCAGGCTCTAGATGAATCCGGTCCGTCCTTTGAAGGGCCTTACATCCCGAGGAGAACCTCAACCGCGAGCCCGCTCCTTCATAAAATCCCCCGAAGGCAAAGCCCAAAAACGGAAGACCCCAATCCCCAGATCCGAAACCCTGAACCCTAAAACCCCAAGCCCTCAAAGTTCTGAGCTTATCCCAGAAAACCCTTGAGCCCCAAGCTTGAGGCTTTCCTGCAACCCGTTAACCTCAGAGTAACAGGTTTTCATCTACCTTCGTGGTCTCCATAGCTCCATCGCGCTGCCGCCGCAGTATATGCAGCGGAATTGAGAGATTAGGGCTTACGGCTTGGAGTGCGGATTTTAGGGTTTGGGGATTTATCGTTTTAGGGTGTATGGTTTTGAGATTGTTTCTTGAGGAAGTTGTACGAGGCGCTTTGACATCTTCAGGGTTCCAAGGTTGCAGCTCGGGACGCAAGCGGCAGGTGACAGATCTTTGACACATGGGGGGGTTATCAAAAAATGATGGTCCCTTTTTGGGTACGCTAAATATTCGGTGCCGTACTATATTAGGGACCCAAAAAGGGACCCTAATTTTGACAGCCACCCACATGTAGAAGAGTGGTAGTTGGCAGAGCTGATATTTTTCAGAGGCTTTGAAGGGCCAACCTAGAATACCATGAAACACGGTTACAATCCTAAATTAACCCTGCACGTCGCAATTTTCGTATGACTCCTGCTTGACATCCGGGGTTTTTGAGTACGCATACAATGGCAGCCCATAAGACCCCTAAAAATCGATCTTCTGACGATGCCCGCGTTCAGCTGCTCGCTGCAGCTATCCCTTATAAGACAAAACAAGTCTGGGAGTTTCCGAAAATTTGGGGACCTTATTTGGGGGTCCTTATAATAAGGATCCTACTATTTAGGGTGCTATATTTGGATCCCCTGTTTCCGGAAACTCACAGGTTGCTCGAAGCGACACGCCCCGACCAGCAGGAAGGGAAGGGGCCTGAACCCAAGGGAGCACCTAGTCCTTATGGTGCCCAAAAAGGAACCCTAATTTTGACAACCACCCATATGACAGTGCATGGTACATTCGGTGCTGCCGGGGAATGCTCTTCCTCGGTGGGTGTTGAGTCCACGTGCCCTACGGGACACACTGTTCCCACCCTTTTCCGAATGTGTTCCTTCAGTCGGAGTTTTGTCAATCTAGCTCCGGGTAGATCCCTTTAAATGAAACCTGAAGCCCCCTATAGAGCCCTTATAGAACCCTAAGCCCTAAACCCTGAACCCTAAACCCTAACTTGGTTGCGATTTGCGTTGGGCTTTGCTTAGGCATCGGTTTTGGTTTGGATGTTTGGGCTCTTGCATAAGCCAGTTTGGACTTTGAGTTTGGGGGGATTTAGGTAGGCATAGTTTTTCCTAAAGGCGCTCTATGGTTGGATCCCTTACAGGACTGGGTTGTCCTTTGGTATCTTTTTTAATTTCCCCTACTATTTTGTAGACAACCATAACAGTAAATAATTTTCCAGGGGCTTAAAGGACAACTTAGAGAGGAGCCCTTTTAAGGAGCCTTCAAATGGGTGGTCGTCAAAATGATGGTCCCTTTTCGGGTACCCTAAATATTAGGTGCCGTATTGTAATAAGGACCCAAAAAAGGGGCCCTAATTCTGACAGCCACCCAAATGGGAGTTTCCGAAAATAGGGGACCCTAATATAGTACCCTAAATAGTAGGATCCTTATTATAAGGACCCCCAGATAAGGTACCCCTAATTTCCGGAAACTCCCAAATAGGGGTACCTTATTCTGGGGTCCTTATAATAAGGCTCCTATTATTTAAGGTACTATATTAGGGTCCCCCATTTTCGGAAACTCCCAAAGAGGCCCCCCCCTGGGGGGGACGATGCCAGGTGCTGGGAGACAAAGAGGAGACGAAGTCTCGCCAGGGCCGTCTCCTCGGTGCCGGTGTTCATGGGACTTAGTAAGGGGCCCTTAAAGGGATAAAAAGGCTTCCTTAAAGGGATCTATAGGGTTCCTTAAAGGGATCTATAGGCTTCCTTAAAGGGATCTATAGGGTTTAGTTTAGGGTTTAGGGTCTACTTGATCTGGGGTGCCCCGTGGTGCCCTTCTTCCCTTTTTGTACTCCTAGGTTCCTTATAAAGTTACCCAATACAAAAAAGGAAGCCCTTTTTATTCAAAGGTTACTGGGCATCCCAGTCTTGTTGAAGGGTTTTTTCTATAGTCTCCTTAGGAATTAGTTTGTATTTTTCTGGGCTGTCCTTTGGGATCTTGCTTAACTTCCCCTACTATTTTGTAGAGAACCATAATAGTAACTAATTTTCAAAGGGCTCAAAGGACAACTCAGATCTTTTCATATAAAACCCAAGAGAATATCAAATATGTTGTTGATATTATGGCTCTAAGGGTAGTATAGTTTTGAGTTGCCAAAAATAAAACGCTAAACCATCTTGAACCCCTCAATCTCCTCCCCTAAACCGCCTCCGGACCCTCCCCCAGGGTTTAGGGTTTTAGGGTTGGGGGTTTAGGGTTTAGGGGTTTAGGGTTAGGGGTTTAGGGTCAGGGTTTTAGGGTTGGGGGTTTAGGGTTTAGGGGTTTAGGGTTCGGGGTTTAGGGGTTCAGGGTTGGGGGGTTTAGTGTTAGGGGCTCAGGGTTTCGGGCTTCCGAGGGGAAGAAGGTGAGCCTGGAGCTCTGATCCCGAAAGCCCAAAAGCCCTGGCCCTTTTAAAACCCTCAATCCGGAAAGACCCTAAGCTCTCTATCTGGGTTTCTATCGTCTCCTTAGGAATGATTTTTCATTTTTGTTCATATAAAACCCACGAGACTATTTTAAAATAATAAGTTCAGTATGGTTCTAAGGATGGTATAGGTTTAGTGTTTCCCTAAACCCCAAACCCCTTAAGACCCGAAGCCCCCCCAGACTCAGAAGAAGCCTAGCGGCCAGAGGCGAGGCTGAAGAGTCGGAGTCTGAGGCTACGGAAGACAGAAGCTTTGGTCGCAAGAAGCCCGGGTTGAGGGTTTGGGGGTTTGCGGGTTTAGGGGTTAGGAGTTGAGGTTTAAAGGTTTGGGGGTTTAGGGGGTTGAGGGTTGTGGGGTTGAGGTGTAGAGGTTTGGGGGTTTAGGGGTTGAGGGTTTGGGGCTCGGAAGGGTGGGACTTTGGGCTTACCGGCCGAGCGGCTCTTGGCGCTTCAGGCTCACATGCTTTAATATAGGGGCCTAAATAACCGATACTATTTTGGGTGCTCCTGCTTATAATTCTAGCATAATGGGCCCCAACACCTTAGTCTAATTATTACGGCCCCTAGATTAAGGCTTCGGAGTTACGGGTTCGAGGATTCAACGGCTGCTGGGTGGGAAGCAGCCAGACCTTACGTCAACTCTTTCAAGAGGTCTTCGTCCTCTTCGCAACCAAGAATTTGCAGGTTCAAGTCGAATTTTAAATTATCCTCCTTCAATATAGACTTAGAAAATATAATATAATATAATATAATATAATATGATATAATATAATATAATATAGTAATAACTCATTTGAAACAAATTCAAAACAGACTTGAAGTTTAAGATTTGAGGTGTGGGTGCCTACGCCAGCCGGGAAGTTGTTCTCAGGTCTGAAGACCGGTCTGAAACTGAGAAGCTGCAATCTACCCCTGGAACCCCGCAACCCCCCTGAAACCCCGGAATCGTAAAACCCTGAAACTAATGAGAAACTCAACCCCGAAACCAGAACGTTATGGCTTGCTGCCACCAGCAAGGCCACAGCGAGCTTGACGACGAGCTGCAGGACCCCACACCATGAAGCCCTGAAAGCTTAGGGTTTAGGGTTTTAGCCAAAACATCGGAAACCTCAGATACGTTGAAAGCCGAAGGCGTGAACCCGGACCCGACAGGTTGAGTCCTGACGGGCGTGGTTGGGGCGATACTAGTTAGTTAATACTTGTATGGTTCGTCCATGGACGAACCGCACGGGAATCTGGAAGGCATTGAGTGCCCAAAACGTCATATAACTGTTACGGCCTGAACCCTAAACCCAGTACATCCCTAAGCCCGAAACCCCACTACATGTCAGATGCTGGCAGACATTTAAAAGGAGATTGCAAAAAACACTACATGACTGTTTCCCCCACCCTGTGACCTCGTTGTGCGCCCCGCTTGAAGGAGATGGGGGAGGAGCCGATCGACGAAGATCTTATGATCCATGCTGCGGGCTCGGATTCGCTTCGGGGGTATTATCGTTGCTGATAAGGGTTGCTGCTCAGGCAGACCTCTAGATTGGGCGGGTCGACGCATCAAGGCCCACAGCTTGTCTTAAGACTCTTCGGGTTGAGGGTATTGGCAGTTTGGAGTTTAGGTTTAAGGTGGAACGGGGTTTACTTGGGAGATAAGCTCACAGGGTACTTCTGTATCAAGCTAGAGACGGAGGGACATGCTCCGTGACTATGAACATCCACCCAGATCCAATCCCCGGAGCCTGAATCTCTTACGAACCGGACCCGAAGCTGGACGAGGGCGCAGGATACATTATCCTAGTAGTCGAGTAGGTAACCTTAACCTCCCCTATATAATCCCTATATAACCAAAAAAGTTAACCTTTAGTTCCCCGTGATACCCGACAAGGAGGACTGCGATGTCTACACGTGGGTAGTTCTATAAATTAGGGTCCGTTGTAGGGGTCCTTTGTTATAAGGGTGTCGTACTATTTCGGCGACCCAGAAAGGGACCCTAATTCAGAGATCATGTACATGCGGACAAAATGCAGAGAATGGTACCTAGGTGTTTTACCACATCCCATGGCATGTCACAGCACCTCTGCATGCGAGCTCTTGAGCGAAGATAGGCGGCTCAAGACATGTAACATATGGTGATGATAACGTATGGTGATAACCATTTATCGTCCCACTTTTCCGTGCCCCAACACCCTGAGTCAATTTTCAAGGCCGCTACGTTAGGGCTTGTGCTTCAGCTTGGGTTTGTCGTTGGCCTTTTGGCCCTGACTCTCCAAATGCAGGTTCGCGATGAGCCGTTTTTGGAAACTCCATGCTGCCCAGCTAAATCCGCGAGCTCTAAATACACCAGTCTGAGTTCTATGCAGGAATCCTGCTCAAACCTGGACGGAGCCCCCCCAAGCTAGAAATTCGTCGAAACTCTAAAGCGACCCTGATCCCTCGAATCAAAAGCATCCTCAAGCTCCAAGCCCCTTTTGACAATGTCTGAGTCTCACAGCAGAGGCCTCGAAAGATATGCAAAAGAAATCAGAAGCCCAGTTGCCTCTGGAGCCGATTCCGGAAGATCGGCGCTACCCGCTTTCTGGGCTGACGATCATCAAGGCCTGCACGTTTGTGGCGTTACAGGAGGCAGTTGGGTTCCTTGAAATCCGTGATTTCCCTGTATCTTTCGAGGCTTGGGCTGGTAGGGCTCTTCGTTTCCGTACCGTAGGGCTCCTGCAAGGACTTCCGAAGTTGGATTTAAGATTGGCGCTTAGCGACGACAGAGCTTCCAGGTGCTGGGAGTGGGTCTCGCACACTTTTTTTACCCTAAACCCTAAACCCAGTAGCTGAGTGGATACACTTTACACTTTTTGTGATAATATTACCCACTATAAAGCTAAAAGTGTGCACTTTTGGGGGATTATGAACTCAGCAACAAAGTAAGTCCGGGGGTTCAGCCAGGATTTAGGTTTTGAGCGTTCGAACTTGTCTATTGCGGGGATTTGGTAGTTTAAGGCCTTCTTTCACGGCGTTCGTTGGATAGGTGTGTTGCGTTTGGTTGGATGTTGCATGATATCTATATTAGGGACTGTAAAGGGGTAGTAACCGGGTAGCATGATGAGTCATTCCGAAGCCTTTATCTTAAGTATCAGCAGAGAGGATGTGGAGGTCTTACACCGTCTAGCATGTTGGTTGTCAGGGCTCCCTCCAAGTTTTGGTTCCAAAGTTCCTAACCTCTCAAGGCGGGGCTTTCTCTACGTCTCTGAGAGCAGCCATAAAGTGAAGTATGTATCTGCCGTGAGTATGTCGAATTGTTGAAAGTGGCCGTGTGCCCCTGACGTATCACTGCAATGCGAAGCCTCGTCACTCTAAGGTGGTTGCAAGTCGTGGACGTCGGATTAGCATCCTGAGGGAGGGGTGTTCCCACGGATTCCACCCCCGTCTCTTGCTCAATCGCAGCGGTCTCTTGTTTCAGGTGTGTGATTCCTTCTGTTCTCTAACTAAAAGTCTGCCTTCACGTTCTCTGAAGTTCGGAAGTTTTCATTCCAACCACGGTAGTAGCTAGTTCCAGTGTCCTCTGATCCTCGAGACCCCCAGCGCTACAGCAGAACAGGCCAAGAGGTGTTCTTGTTGAGGCTTAGGGTTTAAGGTGATCCCCACAACCCTAGATCCTTGGGTTTGGTCCAGGTTCTTGGGCACTTCCGCGAGTATGTCTACTTCTCGCAGATGGCTCTCATGTCTATCCAGGCGACTCGCGCAGCAGCCGAGTAGGTCTATGCGGCTTAGGATTTGGGGGAACGCTGCTCTTCGGATTAGTTTGTGACTTGACTGACTACTTGTACACTGTATGGCAGTCGACATCGAGCACGGTTTCGTGGTGTGAGTGAGTGAATGAGTGAGTGAGTGAGTGGATGGCCTGGGGTGCACTCCGGCCGAACGGAAACGTTCCCTCCCGCCATCTCTTCCCCCCTCCGTTTTCGTCATCGGGGAGATCCGGCAAGAGTTCGAAGCTCCGAGCCCCTCAATCCAAGCAGGGAAAAGTGCCACCCGAACCTCCATGACTCCATGGGCCCGCCGCCCAAGCTGCACAGCTTGGGTTGGATTTGGGCACTTGGCAAGACAGCCCACTTCGCAGGAACAATAGCTCTTCCTCATGTGATCCCTCACACGGGCACTAAGCTGGGGACACTGGCTCGGAGAACGGGCTTGGGGTACGGGGTGGCCGAACCAAACACGCACACACGCACCGGCAGCAAGACTAAGGGAAAAAGCACGCTCAGCTGATCCCCTGCTGGCTGCGCAGACTCCAACAGAATTCCCCTGGCGTGTGGGGAAGTGCCTGTAACTGAAGAACGGCAGTTTCAACAAGCACATACCTTAAGCCCATGACCGTTCAGCACCTTGAGCCACTGGGCCCCACACCCGGATCCCCAGGCCCTGAAACCCCTCAGGCATAAACCCTAAATCCCTGAACCATAGCCATAGACTCCGCACTTGGAGGTTCACGGGTAGTTATAGGTCAGGCAAAAAGTCCCCTGATATGGGTTATCAGTATAGTTACCTAAAACCCTCCTTATGACTACCCGAAACCCTAATCCCAAAACCCTATAGCCCTATAGATCCCTTTAAAGGGACCCTACTTATAACTACCCATGAACCTCCAAGTAATTAGACACCTTGGTGCAGGAAGCAGGGGGAAGCAGATCAGAATGCTGCAAGTACAGAGTTGCACACGGCACAAGCAAAAGAACCTGCGGGAATTTCCGAAAAAAAGAAACCCTAAACCCTAAACCCCTAAACCCTTAGGGGTCCTTATAATAAGGATCCAACTATCTAGGGCACTACTATATATATCAGCGTCCCCCTTTTTTGGAAGCTCCCATGTTTTTCCCCCAAGGAAGCACAGGTGGAGTTATCGCTCAAAGGCACAGGGTCTGGTTCATCCTGTTCCTCAAGACCTCACTCGTTCATCCGGGTGAGAGTGATTCGATACATCCGCGTCTTCGATTATGTTTCATCTCAGGACCGGCGAAGCTAACGACCGTAAACCCTGGCACCTTACCTTTTGGCCCTAAAGACATCCGGGCGAGCTCTAAACGCTAAACCCTCAATCCCAAACCTTAAGTCCTAAACCCTACATCCTAAACTTTAAACTTTAAACCCTAAACCCTTAAGAACCCTAAATCTTAAACCCTTGAACCCGTAAACCCTAAACCTTAGATCCTAAACCCTGGGGCTTTCAAAAAAAAAAACCTTAAATCCTAAACCCCTAAACCCTAAGCCTTAGATCCTAAACCCACCCACCTGTTTCCCCGGATCCGGCTGGAGGTTCTGGGGGTGATGGTTCGTTCCGCCCGGGCTCCTGGACCTGCTCCTCTTCCAAGGGGAAAAGGAGGGACCCTTAACGGGGACCCTTTAAAGGGATCTATAGTGATTCTATAAGGGTATAGGGTTTAGGGGTTTGGGGGGTGTAGGGGAGAAGGAGGGACCCTTAACGGGGACCCCTGATTCCCGATAATGGGCCATATAATGGGTATACAATAGCTATTTTAAGGGTATATACCTAGGGTTCCTTGTTAAGGGTCCCTCCTTTTTACCCTTGGATTTCTAGAGCTGCCGCGCTTCCAAGGGAATAATATTGGGGTTTAGAATTCGGGGTTCAGGGTTTAGGTTTAGGATAATTACCTATTCCTAAAGCCCCAAGCCCTCAGCCCTAAAATCTACGGTTATGAAAGGGGCAGCCTCAAAGGGATAATTCAATTCCATTTCAATTAATCTCCTGCTGGGATCTATGGTGAGTTTCTTTGTGGGACCCCTTCAACCCGTAAAGATAGAGGTCGGGATAATTGGTCTAAGTGTGTGTGTGTGTGTGTAACTCCCTTACCGTCACTAATGAACCCAATATTAGCGTAGTATTCCCCTACAGCACCTGCACTGAGTCTTAAACCGAAATCCCCTGAACTCTAAACTGCAAACCCTCTACCCTAAACCCTTGAACCCTAAACCCTAAACCCTAAACCCCTAAACCCTTAAACCCTAAACCCCCAAGCAGTTAACCCTTAAACCATAAACCCCAATCCCTCGCAAGCTGGCCGAGGCGATCCGCCTCCACAGCAAGGCGAGCACGTCGGTGACAGCCAGAGGCGATGGGTCCAAGACGCCTTGGGCCTCAGCTTCCTTGAAGGGGGTTTGGGGGGTTAGGGTTTAGGGTTGGACGGAGGGCAGAGGTTGTTTTTGTTTTCAATTTCAAAGCTGAAAAGGGTGCTTTTAGGGGATTTATGCGTGCTGCATAGGGCTTTTGAGTTCGCTCTCATAAGGATTGTTGAAGGGCAATAAAGCAGTTAGGGCTCTAGAGGTTTAGGTTTAGGGCTTGAAGGAGTGGGGGCTTAGGCGGCACAGGGTTGTTGTGTTTCGGTTCAGGGGTCAAGGGGTTGAGCGGCTTCGGGCTTCAGGATTTTGCAGTTTAGCTTCTAAGGCCGGGGTGTTTTTAAAGGATCATGGAACTTAGTTAACTCGGGTTATGATTAGGGTAACTATACATATAGCTACTTATAACCCCAATTAAGGTACTTATAAGCTTACTTACTACGTCCCATGATCCTCCAAGTTGGAGGTTCAAGGGTAAGGGCCTGGGTCTAGGGTTGTTAGAGGTTTCGGCAATTGTACCGATCTTCATCAACGGTAGCAGTACCACTCGTCACCACTCCGGCTGGCAGCGTCAAGCAGCGCCGAAATGATTCGCAATTGTGATTGTGGTGCGCCGCAGGCATAGTACGTTCATGCATAATGGTGACTACGAATGCCATGGCAAGCACTGTCACAATTGCAACACGCTGCAGACACGATGATGACGCCTTTTGTGTATTAGACGGGTGTTTCCGAAAATAGGGGACCCTAAGTAATATAGTACCCTAAAAAGTAGGATCCTTATTGTAGGGACCCCAACATAAGGTACCCCTAATTTTCGGAAACTCCCATATGTCAATGATGCTCAGTAGTTGCCCTGCCAGTACCACGAACGGTCTTGCGTAGCTTTTATCATCCTGCTCTTCGGTGCGGCTGTCCCATGTTTACGTCTCTGTAGGCCTTAGGGACGTTTTATATTTTCCCTTATTGGGCTTAGTAGGACCCTATTTACGAACATGTTTCAGAGGCTTTAAAGGGCCAACCTAGACGTTTGTTTTTAGAAAGTTAAGGGTCGCAGGTGCTGTCGTGACTACGTGCCAGAGGATTGACTGCAAAGGTTGGCTCCGAAGCCAGTAAGGCAACAAGCAATATACTCTTAAAACACCCCTAGCCCGTGCAGCCCCCGAGTTTTCAGATCGAAATTCAAAGCACTCTGTCTGAGGGCACTCGAACGAATTCGGCCCTCCCCCCACAAAGGACGACAAGACTCAGACCTGAAATTCAAGACCGCACCAAGCTGAAGTCGTTTCTGCAAGAGAGAACACAATGCCAGTACACCCGAGGCCGGGCCTGCTCCCCCAAGGCCTAAGGGAGAGTGAAATTCCTTTAAAAAGTCGGGACTGGAACCCCACAGCCGAAAGTGGTGTAGTCATTGAATAGAAACTCTGAGACAACCCTTAGCCGCTAGGGAAATCAAATCCCCGGAGTCCAAAAGCAGAAGCCAGAAAATCAGAAAGTTGGAACATCACATTCCCGACACTGTTAGGTGAAAGTACACGGAATCCCTGCACTTCTTTATCTACTATAAACCCATGCTCCAACCTGCTGGAGCTCACTGTAGTCATGCCGCTCCTGTGGAATCGACATCCTGCTTTAGTTACACCACGCAACTTCTTAAGGCAGGGACCGGATTGCTTTCAACCTCGACGCTAGAGCCCACTGCTAGCCAGGTCTTTAGGCCTTCAGGCCAACTTCTTTAAGGCTAACCACAAACTGAGCTGTTCATCGTCAAGGCTCTCAATGCCGGTCTTCGTTCTGCTAAGCTTTCCGTCCCTATGGAGCTGTACGAACTATTGCTACGGAAGTTCCATCTGTTGCTTGAATGTATTTACTTGTTTGATGGTTGATTACGCATGCACCCATCCATTTAATGGTGTGATTGCTGTTCTGGTCTTACCGTTACTATATGTTGTTGTTACTGAGGTCACTATTACTACTGTTGACCTTTTACTTGTATCGTATTTGTTAAGTACCATATTTCACCATGAGTACTGCTGCAATTACCGTGTTGCATTTCAAAAGACAAGAGGTAGAGAGGTCGAAAGAATCGGCAATAGTATCCGGCTGACTCTCTGTAATCTTACGATCAGGAGCCCTTTAAAGCCCTCTTGACGCACGTCCTCTCCCAGGTCAGCCACGCCAATAGAGCAGGCGCTGAATAGCTTTGGCCTTTCAGACCCCCTTCTAGGGTTTAGAGCTTAGGGTTTGGGGTTTGGTTCAAGGTTTGGGGTGAAGGCTTTTTCCCAACCCCGCCTGCAGGATTCGTGGGTGTGGCATGCTCCACCTCAGCTTTCCGGGTTGCTGACTTTATCCCTCAACCCTAAACCCCTAAACCCGAAGCCCAAACCCTAGTCCTTATCTTTACAGCTTTAGGGTTTCGGGGTTTTGTTTCTCAAGGCTTTGGGGTTTGCGGGCCTGGCCCGGCGGAAGATGTTGAGGGCCGCTCCCAAAAAGCCCTCGCGCGTGCTACCTTGAAGTTGGGGGGTTTTAGGGGCAGGTTTTAGGGTTGAGGGGCTTTCAGGGCTTAGGGTTTAGGGTTGAGGGGCTTGCAGGGCTTGGGGTTTTAGGGCTTAGGGCTGAGGAAACCGTGGGTGGGGTTGAGTCCTTAGGAGTTGCCTTCACCGAGCGGAGCAAAATACATGTCTTGAAGGTTCAGGTAGGATCTATAGGGATGCTATAAGGGTATAGGGTTTAGGGTTTTCTTGGAGGTTCAGGGGTAGTTATAAGTGGGGCAAAGCGTCCCCTAATATGGGTTATAAGTATAGTTACCCTACTTATATCCCTACCTATAACTACCCATGACCTCCAAGTGTCTTCAAAGGGTCTCTGCACCTGGGGTCTTCTGTTCACACGTAAGGGAGGCTCGAACGGCTTAGGGGGCTGGGGCGCACCCATCCACGTTACGGCTCGAGATTGCGATATGCAGTTTCTTGTGAATTCCTCCGACGGAGCGCTACAACCTTGTTGCACTGGCCCTTGACCTAAATTCGCGATGCGCACAGCCTCAGCCTAAAAGCTTGAGGTCAGCGCACTGGTCCGCTCTCGACCCCTCTAAACCTTCAGCCAAAGCCGCTGGGGCCATCATCTCCTCACTGACCTTGCTTTAATCGGAGGGACTGGCACCTCCCTCGCCTCAGCTGTGTGTACACCTGTTTCACAAAAGCCCTCCACGAAACGAAACCTTTGGCATCTTGGAGGCAGAACCCCTAAACCCCAAGCCCCAAAGCCCTGACATCCGAACATGGACAGGTGATGCTCCGCCACGGCTTTGTCGAGTCTGCAATGCGGGCACTTTACCGTCTGGAGCTGATTTCACTTATCATGTATTTTATTGGGTTAAAAGCTGCCACAAGGTGTATGACTAATTCGATTACTATGTTTATTTAACGATTACAATTGATTGTTATTATCACTGTCTTTGCCTTTTTTGCAACAATCGATGTTACTATTCAGACGTATTGGGTTTTAGGGTTCAGGCTCAGGCGTGAGAGTTCAGGCGGGGTTTGGAGTTAGAGTCAAGGGCTAGCGGGCTTGCTTTAGGGTTTTGGCTTTTGGCCGCTCCTACAGAATAGCCTGTAGATCTGGCCACCTTTGGTTAGTAGGGAATGGAAGAATGGGAGTAACAGTAGTTATAATTGCACCCCATTCCTCCATTCCCTACTACCCTAAACCCTAAACCCTACTACCCTAAGCCCTAAACCCTACCACCCTAAACCCTAAACCCCATTCCTCTTTTCCCTACTAACCCAAGGTAGATCCTGACATAAGGCGCTACAATTCAGAGTCTCGGTCTAGGCAGGGGTCGGATCCTCGCTCGTTCTTGGAGGGTGTTCTTGTTGGTTAGGGTTTAGGGTTGAGGGGTTCTTGTTGGTTAGATCCAGCACAAAACCCCAGAATATTCAGTCTAGTCCCCAAATGGTTGGCAAGAAAACCTTTCCAGTTTAAGGTCATGCTGCTATCCCGGAGATATGTCGCGAGGCCCCGCGCATGTTGGATTTTGCTGGTTTATCCGTTTGCTCCAGGTGATTTGAGCAGGATCCAATAGCCGCCGATGAAATACCGTTTGCCAATCGATACCATGAGGTCTGGATACCCACATTGCTAGCAGTATTCCAGTATTGTCCCCATAGGATTGAATAATACCTCTTCGCAGTATGAAGACCGCTATGTTCAAGGTTCATGCGCAGTTGTAGCGAGTCTTCCTCCTTCGAAATACAGTAAGTACCCTTGATCGTTCTGGGTCACCATAATCCCAAACCCGAAACCCTAAAAGCCAAAACCCTGCATAATCTCTTCATAATTCTAAGGGTTAGCTTTCAGCTCCCTTGGGACACTCGACAGGTAATATTCTGCAGAAGTCAACTGGCATTAACTGGTGCTGTAAGTGGGGAAAGACCAGTTGTTTTAAGGGATTCCCTCAAAACTCTGACGACAGAACGCTCCTGGAGCCCTGGTCCGGCCTTCAAAGGAGCCCCATGTTAACTGTCACGGCCCTTGTTTCGATATCTGGACCAGCTATGATCCTTCGACCCTGAAGGAACCTTTGGGGTTCCTTTAATGAGTTTTAAAAAAGCCTAAACATGCCTAAGCCCTTGCGATGTAGAATTTTTAAACCTAAAAGACTAAACTTCCAAAGAAGCCTAAACCCTAGTTAAGCAAGAAGTCTACGTCACGAAAAACAGAGATTGAAAAAAATACGCCCTTACAGGTGTGTGTGTGTGTGTGTGTTGTTGCTTTCGGTTAGGTGCTGCTGCTTTTGAAGTATCTCGCTGCGGCCTTGGTATTGGCTTCCGTTATTTCAAGTGCATACTTAGAGGATCATGGGACTTCGTAAGTAGGGTTATAAGTACGGTAACTATAGTTATATCTACTTATAACCCCTACTTAAGGTACTTATAACCCTACTTACTAAGTCCCATGGTCCTCCACGTATTCGGGTATTCTGCAGGTTACTTTCATGGCCTGGCTAGTGTTTAGGGTGTAGGTCGGGCAGCCTGAATCTTCCGGTCAGTAGCTTCGTGTTGTGAGCACCTGAAATTGGAGCTTCTTCACCTGGCGATGGTTCGTTACGATGGATGGAGGATCGCTGGACCTGCTAAGTACAACACAGCTGCGGGTTCCTTGGCTCTGAAGCTGACCATGAGGAAGATATCGTTTCCACAATCATTCGCGACACCCTATGAAGAACAAGAACCACGAACTTAATCTACCCGTGCCCTCAATCATCACTGAAAAGCAGGGGAGGAACTCGGTGCTATGAGTCAGCTCCATGCAAAGGCGGTCAACGGAACCCAAGTTACACCCTCAAAGTCAAAACTCATAAAGCCCGAAACCCGAAAACCACGTCCTGCAGCCCTGGTACCGAACATGAACGAATCCACGCAAAACCAACAAGCATAGTCCCTAAACCCTCTCCTATACCCGCATGTGTGTAATCCTGTGCATCCGCACTGGTAACCTTACTCTCATTCCTGTTCGAGCTCTTTTGCTGTCTATCCTGGAGATTGTAATTTAGCAAAGTATGATACACTATACCGTATACCATGCTATACTATAGTGTAATGTACTATACTGTGCTATCATATACTGAGAAAAGCTCCTGCAGGAAGACTGGACCCCTAGGTTAGGAGCCCTGAGGTGCAAGATGACATGGGCCACGACGAAAGCGTCAGGGTGCGAGATGTTACTTTTGGGGCACGGGCTTCGAAGTCCTAAACCCGAAATCCCTGCAACCCTATACCCGCAAACCTAAACCGCTACAGCCCTCATTGAACATGGGCTTCAGAGATTTGAGTCTCAGGTAGCTTTTGTTATAATCCATATTAGGGGACTTAGAACTCCATTTACAACTGCCCAATGACAGCGAGGGGTTTGTGGTTTTGGGGGGTGGTGGATCAGCGCTGCCGGGCTCGAATGGTTCCGAGTTCGTAAGGCAAGCTTGACAGTTCGAGAGCTTTTTGGTAGGGGCCTTAATTATTAGAACAGGGTGTTGGGGCCCGTTTTACTAAAAGTATAATAAGGAACCCAAAAGAGTCTTGGTGTTTATTAAGGCCTATTTATTCGGAGAGTATCGAAGTTTGAGAGGTCGCAGGCCCTGACCTTCGGTGTGGTGCATGTGTGTTAGTCGGTTTTGGGGTTTCGGGTTTTAGGGTTTGTGGTCTGCTCGACTTGCAATCATGCCGTCTCACAGCCGACCGGGCACCTTCAAGCACAAAGCCCGAACGCGCTGAGCCCTTGAAGAAGCTTGAAACCCTCAATAGCTACTTGGAGGTTCAGGGGTAGTTCTAAGTGGGGTTACGAGGTCCCTAGTCCATAATGTGGGTTATAAGTATTTATAGATACCTTACTTGTAACCCTACTTATAACTGCCCATGAACCTCCAAGTACACTGCCCCAGATGATCCTCTATGCACCGATCTGCACCCTTCTGATAGCCCTCGGACTCTCCTGCACTTAGACATGTGAACGAGTATTGTGGCCTTGGCCATTTGCCATGTACTGTCATTTAGTTTTGCTGGAAATACATTCGATAGATTCTACTTGGAGGTTCATGGGTAGTTATAAGTAGGGTTCTAAGTACGGTAACTATACTTCTAACCCACATTAGGGGCCGTATAACCCCACTTATAACTACCCCTGAACCTCCAAGTAACCCCTAAACCCTCCACCCTTGTAGAATCCCTGTGGATCCCTTTAAAGGGACCCTTAAAGGAACCCTTATAGCTACCCCTGAACCTCCAAGTACATCCTGCCAGACTTCCCCCCTTTCCCCGAGTTTCGGGGTGTGGCCTCGGCAGGCTTCTACACTTTCTTGCTACTTAGAGGACCATGGGACTTAGTAAGCGTCCCTTTAAGGGATCTAGAGGGTTCCTTAGCGGGATCTAGAGGGTTTGGTTTAGGTTTTAGGCTTAGAGGACCATGGGACTTAGTAAGTAAGGTTATAAGTCAGGTAACTAGAGTTATATCTTCTTAATAACCCCAATTAAGGAACTTATAACCCTACTTACTAAACCCCATGATCCTCCAAGTAGACCCTAAACCGTAAACTAAACCCTATAGATCCCTTTAAGGAACCCTATAGATCCCTTCTTTAAGAACCCTATAGATCCCTTTAAGGAGCCCTTTAAGAACCCTTACTAAGCCCCATGATCCTCCAAGTCGGACCCAAGGAGCCCTCAGGGCCCCAGCTCCTTTTCGCATTACCCATTATAAGGAATATGGGAGTTTCCGAAAATTAGGGGGTACCTTTTAAAGGGATCTATAAGGGTGCCTTTAAGGGATCTAGAAGGGTTTCTATACAGGGTTTAGGGTTTGGAGTTTCCGAAAATTAGGGGTACCTTATTTGGGGGTCCTTATAATAAGGATCCTACTATTTAGGGTATTATACTAGGGTCCCCTATTTTCGGAAACTCCCATATACCGTAATTCCCATAGTCTAGGGCCATTAAGGTAATGCAGGATTTATATCATCAACCGTAGCAATGCTAGGGGGAAAAGATCTCTAGATTATGGGATCTTAGAATCAAATTCACCCGAAACCCGAACCTCCCTTATGGTGCGGGGCTGGCAGGCGCAGATTCAGCTGCTCACTCCTGCGGAACGGCCCATGACGTCTCTTCTGGCTTGTGTTTTGGGGCGTTGGGTCTCACGGGTTAGGGTTGAATATGGGGGCCTTGATAATTGGAATAGGGTTTGGGGTATATGGTAATGGGTTAAGGTTTTTGGTTTAGGGGCTTGATGGTTTAGGGTTTAGGGTGCTTGGCTAAGTGTTTTGCAATAAGGTGTATTGCAAAGTTTGCAGATATCGCTGAGCCTTCATATAGACATCAGAAAGTGGGATCCTGATTACATTGAGCCTTTGCAAAGCTCAATAATGCACCTCGCCGTTTCAGAACGTGGCGTTTAGGTTTCAAGGCTTGGGTTTTGCGGTTCCTAGTGTCGGGGGTTTTGGGAAATACGGTTTAGGGTTTGCAGTCATTCGATATATATATATATAGACTTAAAGATCTGTCCCTCTCTCTCTGTGCATAGAATGTAGGATGTCCTTACTGACCCTCAGGAAAGGGAGCCCCAACTGTTCTCTTAATTCCGAGTTTGCTCCTTGTGCTTCGCGGCAAGATGCAGGAGTGTTGGAAGCCTTCGGAGTAGTTCGAGAGATTTGCAACTCGCGATGCTTGACGGGTGTGTCGAAAGCCTGCACGGATTGAGAACTCATCTTTCCAGGTGCTCAAAGTATAAAGGTACTTGCATAGCATCAGCAGTTCCTCGCTGATGTGTATCGCATGAATTCGCTCCACCATGAAACCCCACAACCTGGCCCAAGCTGGATCCCTGCATGCAGGAACTCCAAAAGTGGATGAAACCCCAAGCCTGTTGGGGATCAGGGTTCTGCGGTTTTGGGATCATCGCCGCCATTCCCGCTAGAAGCGTTATACTGCAATATGTTGACACAGACATAGTAGGCTGGAAGTCATCGCGGCTGAAGCTTTGCAATTTCGTAGTGCTATCAAATTCATGTACATTTGTGTGTATATACATAAACATGTCTAAATATGATTGTATATCTCTATATATACACATATGGGTATGTAGGCACTCTGTTACGATATCGGTGTGCAGTAATTATTTCACAAATGCAGGGCGGGTCTATACCTGCTAGTACCTTGAGAGAGTCCTCGCACCATAACGCCCCCAACTGTAAGTGCTGAGCGCCCCAAGCCCTAAAGCTACATCTTACAAGCTCTGCCTCAGCCAAAAAACATGTCTGTGAAGCTACCGAAGTCATCAAGATACAATAATGTCCCTCGAATGATAACCTTAACTGCTTTCCTCAACTCAATACAGTCTCCCCCGATAGGCTCTAAGAACCATCTCAGTCACGCCTCAGGCATGGTAAGTCAACTTACCTTTGGTGAGTAGGGAATGGAAGAATGGTAGTAATAGTGGTCATAGTTGTACCTCATTCCTCCATTCCCTACTAACCCAAGGTAAGTTAAGCATCAGGTTCCTCAGCAGGAGACCAGGGGAACATACTTGGAGGTTCACGGGTAGTTATAAGTAGGGTTATAAGTAGGGCAACTATACTTATAACCCATATTAGGGGACTTATACCCCCACTTACAACTAGCCATGAACCTCCAAGTACAGCAAAGCAGGGCACCCGCAACCCGAAGCCTCCAGCCCTAGCAGACCCTACGGAATCCTTATGAGGATCTGTATGAGAATCCTTATGGTATATACTCCTATCCTTTTGAAGAACTCTTGCCGGAATGTCGTAGGGGACGAGCCCGAAACCTCAAAAACCTTTGCCAGGCTTATCCTTGCTATGGCCAGGCTCAGCAACCGCCAGGAGATGTCTTGTTTGTCCGGGTGTGCTTGGAGGATCATGAGACTTAGGAAGCAGGGGTAATATCTATTTATAACCCCAATTAAGGTACTTATAACCGTACTTACTAAGTCCCGCGATCCTCCAAGTAGGGCTTGCGGATATAAGGTTTAGCGGCTGTCATCTGGCTAGTGACTGTCGGGACTGTTTTGGGATCTCCCGACATAGCAATTCTAAAAACAGCATTGTACTCATCAAGGCAAGAAGAAGGAGAACCCTAAACCCCAAAGTCCTAAGCCAAAAACCTCGAGGCTCTGAGTTTTACAGGTCGTTCCCAAGTACATGGGTGGTGGTCAAAATTATGGTTCCTTTTTAGGGTCCCTATCATAAGACGGCACCTAGTATATAGGGTACCCAAAATAGGTACCTTAATTTTGACAACTACCCATATGTTTGTTTTCTCTCTCCCCCTCTCTCTCGCGGATTCAGAGAGTCGCGTCTCCCGGTTTGCCAAAGATCTTAGGTTTGTTGATGTGCAAGGTCGTTGTTGGGTACTTGACGGGGGTCTTCCAAGCGCTGCGTCAGGGTTTGTCGCAGGGTGTTTTCATGCGGGTGGCTGTCAAATCTATGGTGCCTTTTTGGGTACCCTAAATATTCGGTGCCTTACTATGATATGGACCCTAAGAGGGGCCCTAATTTTGACAACTACCCAAAGAGGTTCTTGCAAGGGTTGTTCAGCATGTTCGCCGGGCCCCTCGGCCGAATTTCAGGGGCTCTTCGGTTGTGGGACTTTGTGGTTTTTGGGGGGTTGTAGAGCTTAGTGGCGATCACAGGTTCGTCCACTGCCTAAGCACACCCAACCCGAAGCCCAAGCCCTAAACTCAGCCTGAGAAGCCAGAGAAAAGGGTGTTGAGTTTAGGGCTTAGGGTTCAGGGGGATTGCTGGATTGAAACCCTAGACCCTAAACCCTTTGCGGTGGACCTGCTCCCCATAAGCTAGTCCAAAAGTGCTCTGAGGGCTTTTGGGCCTCCGTTTGCCGCTTTCCTTGCAGTCTGGACCGAAATCCCCGTCAATCATAGGAGGCCAAAATCAAAAGGGGTTTTAGCCTATGGGGGTTTAGTAGGGATTAGGGTTCCCATAATAGGGTTCATATTAAGGAATCCCTACCCCAAGAATCGAAAACCCCCCTTTTGGCCTCCCCTCAGTCAACGTGAAGGCGGGTTTAATGCTCAGGCCTCGGAAGGGGAAACTTAGTAGCTGAGTGGATACACTTCACGCTTGTTGGGGATAAGATTACCCACTATAAAACTGAAAGTGTACGCTTTTTGGGGGCTTATGAACTCTGCAACTATGTAAGGAAGGGCAAGACGGGACAAAACAAAAGAAAGGACAAGAGGACATTGGAAAGAAAAGGCCAAAGAGCCTCCAAGGAAGCTTAGAGAAGTGCCTGGCGGCTGGAAGGACCGATCGAATCTCCTCCTATGCCTGGAGGCAGAGTGCGGTTAAAGTTAACGGGCTTTATACTCTACTGCTCGGCGGAATTATGTACTGTCTTTCTTCCAATATAACGTAAGGGGACTGATAAGGCTATGATTTCTAGGCTGGCTCCAAGGGCTGCTAAGTGTACGGCAGTATATGGGTTGTGTAGGGCCCAGATAGTTTGTGTCGTTCCTTCGTTTGGTTGTGGAACAGAAACCATCCCAACGCATAGGCGTAGTCTAATTGTTTGGGCTACAGTCTCGGCGTCGACATGAGAGATTTTGGGCTTTAGCATAATGCGCTTTAGGGCGTTTTGGCAGGGTCGTGTTCGGGGTTTAGCTGCAGGGTTTGGGATTTTTTGTGTAGGGAGTAAGATTTCGAGCTTCGTTTTGTCCCACTCAGTATCTGGGATTCCGGCTGCAGAGGGTTCAGGGCTTATGGTGTTGGGTGTTCGGCTCAGCATGCAGGAGGTTTGGGGCTCAAAAGCCCCACATCCTCAGCCCTCTAAACCAACAGCACCCTGAGCCCCTAAACGCACAGCTTCAAGTAGCAGCCGCAAACCTGACTTGCGTGTTCAGGGCCGCATTGGTAAGGCTTTTAGAAGAGCTAAGCATTTAAGGGCTACCAAGCTCAAGCCGCAAACCCACCGATTATGGCAGGTTGGAGCACCCACAACATAGCGATATGCAACAACGAGAGTCTGCAATCAACCGTATTTGTAGCCCAGCCTACTCACCAAAGTAATGGCCACAGCCCTTGCTGACAAAGAAGCGTAAACCCAAAAGTCACATCCCCCAGGGACTGTCACGCGGGAGGCCAGCCAAGGTTTATTGTAGGGGCCTTAGTAATCAGAATAGAATAGATGCATAGGGTTTTGGGGGTTCCTTATTGGAACTGTAGTATAATATACCCCGAAACCCTGTTTAAGTTGATAAGGCCCCAACATTCGTTGGAACAGGAGGGTGCCCAGGGCTCCCAAGCCAACTAAACAAGGCCCCTGTTTTTTCCTTCCGAAGGTCTACGTATCCCTGGGACCACACTCCTTCGAAGCCGCAGCAGCCCTGGATGAGTCCTAGCGAACTTAGGATATCGGAGATTGTATCATACTAACCGGTTGCGGTACTCCGCCCGCACGAGCAGCACCAGCGGCATCGCCGGCAGCAGCACCAGTAGCGGTAGTGGTGGCCACCGCAGCGGCAACAAAAGCAAAAGCAATAGCAACAGTAGTAACAACAGTAATCGCAACCGCAACCACAAAAAGAGCACCAACAGCAGCAACAACCCCAGCACCAGCACCAAAAGCAGCCACCACCAACAAGCCACAATGCACCCACCAGCCAACAACCCACAACGTAGCAAAGTAACAAGCAAGTAAAAGCAACAACGACAACAACAAAAGCAGCAGCAACAACACCAACAGCAGCAGCAGCAATAATAATAATAATAATAATAACGATAATCTGAATGCTCCGAACCGTGCCAAGGTTTGCAGAAGTATCACTATTGGGTTTAGAGTTTGGGGTTTCGTCTATGTCAGGCATTTCTCGGAGAGGAAAGAAAGTGAAGTCTGCGGTGGTTATTGCAAGATCCATCGCGGGCTTCCATGGTGGCCAAGCTGGATGCTGTTCTAAACTACCTAGTGGCTAGACTAGGTAACTTTTAACCGTTTTTGCGGGTACTATAATCCCCGAGGCTAATTCCCAGGATACCAATTAGGTAACCTTTAACTTTTCGTGGGTCAGGGTAATCCTCAAAATGGGTAGTTGTCAGAATTATGGTCCCTTTTGGGGTAACCTAAATTATAGGTGCCGTACCATTTTGGGGACCCAAAAAGGGACCATAATTTTGACATCCACCAAAATACCAATGAAAAGTAGGGCCTCGGTTTGGACTGAGCAGAGCGAGTTTCACGGTGCCCGGTCCTCAGCCCCTCGACATCTAGTTGCGCCGAACTCGCTTGTTACAGGCTTGGGATAGAGATGAGGAGGGAGGAGGAGGAGGAGGAGGAGGGGGAGGAGGAGGGGGAGGGGGAGGAGGGGGAGGAGGAGAATGGGGGAATGAGGATGGGGATGGGAATCAGGACGACAACGACGATGAAGATGAGGATGATGATCGTCATCATCATGAGGAGGAGGAGGAGGAGGAGGAGGAGGAGGAGGAGCATGCCGACGAGTGCGATGATGACTATGAATCCATCGGGAAGCCTCTTCGAAAGCTACAGTGCTCTGGTCCTTCTCTGAAGGCATCTTCACCTCTGCCTTCGCAGCCTCCGAGCCCGCGCTCTGCGCAGGCAGGCCCTGGTGCATTGACTTGCTGGCTTCCCTAAATTCCCCAGAGAGCCCAAGGAACATAGCCTAAATCACCCTTTTAATTCAAGCAATCATAATATGGAGCCCTTTTATAGTTTAAGCCATATGCCTTAATGAAGGGATATTGGGCTCTCTGGGTCCCTGAGCTGACGAACAGCTGGTAAATCGCATTCGAAGCTCTGGACCCCCGACCTCTTTCTCTTTTGGCCCTGGGTTGCAGCTTTGCCCTTGAGAATGGTTTACTTGGAGCCTCCTGGGTAGTTATAAGTGGTGCTATAGGTCCCCTAAATATGGGTTATAAGTATAGTGACCCTACTTATAACTGCCCATGAACCTCCAAGTAGAATTTGTTTCAAGGCCCTTGGTACACCCCCTGAAGGCAGCGAAGCCGCCGTCACGGCGGAGTTCCAGAAGCCGGCGTTCCTCAGGGATCGTTCCGTCGCTGCGACTGCCAGTGCAGCGGGGGTTCCCAGAAAAAGCTCGCCTCAGTTCTCATTGGCTCGTTCAACACAGGGGCCTTCATAGTTAGCTATACTACTTTGGGGGTTCCTGATTATAGGTATAGGTATAGTAGCATGGCCCCCAAATCCTATTCTTTTTGTTAAAGGCCCTTTTTGTAGAAATTTGAAGGGGGTTCTTTTTTGCTTTCTCGGTTGGCTTTCCGGATGTGTTTTGAGAGTAGGCTTCTGTTACGGCTACTGCTCAAGCGGGTCCCTCAGCCCTCCGAACCTTCTGAACCATTACGACCATATGTTTTCGGTGTCAGCCAATGTGACCCAAACCTGGACCCAGTGCCTTGTGACGCGGAGTTATTCAGCTTCGGTTCCCAGTAGGGGTCCACACGTACAGTGAGTTCATGAAGCACATCATCAGGAACCCGGTCGATCACTCAACAGAGCAGCCCAAGGAATCGTTAAGCACATTCAGGAGCCAAAGCAGCAGAGCATGCTTAAACCTAGTATTGAAATAATTGAGTTCCCCAGACAAACCCTGTATCTCATCGAAGGACGCCACAGGTGCGATCCACACGCCTTGGCCGCTCTCCACCCCGCAGCCCGAGTCCCCAAACCCATAACAACAATTTGACATGATAACCCCTTTGCTTTTTAACCTTTGTATATAGTCCAGTACACCACAAAATCCGAAATTCCAAGTCTAAGGCCTTTATTATTAATCCCCGTACTTTTGAAGCAATATTGAAAAACCCTGTATTTACTGGCTGCAATGTTAGGGCATTCTCATCACTGCCAAGGGACAGGCGGTTACTTCTCACGGACCTACACCAGTATAGAGGCCTCACCTGGACCCTGAGGAACCTACCTTTTTAGGGCCCCCTAATATATGATTTCTTTATATAAGTCCCTAAAAAGGTAGGTTATTTGGGGTTAAGGTAATAATTACCTATACTATTCTGGGGGGTTCCTTATTTATAATTATGCGATGATGGGCCCCAATGCCCCAAGACCCTATGCTAATTATTAAGGCCCTTATATTACGTTAAACCCAATAAACACCCAAAACCCTATTCTGAAAATCAAGACCCCTCTACTACATAGTACCCTTATAGTAGCCCTTATAGGCCCCCCTTTAAAAGGAACCCTTACTCTGATTACTAAGGCCCCTACTTGGAGGGTCGGGGGACTTACTAACTAGGTAGTAAGTAGACTTATAAGTACCCCAAAAGGGACCCTAATTGGGGTCATGGTACCTATAAGTCCCCAAAATAGCCAGTTACTAAGTCCCCTAAAGACCCTCCAAGTATTATTACGTTGAACCCGCACTCTGCATCAGGAGGGAGGGCGAAGCTGTCGGGAGCCCGGTGTTTCAGCTCCTCTCAGGGGAACTAAGGCTTAACCTTTTTGGGAATATAGGGATTCTATAGGGACTATACTACCCCAAAAAGGCTAAAGGTTACTTACTCTACTACTAGGCTGATTATGGAACACTGACAAATGCGCTAGGTAGATTTGGGAGTTTCCGGAAATTAGGGGTTACCTTATTCTGGGGATCCTCATAATGAGGATCCTACCGTTTTTAGGGTGCTACATTAGGAGGGCCCCTCTTTTCGGAAGCTCCCATTTCTGATTTGGAGTTTAAGATTGGTGGGGGGCCCAGGGTTCAGGGGTATTGCAATGTGGGTGTTTAAAATGTGCACTGCATGCATCCCATGCCCTATCGAATTGCACGGCTGCGTCCTACAACCATTGTAGTTGAAGTGTATGCATCTTACGAAGGGCAACAGAGAGCCCGAATCAGCTGTCAGACATCACGCAGCCGCTCTGCTACAGGGACCTCTATGGCCAAAGCCAGATAGCGCCGTTAGCGGGGTGGGGGGGGTTCATACTTCAGGAGTATTGAGAGGGGTGGGGTCTATTCCAAGACTATTGAGGGGGGGGGGGTGGGGACTCGTACTCTTGGGGAGGGGGGGGGGTCTCTTTGGGAATGGTTGTAGTATTTTGTCGGGTGAGGAAGAAGGAGCAGGAGAAGGAGTAGTAGTAGTAGTAGTAGTAGTAGTAGTAGTAGTAGCAGTAGTGGTAGTAGTAGTAGTAGTAGCAGTAGTAGTAGTAGTAGTAGGAATAGTAGTAGTAGCCTTCGTTGTTGTTCCCTCCCTCTTGAAAGAACAACAACCCCGCCTCCGCTTGTTGTTCCCCGCATTCTTGAGAAAACAACACCCCCCCCGGGTTGTCGTTCTTACCCTTCCCTTCCCCTTTTGCAAACCTGCCAAATGATTCCTGCTCAGTTGTGTTTCCTTGCTTTTCAACCCCTGAAGTGTTTGCATGTGGCTCTTTCCTTCTTGTGTTGACGAATGCTTTTTTTTCCTGGCGGCTCGAAACAAGGGGGGTTGAGCCTAAGACAAGCGGGTTGGGGGGGGTGCAGCCCCCCCCATTTGCAAGCCTTCCATCGTCATGATAAACTGTACTTGCTTGCTTTAGCCCCCCTAATGCGTTTGCATGTGGCTCTGTCCTTCTTGTGTTTTGGCGAACACGCTCCTACAACGCTGTTGTTGTCCTTCTTCGAACTTGGCCCCCTCCTCCATATTGGAAGATAACCCCCCCTCCATACTGCTGGACTATGAATCTTCCCCCTCCATACTCATGGAGTATGAACCCCCCCCTCCTGGACCATGACCCCCCCCCCCTCTTAATACTCCTGGAGTATGAACCCCCCCCTTGAATGATCCTGGACTACGAACCTCCCCCCCCCCCCCCCCCCCAAAAATACTCCTGGAGTATGAACCCCCCCCCTCATATTCTTTCCCCCCCCCCCTCCCCGCCTCTGGGGGGGGGGGGGTCAATACTCCGGAAGAACTAACCCCCCCTACCCGTGTCCTAGCGGGTCTCGTCAAAGCAGGCATGGTTTTGAGGGCTCCTTTAAAGGTTCTATCACGGGTGCTATAAAAGCTATGATGTAGGAGCCTGAATATTTAGAGCGAGGGTAACTATTGAGGAACGCCTACGGAATAATCCATCTATTCAGGAGCTCTGCTATTTCGGGTCCTACAATGGAGCTACCATAAACCCAAGACCTTAAACCGTAACTACTCAAGCCTTACGGAATGAAGCCTCTGAGGCGGAGATCTTTGTTACCATTCTGCGTTCCCACTGGCAGGATGAGGCCGAGAAAGACAGGGCTGAGGGTTCAAGAGCCGGGGCCTTTAAATGATGATACTGCTGATGGACAAAATCCTGCATTACCCATTAAAAGGAAGATACCATAATTCCCATAGTTTAGAGTGCTTAGGGTCATGCAGGATATTGTCCATCAACAGTAGGAATAGGGCTCCGGTTAAAAGGGCTTGTCTTTGTAAGCAATAGTATAAGGCCTCGAAACATTGGGACCTTGAGTGTCCGGGTATGGGGTGGTTGGGTTTAAGATGGTCAGTTGTCGGTGGTTGAAGATAGAAGTCAGGGTTGTGAAGTGGCGCTGGGCTAGGAAGTTAGGGTTTAAGTTGGATTATATAGGGTAATTTTATCTACGGCGAGGGGGCTGCATGCGGCCAGGAATTTTGGTGCAATGAAGGCTAGGGTGTCCCTCTTTGTACTTCACATGATGCTTGTAGCGTTGTAGTGTACTACAGTGGCCCAAATATTTGCCAATACTACTTTGGTGTATGCTGACACTATAATATGCCCACACTAACCCTCCTCTGACTCTAATTATTAAGGCCCCCCCTCTATTGGTCCATAGGCCTTTGCCTTAACCCTGAACTCGTACTCAAAAGGGTAGCTGGAGCATTTCCTGGCTAAAACCTACTAAATCGCGAACGGTTTAGGGTTTAGGGTTTTAGGGTTTAGGGTTTAGGGTTTAATCGCGAACCCTAAACTCCCTGAGCTTTTGGTTCTCCCTGGTCCCAAAGGCAACCTCCAGGGGCTCGAGCTTAGGGTTTCGGGGCTAGGGCTGAGGGTGGTGGTGGTAGTAGTAGTAGTAGTAGTAGTAGTAGTAGTAGTAGCAGTAGTAGTAGTAGTTAGTAGTAGGGGTTTAGGGTTTAGGGTGGTAGTAATAGTAGGGGTTTAGGGTAATAGTAGCTATAGTTGTACCCCATTCCTCCATTCCCTACTAACCAAAAGTAGCTCGATGCATGGGGGCCGAAAGAAAGGAGTTTTGGGCCCCGCTCGAGGTTGCTTCGTCTTTCGGCTTCTAGGGTCACCTCGAAGGGCGGTGCAAGAGTTTAGGGAGTATAATGGTGTGGGTGTGTAGGGATCAGGGTTTAGGGTTTGGCTTAGGGCACTGAGTCAGAGCTTTAAAAGATGGTAAGGAATTCACTGTCTGGCCTTCCATCTTGGGATTTGTCACTGGTTGGGAGTTCAGCGTGGGCTGCTTTAGGTTTCAATCCGGCAGCGAGTCGTCAGGTGATCACACTGATCATGCTCAAGATCACGCAGTTTTCCTGTGCCTCGGCCGGAAGTGGGTTTGGGAATTGACTAGGTAGGCCTTTGGGACATTTTATATTTGCCCTGATTGGGCTTAATAGGACCCTAGTTACGAATATGTTTCAGAAGCTTTAAAGGGCCAACCTAGTTAAGGCTTTCTAGACAAGGGTCCACCCCGTGCCAGGGCCCAAGGAATCCCTACTCTTGACTTCATGACGACCATGGGCCCTGAAAGCAACTTTGATTTCAGCACGTAACATCTGACCCTAAATCGCTGACTATAAGGGTATATAAATAATTACCAATACTCTTTGGGGGTTTCCTTCTTATGGTTATAGAGTAATAAGATCCCCCAAAACCCTAGTCTAGTTACAAGGGAACCTGAGGGCTTCACACCCGAAGCCCTCAGGTTCAAAGGAAGGTTCCTATGAAAGAACCCTATAGTACCTCAAAAGGGGGCCCTAACTGAGAGACCCAAATGGGTGATTGTCATTGGAGTTCTTGAACGTGTTTGAAACCTGCGAGCCTCGAATATGGCCGCATAATTTCCTCTCAAGCTTTTCAGGAGCCAGCTAGGACATGGGACGCCCAGCGCTGGGGGTTTCTTATCTGGTGTGGCACCTGTGTGGATTCTTAGGCGGCTATCTCTCCAGCGATCTGCTTCAGGGATACCAGGTGCAGCGGGAGCTCAAGGCGACCACCGAGACTCTGGCCCGTGCTGCATCGCAAGCGGCGGCTTCTCGCTGTATTGACGCGCTGGAGCAGTTGTGTTGCATAGAAGATCATAAACCACGCTCTGGGCAAAAGCGTCCTGCTGGGCCCAAGCCTTCGGCCTCATCGGACTACGCTTGGGTGTGGGTTTTGGTCGCTACTTTGTGCAACTGGCTTATCGGAGGGCTGGTTTCGCTGTGCTACTTCTGTTGTCGGCGAGTCCCAGCCGTGGTCGAGATTGAAGAAGAAGAGGAGTCGCCTGGCTCCCCGGTGGAGCAACGAGCTTTGGCCCAGCAGCAATTGGCTGCCTTGCGCCTGAGACGACATGACATTGGTCGATCGACGGGTTCTGCTGTTATATGATGTGCCTGGCCCGGCGCTTTGGCATGAGAGGTTAGTACTGCAACATGCCGTCGACGAGGACTACGCGGTGGTAACTCCGGACCGGGACATCTTTGTAGAGACTCTCTCTCTGGCGAATGATGATCTCAGGGGATTGCGCCTTTTGCCCATCGGAGGCGCTATGCCGGTGGGGCTCCGTGGGGGATCGGTGTATCGATTACCGGCCCTCACAGCGCTTGACATTGCTGGCTTCAAGGCACACACGGCCCCTGTGGTCGCGGCAGAGCTCGCCTTGAGGATCGGCGGGGCGGCTGCGCCAGCCGCCCCCGTCGCTGCGGCCGCTGGTGCTGATGGCGGCGCCGGGGGTGTGGCTGCACCGGTTGGAGCCGCTGATCCAGAAGACTTTTGCTGGGTGGCCGCGGAGGCGTCCGGGGGCTATAAGTTCGGGGACATTGTTCAAGGAGTCAATGTGGCGGCTGCCGATGGTGCTAAGGCTGTACACATGACGGCTCCGGGGGCAAGTTTGTTCGTCGCATGCATTCGTGGTCGTGATCGGGATGCTTTCCTTCGGCGCCCGGGTGGATGGGATCTTCGTACAGTCGAGCGAGTTGCAGAAGAGCTTGGTCGTTCTGAGGCCCCTTTGAAGGACGTTGTTAGCCAGTGTTTTGAGTCTCCGGTGCAGTGGGGTTTGTCAGGGCCGCGGACTGCCAGGTGGTGCCTCCAATACCTCATTGTCGAGGGGCTGGGACTTGGGGCATCATGAGAGGGTCAGACAGCTCTGCAAGGTTGACTCTTCGGCTTGGGGGATTCAGGAACATTGGCAGCTCAGCAACGTGATCAAGCATGCGCTTCAAACCGACCAGCTCAATGGATGCAATTTGCTTTCGCTTGAGGTCATGTTCCGCCGGCTTCAGACGATTGAATATGCTTATAGTGAGAAGGCCAAGGACAGTGAGAGCCGTGCGGTTGGAGGGCGTCTCTCCCTGGAGGAGCAGCAGACCTTCGGGGGCACCACCCGACTTGCCTCTACACTCATGGTGTGTCCGGAGCTTCTTGAGCACGTGAAGGCCGAGGTGGAACGGGATGCTTCTTTGGCAAAGAACCTCCGTAAAGCTCGCGAAGAGCGTGAACTTGCCCGCCGAAACGCCAAGAAGGGCGGCAAGGCGGGCGATGACGGCCAGTGATTGGCCCTGGGCTTGGCACTTGGGGGGATGCCGAGCCTGCTTGATCCACCCCCTTTGCATGATTTGCGGCGAAAACCTCGTGATCTGTTCCCTTTGCCCTTTCTTCAAGAATGTGGCCCTCCTTCGCGAGATGTTGGTCGAAAGTGTCAGCGTCGAGCCCTTCGGAGAGGTCATGTGGTGAAGGAGGCGAACTTGACTATCGCTGCTCTTAATTCAATGTACCAGGCCCCTGCCGAGAAGGACAGCTACTTGCGGGGGTACACTTTTGATGGGGCCTCTGAAGCTCAGCGGGAGGTCCAGGCTTTTGTCTATGACGCCGTTGTTAACATGGGCCAACCACCGGCCTTTTCTCACACAGGGGCGCTTCGGCTGCTCCGTGCGGCGGGCGGGTACACAGACGACCAGGCTGTGGGCACCGTCGCCGGCTATGATCCCGAGAAGGTCTCACTTCCAGAAGCAGGGTGGCAACCTATTCCTCTTTCTGATTTGTGGGGCCCAACCGGGCGGGAACGAGTTCATGACTTCGTTCGGCATCAGCTTCTGCCTCCGGATGAGGCGCAGGAGCAGGTTGCAAAGCTTGGGCTGAAAAAGCTCTACATGGATCCTCGGCTGAAGGATCGCAGGGTTTACACACGTTTTCTTCAGCGCATGCAGGCGTCGCACCTCGTGGATTTCTCTCTGAAAAAGCCCTGCGAGGAGGTCGCCGTCTTCTTCGTGACGAAGAAGGGAGACAGACTTCGACTCATAATAGACGCTCGGAGATCTAACGCTCACTTCCGTCCCCCTCAGTCTGTCAGCCTGAGCACTGCCGAGTCGCCGAGAGTTTAGGGTCGCTTGAGCTCGAGGGTGGCAAGGACTTAGTGGTTTGTCAGGCGGATTTGAAGGATGCTTTTTACCACCTCGAGCTCCCCTTCCAGCTTCGCGATTACTTTGGACTTCCGGGCGCCCGTGCAAAGGACCTCGGCATCACCACCGTCGGCGGGGTCAGGATCGATCAGGACACCATCGTTTACCCTCGCCTTTCAGTGGTGCCGATGGGTTGGAGCCACGCCCTTTACTTGTGCCAAAGCATTCACGAGTCCCTCGTTGAGCAGGCCGGCCTCGGTGACAGCAATCGGCTGCGTGATCGGCGTCGGGCACCCAACAGCCACTGCGCTCACACTCAGTACGTTGACAACCTTATCGTCATGGGTACCGCGGCGGCTGAGGTGAAAAGTCGTTTTTCTGCAGCGGTTCAGTCCTTGAAGAGTGCCGGGCTCCAAGTACATGAGGAGGAGACCTCAACAGGGGATAGCACCGTGCTGGGCTGGGAGTACACCGCGGGTGGCCTTTTCAGGCCCACTCGAAAACGGGCGTGGAAAGCCCGGTGTGCCATCAGAGAGCTTCTTCGACGAGGCAGGGCTCGTGGGGAAGTGGTTGAACGACTGCTCGGCCACCTCACGTTCCTCAGTCTCTGCCGTCGGGAGGCTTTGTCGGTGTTTGGTGAGATTTACAAGTTTGTCAAGGTGCATCGTCGATGCCCAGAGGAGGTTGTGATCCCTAAGAGCATCTTGCAGGAGCTTCGCAACTGGGATGGGATCCTGCCCTTGCTCTTCAAGGACCTCCGTTGCGAGTGGGCGGAAGGCCTGTCAGCTGTTGATGCGTCCGAGTTCGGGCTCGGCATGACACGGGCCGAGTGCTCGGCGCAGGATGTGAAGAGACTGGGTGGGGTCGCTGAACGGTGGCGCTTCAAGGAGGCACTGCCCAACCCTCGGGCGGCGGCTTTCAGCACAGTGACTAGCCAATGCGAGGTGATGCCGCCCTTCGCCCTGGACGAGGACGAGGAAGAGGATCGCCTTCACCATCGGCGTGATGATCCCCAGTTTTCTCCTGTGCCCTTTGAGGATATCGATCGGGCTTGGACGACGACTGGGATGCATCGATGGAGACGGCCTCTCACTCTCCCTGTCGCTGAGGCCCGGGCTGCTTTGTACGCCGTGAAGCATTGTCTTCGAGCCTGTGGTAGTTTCGGTAAGAAGCATGTTATCCTTAGCGACTCTATTACGGCTACTTTGGCAATCTCTCGAGGGCGCTCCAAACATTACCACTTGAGACGCGTATGTCAGCAGGTTGCTTCACTTGCCCTTTGCACCGGCTCTCAGTTCTTCCTGAGGTGGATCCCCTCTGAGATGAACCCCAGTGACAACCCATCACGTGGGGAGTGGAAGCCGTCAGTTCCTAGCCGAGGGCCCAAGGACAAGCTCCTCGGCCATGCTCCTGCGGGGGCTCCTGGGCAACAGTGCTCTCACCATGGCCGATGGCAGCGTGGCCAAGAAAAGGAAACGGGCCCCTGCGACATCGAGGGGGAGATCGACCCCATCCTCGGCCACGGCGGGCCCAGCGCAGGCCTCCCTCCAGCTGGAGACGGAGGCGATCCCCAGAAAACTGAAGAAGGAAAGGCGCAGGGCAGCGAGGCAAAGCATGAATCGGTCGTTGGAAAGCCAAACTATTCTGCAACAGGCTTCCGTTTCTCCCGAGTGCCTAGCCAGGTACAAGAGACATTGGGAGGAGATGGAGCCAATGATGCTGGATGGACGCGGGCGTCTGCGGGCCCTTGCAAGAATCGATCAAGCCTTGGCCGAACACCTGGAGGATCTTTACCGGGACGGGGAGGATTTGGCCACGGCGCGGTATGCTGTGGCAGCGGCGCTCTTCTTCAGACCGGAGCTCGGGTCGCCGGCAATGACTCACCTTCCGAAGGTGAAACAGAGCCTGGCTGGGTGGAGCAAGTTGTGCCCTCCCAGGAGTCGCTTGCCCATACCGTACGCAGTGGTGGCCTTGCTGGCGCTGCATGCATTGAGCTTGGGCCTTCTGGAAATCGCAATCTACCTGCTCCTGACCTTTTCTCTGTACATGCGGCCGAGCGAGGGGCTCCGCCTCCGAAAGAAGGACGTAGTGAGGCCCAGCTCACGACAGGCTGGGTTTCAACACTGGTCGGTGGTGCTCCATCCCTTGGAAGTCGGCGTGTGCTCAAAGACGCAGGAGTTCGACGAGTGCCTGCAGTTGGATCTGCCCTACCACCAGCCGTTGGGACCGGCCACTTACAAATTACTGCGGCTACATCAGAAGCGAGGGGAGGAGCACATCTTCACCATCACGCTGGAGAATGTCACCCAGTTCCTCGAGCGGGCTCAGATCGAACTCGAACTCAAGGGTCTGGGGGAGCTGCAACCATATCGTTTGAGGCACGGTGGTGCCAGTCACGACTTCGTCAGCAAGCTGAGGGACCTGGCTTCCATTCAGATGCGGGGAAGGTGGAGATCTCAGAGCTCAGTGCGACGATACCAAAAAGGAGGCCGGCTGACTCAGCTGATGCAGACGTTGACGCCGCATGTCAAGAGGGCCGCCGAAAGCGCCGTTCGAAAGCTTCCGGCGGCACTTGCTGGCCTGCCTTGAAACGGGGTCTTCCGGATCCACCCGTGTTCATTGAGATCTTTTGTGGCACTGCACGGCTAGCGCAGAGTGTCGCCAAAAGAACCGGTTGGCCTGTATTGCTATGGGACCTAAGCTTCGGTGATGCATACGACCTCCGTCAGCTGCAGGCTCAGCACAAGATCCTTCGGTGGCTTCGGGCAGGACGGTTGCGAGGCGGCCACCTTTGTGTTCCACGGCGTTCTTTCAGTCGGGCTCGTGATCACCCGCCAGGACCAAGGCCGCTACGGAGTGATGCTGCTCCTCTTGGTCTGCCAGGGCTTCCCACCAAGGACTTTGACAAGGTGCGCGTCGGTAACACATTGATGCGATTCTCTGTTCGAGTGATGCAATCTGCACTGCACCAGGGCCTCCCTTTCACGCTTGAGAATCCCCGCACATCCAGGCTATGGCTATGCCCTCCTGTGCAGCATCTTTTACGAAAGCGCGGTACCCATACTTACATCACAGAATTCTGTATGTTTGGCACACCGTGGCGCAAATCCACCCAGTTTGCAGCAGTGCATGTTGATCTTTCGGTGCTTCAACATTACCGGTGCCTAGGCTCAAAACGCGGCTGCTGTCGACATTCTGGATGTCGACATGTTGCTCTTTCGGGTCGCAACTCAGAAGGAACTTGGCTCGCGAAAATTGCGGAGCCTTATCCGTGGCAGCTCTGCTCAATCATTGCGCAGTGCTTCTACAACTTCGAGGTCTCGCAGTTAGCTGAATCTTTTTGGAAACGGCTAAACCAGGGAGCAAGCTGATACGGGCTTGGCTGCTATGGGTTGTGGGTTGCAACCTTTCCTGTGCTCTCTGGCGCAAACGCTGGCAGCGGGGGCTTTAACTTCAGAGGCCTCCCTATGCCATCGACGACGCAGAGCTTTACACGTTGCACTCTGGCCAGAAAAAAGCGAGATTTGCTGAGCGAAGTTTCAAAATTATGGTCCCTGTTTGGCCCGAAGTTTGATAACTACCCAAGTGTAGATCCACATCTGTGTTTTGGGTCTCAGAAGCGTAGGCGGCTGAGACCTTCGACCTTAGGTTTGGGGTCCTGGGCAGCTCCCTGGGCCCTGAAGCAAAAAAATAGAAGTCGAACCGAATTGGGGTCTTAGGGTTTAGGGTTTAGGATTCAGGGTCTTAGGGCTGAGGGTAAGAAGGTTTACGGGGTTTAGGGTCTTAGGGTAACCTAGTAGCTGAGTGGATACACTTCACGCTTGTTGGGCATCATATTACCGACTATAAAACTGAAAGTGTACACGTTTTGGGGCTTAGGAACTCAGCAACTAAGGTAAGAAGGCTTTCCAATGAGCAGAAGAGCTGATGCCAGTTCTTATGCTTCCTGTTTGCTGCAGGTTTAGGTTTGGGGAGTCGGGCTTCATGTTTGTACAGGTTCCTCAGGGCTCCTTTACACATGCATGGTTTCAAGCCCTGAAGTCCCACTTTTGTTACACGGTGCGTGTTTTGAAGTATCCGAACTCCCCAAACCTGCGCGACCCAAGCTCAACCCCCCAAACCCTCCCACTTAAAGGCTATGTGCATACAACACATTGCATCACATGTACATCAAATTAGGGAAACACATACATGCATGCGCACGTGTGCACAGCGAAGAAACATGACAACCACTCGCATGCGGGAAGCAAGCCTCTAAACCCAGGCCACACAACCCTTGTGCTTGCCGCAGGCGAACAGCCTCATCTTTGCCGTCATTTCTTCGCCTCCGTGCTCGGAGGGATTCAGGATCATGGCGGGGTTCGGGCGTAAGGGCTTCAATAGTCTAGTTATAAAAAGGAACCCTAGGAATAATATTGCTAGTTATTTAGGTAGTCTAGCTGTTATAAGGACCCCTAGGAATCATATGGGTAATTATTTAGGCTTCTACATGACTTGAGCACCTTGAAAGGGAAGGGCGGGGGTGGGGGGTCTTGGCACTTGCGGCTTCAGTGGCTCAGGAGCTTGGGCTTGGGATCCCAGGACCCGACAGGTAGACTCTGGGTTTCTTGGTCATAGTTGGGTGGCATTTTACATGTTTATGGGTACTTAAACCCAATAAGGAATAAAAGTGTACAGTTTTAATCCTACCCCAACAATGAACTAGGTTTCTTGCTTCAAGGGTTAGTTAGGGGTTCAATGGGTTTGGGGTTAAGGGTGTAACTTGGCCCAAGTGTCATCGATGTGGCATATCCCATCTAGGCCTTACTGCTGGCCTATGTGCCAAGTTGTCTCATCCTCCATGAAGGGATGGGCTTCTGGCTGCGAGCTTGCGTCACCCGCATATCGTGAGCCATTCCCGTCCGGATATCGATGGATCCATGATACTGATGGAGCTAGAACTAGTCATGAGTATCGCGGAAAACCTATGTAGTTACATGCATAAACTTCTATGCCTGTATGTGTTCATGTCAAGACACGCATGTAGGCATGTATGTGTATGGGCAGTTGCAAGTAGTGTATCTGTGTGCTTGTATGTCCTGTATATGTAGCTTTACAAACACAAGGACCTGCGCGGGAATGTGCGTATTAAGCCCCGTTGCGTGAAGAGAACCCCGAAGCCCCAATACTTGGACTCGCTCTCTCTCTCCCAAAGCCCGAACCTTGAAAGCCAAGAAATAGCCTTAATCCCTTCGAACCGGTGTTGCTTGGCTTCATGACTCCATTCCTTCAGGGAGGGCCTCAGTTTTTCCGATGCCAGCTCCGCTGCCATGCCCTGTGCATTCTGTGTGCGCAAAAGCAAGCAATCCATAAACAGAAGAGTGATAGCAACAGCACTATGTGGAAAGTTATCGAGGGAGAGAGAGAGAGAGAGAGAGAAAAAAAAAATAAATGACAACCTACCATAAAGTGCGTGTGTGTGTGTATATATATATATATATATGTGCACCTTTGTACATATCTTGTTTTGTGCTTAGGCCCAGCGTCTCTCTTCAGAGCTGCGACGATTCCTCCGCCGCGCTGGAGCAGGCGGGGAGAACGGCAGACAGTTGCTGAGACTCGCGCTTTGTGATTTTATGTTGCTGGTTTCTACAAGGCTCCAGTATTGTTTCGTTTGTGGCTTTACAGCTACTTGTAGTTTCTATAAAACTCTAAGGCTTGTATATAGAGTCTTATGGTTACCCTGGATACCCTATATCTGTAATGTAGGAACCTGATTAAGAAACCCTGGGCCTATAACCCGAGAATAGTAGGGTTCATATAAGCCCAAGGTTTCTTAATCAGGTTCCTACAGTAGGCTTTCATAGCATTTCAGCTCCGAGTTGGGGGCTTCGCAGGCTTGGGGCTGCAAGGCTCACGGGTTCGCGAGGGAAACCGAAGCTCAAGCCATACTATAGTACTTGGAGTTCCTTATTTTGGGTTCCTTATGATAAGGATCTTACTATTTAAGGTACTATATTACTAGGATGCCCAGTAGTACCCTCATTCCCTGTTTGTAGTCCCAGGTTCCTTATAATGTTAGCCACTACCACGAAGGGAGCCCTTTTTATTCCTAGGTTGCTGGGCATCCTCCCTCTTCAGGGTTCTATGGGTTGTACTTGGGGTTTAGGGGTATTACGTAGGGTTCGTCAATATATCTGTACTATATGTACCCCAAAACCCTATTCTCATCACTAAGGCCCCTATGGTAGGCAAGCGCAGAGGCCCAGGAATACGTTTTTTGCGAGTGCAAAACTTAAGTCAGCAAAACTCTCAGGGCCGCAGGGAGCCCTCCAAACCATAAACCCCTAAGCCCTCGCAGCCCGCAACCCCCAAAACCCCTGTGGAGGCCTTCAAGGAGAGCCTTTAAAGGACCTGTAAAGGGGCCCTTAGAGAACTCCGAACACTCCGAAGGTGAAGTCGAAGAGGCCTGGTTCGAGGACGCCCGAAAGAGAGTAGGACTTAAGGACTTTAAGGGGTTCCTTTAAGGGATTTTTTCAAGGCTCCCTTCAGAGGGTACTATGGGCTCCTTTAAGGACTTCAGGATTTTCGGATTTCGGATTTGAGGCTGCGAGGTGTAGGGCTTGAAGGTTTGAGGGTTTAGGGCTTGAGGGTTTGAGATCTGAGGCTTTGGGGTTTTTGGGGCTTAGAGGGTATGGGGACTTCAGTGTTTTATAAGGGGAAAAACAGTACCGATGTTCAGGAGGGTTTCCAAAAAATGCATGGCTCGTAGGGGCTGTACAAGGGTTTTGTGTTGGGTTTGAGGGTTTTGGGGCTTTGGTTTTGGGTTCAGGGGTTTAGGATGCAAGTGCGTCTTTCGGAAACGGTTCAGTTTCCCGTGTGGTCCTGTAGCTGCACCAGGCTCCGGGCCATTACAGCACGGGTTTAGGGATCAAGGGTTGAGAGTTTAGGGTTAGCTTACGGGCTTCAGGCTTTCGGGCGTAGGCTTACTTTAAAGGCTTTGGGCTTAGAGCCTTAGAGTTCTGTGCTTGCTGCAGTCTGGGTTCACTTTGTTGGGGCTCGGGCTTCGAAACTGCGTCCCGAGCAGACTCTGCGGCTGAACCTCCGAGCGTCGTAGAATTCTGAATCCGAAGCTCTGTGCAGGGAACTTGTCCGAGTGAGCTTGAAAGACGCGTACAAAAATAAATGCCTGAATCTGAACTCTAAGCTCTAGGCCCAGAGGTCATACCCTTGAATTTGCTTCCGGGGTAGACCAGAAATTTGAAACAGTTGACATGCCAATCATCCCGTCCTTCATTCACGGCGGGGTAGTGCCACCTCTCTGGACTACACTAGGTCCACCAGGTGTGCCCCCCTGTGCTTTGTTATTTTGAAGTTCCTGAAAGCAAGGATGCCCTCACACTTCCCTACTAGTTTGCCCCCCAGGAGATGAAGAAGAGGACCGGCATGTCGATGAACCGGCAGATGTGGGGAACTTACAGGATTTGGGGCTTAAGCTCGAGCCCCAAGTGCCTGAAAACCCTAGCAGCCACAAGTGAGCATCCGCAATCTGAGGTCGAAGGGGAGATTCAAGAAGATGAAGGACGGAGGGTTTCAAGGTCTCTGAAGGG